TTTATACAACAAATATAACAGCGAGATAAATGTAATTGGAGAAGCTTGATATTCAGCGATAATTGGATGGCTATATCTGTTATATTTATAGCTTCAATTTTAGAAGATACTATAATAATACAAATTTCGAATACTGACTTATAATTTTTACGTAACTGAATAATATTAATATTCCCAGATTGTAGGCCGAAATCCTAAAAATGTTTAATTCTTTCGTACTGGATCTTTACCGTGATTGGTGAGTAGATATATAGATCAAATACACACACGTATATGTGTGTATTTATCAATCAATTATTTAACTTCATCATATTTAATTTGATTAATTTCAATCATTTAACTTCGGATGGTATTTAGTTCCTTCCTTGTTTCTATTTCAACAGTGTAATAAATTAGGTACAGATAAATAGGGACTCATAATACCAATAATACAGAGGCAGAGGTAGACTGTAGGTAGACAGTACGTAATTCAATTAAATACTCAAATAGAAATAGTGTTGTTCGAGTATATATCTATATCATGCAATTACGTAGTTTAGTTTGAAAATTTGATATATCCATTTTTTTCTTAATATAGCATACACACTTTCACCTTGGTACCTACATCTAGTAGTACCCTTTACGACTAATCCTATATATCATATATAAATATAGGATTTTTTAAAATCCATACAGAATATATTAATACATATATATCTTATTTGTATACGATAATAAGACAGAGTATACATACCTGATTGGTATGTATATCATGTACCTGTTTTATATCTACTTACTGGAAATAATACCGTAACAATATTGTAGTTCGACACATAGGTACCTCCTTCTTGTTCTTTATACACGTGATTTCTATAGATATTTCTACGAATTGTATAAATAATATATACCTATATATAAAATTGTTTTATTTACATACCAAGAGTATTATGCCCAACCACCAAATAAAGAAACAAATTAAACTAGATGCCTAAAAGGAAAATGAAATTCTTGTTTATATCGAGGTTATCAAACGGTTCATCTTTTCGTTGTATTTCCATTTGACTATATTTACTCGTAATACCAATATCTATGCACAAAAAAGTATCAAAAAGTGCAACATTCACACTTTCTTCAGCCACCAAACAGTTTACTTTGTAGGCTGTTTAGTAGGAGGAAATGAAATTACAGGATATGTTCTTAGTCCTCTAGAACTAGAGTAATAATACTGTGATGGGTTTTCATGATATTGTGATGTCCATAGTGATCTCCATATATATGGGCCGGCGCACAGTGGGAACTTTGACTCATTTTCATCTCATAAATCTATAACTTCTGTATTAATAAAGATATGTACATGATTTTTTTTCCTGATAATCTTAAATATATATACTTTTAAATAATGTATGCTTTGGGAGGAAAAAAATTTTTTTAATAGTTACAAATAATATAGGAATACAAGAAATATAGAATTTGTAGACTTACATTTATGTCCTAAGAAGTTTATACAGAAATAAGTAAAAGTATCAGCGTAAAAAACCAAAATTCTTATAAAGATGGCTTACAAGTCACTCAAGAGGTCCTTTGATTCATCAAAAAGTACTAAATATTTTTAATTGGAAGGTTTTCTTAAACTTGTTATGTATGGGTCAGAGGTGTATAAAAATGCGTGTAGAACATCTGTGTTAGAGGCTACCCTCGAACATTGTCTTGCATGATGAAGTCTGAACTGTTTATAGTCTTTGTTCCGTAACTCTTTAGCATCTTCTGAAAGTTGCCCGAGAGGCAAGACAGAAAAATGATGTATCACACGTTCACATTTCATTTCATAACATAAAACAGTTTTATTAATTCCTCATATATACTAGTAATTTCTGATGTACAATGATAATTTTGGAAAAATCTTGTGGCTGTATTGCCGTCATTAGTGTTGCCACTTGCTTCGGTTTATCTATATTTAATCCAAGTTCTTCTCTGAACCTACTTTGTACATAAGCCTTCTTTTGCTTTTTTAAATCTTTATTTTCTGTTGTTGTGGCAGACCATTTTTATTGATTTGTATTTTGATTGTAATATAAATGTAAAATAAGTTCCACGAATGCAAAGTTGAAAGGCCATATTGATAGGAAGTTTCATCGACAGGTTTATTTTGTACTTTTTCTAAATTGTTCATCTCTGTGGGGTTTGCACTGCAAGTGGTACATACATTTGATTGCTGCTTTAACGTTAGTAATTTCTATACATAATTTTCGCGGATAGCACGATTCTTTAGCTACACGGATCAACCTGTATGATGGAAACAATAAGTAATTCTTTGCTATCAAACAACTCCTCATATTTTCGTACTGTGCCTTGTTCAGATCCAATTTTATGAAAATGCTAAGAGCTTAATGTTTTGAATATGCTGTTATATGTGCCGGTTCATTAATAAGATTACTTATTAAGATTGCTCATTTCATTCTAGTTTTCTGCCGGCAATGCTCGTAAAATATCAATGAAACCCTTAAACCCTGTACATATGAGTTCAGTATGAAGTCCACAGGTATCAAACAATCCTTTGTTTTTCCGTTTCTTTGTCCGAACTGTCTTCGTACGTTTTAGAAGGTATTCCTCTTTTCTCTGTCGAAGTAGGAGGTTCAGGTTCGCATGTAGTTTTTTCTAGATTTACAGTGAAAATACCATCCTATCAATTGCTATTTTATTTAAAAACTGTTCTTTCTTTTGACCACATTTTGTATAGCGTTGACGAAACTGAGTTATGAAGGACTTCTGAATACTTGCGATAATTTTTGCTATATTCGCATCTGGAGATTCGGTAAAATTATTTCGTATATAGTTTGAGATAGAATCAACATTATTTGTATCACTTTAAATCAATAAGAGACCTATGTCGCGTCTGGTACACGAGAATTCACTCATTGGAGTAATTAACAATTGTTTAGTAATTACAAATACTTATGAAGAACTGTAATATTTCATATGCAAATACATACACTATTTTATACTTAATAATGAACATATACGTGTGCAAAATTACTTCATAAAATATATTTATCATTATGCGGTATAGAATAGGTCTGTATGGGAATGGGAACTATATACTGTGTGAAATAGTTGATAAAAGTAAGGCAAAAGATAAAATATATAGTAATAATTGAGCAAAAAGTATTTTTTTGAGTATTCAGACAGAGAATCTCAAATAAAGAAGAAAATCTTAATATACGTACTTAGAAAAAAAAATCTCACCATGATATTATACTCGATTTAAATATTTTACGCAGTCAAACTGCAAAAAAAAAATTTATGCCATCAAATTACATTATATTTCCTAATAAATAAAACCAAATTTAGAACTTCGGCAAGCTTCGGCAACTATCAAATCTCCAAGTGAAAGTCTGAGAAAAGAAAATAGTACATATAACGATATATGGATTTTTAGTTAAATAATATTCGACTAAACTAAATATATTTTTATTTTATAGTAAAGTACATATTCTAAGCATTCTAAAATGGTATCACACTATATGACTTGATATTGTTTTGATACTATACACTTATACTAAACAAATCTAAGTTACAAAATTATTTTTGCATTATTTTCATTCCTTGACTTTTGAGGCCTTATTCTATGAAGTATGAATAGTCAGAGATTTGAATAATATTTATAATGATAGAGTAAATCTTTGGCTACAATTTGAGGTATTATACATGCACATCCACGGAGTTTTAGAAAAAGTATTTATGAGATGGCTTTCTTAGGCGAGTTCCCACTGTGCGGCGCCAATATATATGAAGGTAAACCGGCGTTCACCACCATCTTATAGCCTTCCTCGAAAAATATATCTATCCAACACTAAAATAATTTTTAGACTACTACCTAAAAAATAATTTTTAAAATGAAATAAAAATATTTTTTAGGTTACTACCTAAACATTATTTTAGTGTTTAGTAATTCCTAACATTAGCGAAACTCTTCAGCATTACAAATATATATAATAGGTACTAGTATAAATCAAAGACTGTGTTCGTCTGACTCTTTTGCACCACTTACTTCTATACACAGGGATAACATATAGCATATAACGAATCGTTTTCCAGGAATTTCTTCCAAGATACCTATTATATATGACGACTTCATATGTATATATACTGTATGCATATATGCAGATAAACGGTCTCTGTCACATACACTGTTCACTCCCGCGAAGCTAAGGCGGAGTCGCTGGTATAAATTTAAATAAACCAATGCCTATATACCTATCTACAAAAATAACAAAGGCTAGGTACCTAAAGTAGTAATTCTCGCTTGTCAAATAATGTTCAATTCAAGGCTGTGAAGCGAAATCTAGTTATGCAATTAGATAATGACAAAAAAGGCAGACAAAAGCAAATCAATCGCGAGCGTTACAATGGAGAATAAACAATAGTAAATGTAACAATAGACAGTGACGGACTGTAGCTGAAGGCTCTCCATACCTTCGCTCTATTTGATAATTAAATAATTCCACAAAATTAGCCCCTCATATACATTTTTCATAAATCATCGGAGAATTTATATAGTACTAGCTACTCGCCCCGGCTTCGCACCTTCCATCACTCTTCCTCTTGCATCACTCTATCTATTAAAAAAATCGCTTCAAAATCCGTTGCGTAGTTTTAAAGATTTAAAGATATATAGGGACAGCGGCCGCGACTTTGTTTTATACTATGTAATGATGATGATACCTATAAGACATACAAACATAATAAATCTAGATATGTGTATTTCTAGATCCGTAAAGATTATATAAGAATAATACTATTACCTAGTTATTCTTTTTAATAGATAAATTAGACTTTATGGATGGATTGGCCGTAAAGGTTTTCTTAGTCGGCAATTAAATGATAATAATAAGTGTATTTCTTTCCAGGTTTCTCTTAAGGGAGTTTACAATAATAAAAAATAGTGACAACAAATTGTAATTTTTACTGTAAATTTTTCTATCTGTTTTATAATTCAATATTAGTAAATAAAAATACAATAATAATTAAATAATGTTTTAATCAGATAACCAACCAATTAATTATAAACATATATATCTTAAATATTAATAACAGCCATGCGTAGTCTTACTAAAATGTATATTAAATAAGGCACTACATTTTCTTCTTAGTTACAAAAACGGTCCCCATCCTATGTACATTTGACAGAGGTTATGAATGCTGGTAGCTTCTACGATCAAATGCTCCACTTGGCCTTCCGGAGATAGCGACAGTGACAATTGTTTATTTTTTGTTTTTACCTGTAACATAAGAAATTATGACAGGCATTTTATTACAAAATATCTGTTACTCCCAACTATGGTAGAGATAATTTTTTTTTATTTAAATACTCTAAAATAATAGTAGCCTAAGTAGATTACGTAGCTATTCAAAGATTCAACGCTGCCAGTATTTTGGGTACGCTGCCTCGATGTACCTCGTTGGACTGATTATTTTTTTGTGAATGTTTATTACTATTCCTATAAATTAAAAAAAAAGTTAACGGTTAAGTAGCCTCAGTTACTCCTTATAACATTAGGTAACTGCGTGTGAAGGACCCGTAAAAATCAGCGCAGCCTATTTTTTATGTAAGTACTGTATATATTTTCATTAGCATCCTGTTAAAAGTTGTAATTTAAAATTACAAACAGACGCGTAAATTTTATTTAAGTATGTAAAATTACAAATAAGTAAAAATACTAATTATATTAATGATATTTCCATACTTATTATAGGAATATAATTGGTATGGAAATAATTTGAAAGTAAACGCAATTGGAAATCGATAGGGTTTACTCCAGGATCATCGAAAACTGTTCATAATTGGCTAAGTTTAAAACTTTCATCAACCAGGCACGTTTGTCTTTTAAGTACTCGTTCATTTAATAATAATGTTATTAGAGATAGAGAGATTAAGCAATAACGAGCAATTAAAATGCTTCCAATAGAAATTTTGTTGTTATATTTAATCCCTATTATGCCCATAAATATCTATTTACTGAATAATTAGATTACGCATTAATTTATTATTGATTAACTAGAAACTCAGTATCGGGAGTTTATTAACATCACTGTTTATAGTTTTAAATTACACATACATTTGTAAATTTCTAGATGAGTCACTTGATTTCCTAAACAATACATATATAGGTCGAATTGCAGGATAGTAGTATGGTGTGGATTCTCCGCAGCCAGGTGGAGTGACGACATACGTATGGTTGCGGGTAATAAATGGAAGAGAAGGGCTAAGACCGTGCCCAGTGACGTGTATTGGGATAAGCCTATGTGCAGCAGTGGACTGCAGTGAGCTGATGATGATAACTATAGTGTGTAAATTACTGTATATCCTTTAAAAAAACAGTTAAACAGAAACAATCGTCCCTTATTAGTAATATTTATAACTACGTAGATTTAAACAACATAAAACAAACAACAAAATTGTCTGTGAATACAGTTATGCAAATAAAGAATGATATATGCTCCCTCTTAGAACATTTACACTGAACAAACATTTGAGTAAGCGTAAACGGCGATATACTCTTTTACATTTAGAACCGAGTCCTCTTGCGTTTTCGAGTAACTTATGCTTATTTTCCTTCGAAAAGCTCTGTTTAATTACCTAATTCTGAAGATTAGGGGATTCCTTAATGAAACACGTACATATGTAAGAATCTAGATAAATTACAGATTATCTTTTATATATATCGCTTACCATGCCGTTGAGCCTCTGCCGTATGTGTAGCAAATGCAACAACGCTTGTTCATTGGTTCGCTCGGCATCGGCAGGACGAGCCCGGCCCCACGACACCAGCGGGTCGTATACGAACGGACCGATTACAGACATTAGGGCTGCTGTCTGTGCGCGTAAGGCACGCATAACGGCTTCACAGCTTTTCCTATGTTAATAATAAGAAATTCTTTACTATAATAGAACATTGTTTACTATTAATTCATTTTTACGTACGTGATATGCAAAGTAATGTAGAATAAACATAAATTAATTGTACTCGTATTGTAATGTGTAATCCGGAATATCATAATATAGAAGACTAGCTGACCCGCGCAACTTCGTCTGCATTTAATTTCCCCACCTTTTGCAATATTTTTCATTGCAACTCCGCTCCTATTAGTCGTAGCGTAATGCTATATAGCTTTAGCCTTCATTGATATCAAATTAAACAAACAAACTCTTCAGCTTCATAATATTAGTTGTATAAGTTATTTAAACACAAACATACACCAATATATATATATACATTGTTTAAATAGATTACTTTAATATCAGAGCTTACATTAATATCAGAGTTAGAGTAAAAAGTCGTCTGCGTTAGCAGATTACTTTGTTTTTCAGTTGTGGGGTGCAGATTAGGCAGTGAAATTATATGATAAGAGGTATCACATCGTAGTCCTCTGATACAGCTATGCAAGCGTGGTATAGCAGATATATGATAACTTGATGTCTGTAATGCTGTTCATGTATATGTATAAGCTACAGTTACCGCTTACCATCAGGTGGGCCGTTAACTTTTTTGCCATTTCAATTCAATAAAAAAAATATAATACATTTTTTGACGATACTTTGACAAGACAAAATTCCTACAAATTTGTAAAACATATACTTTAAACTATTGAAGAATAAGAGAAATTGTAGGACACAATAAGAATTAAATCGTTCAAAATTCACTTACCTAAACATTCCTTCATGTTTCAGCGGCCCCATTGCCGCCTCCATATTATGAGTAAGCCTGAACGGAACCCTTTCCGGCCACTCAAACGCTTCGCCCTTGTTGAAGAGGCAGTTGAAATCCACGTGGACTGTGTCACCATTCGTGGAATCGAACGATATGTTCTCACCGTGTCGATCACCTAGTCCTAGGAAATGAACGAAGTATATTCCAATAACACGAACTATTCACATGGGTATTTCTAAACCATAACAATTGTATGTATATCAAATGGGCATTTCCAGCAATGTACTTGTAAAGTGTTTACTTCTAAATAATTCCCACCAAAACAAGAAATAAAGCGACCTTTGTTCTTTGAACTAAAAATCACTTGTTTAAAATGAAGTCACACAGAATATTATAAACTAATTTTACTCATATTAAAAGCTTTTTATTATCTTATTACATCTATATACCTATGTTATGTATTTATCAACCACGAAATGTAATAATCATTAAAGTAATACCATACCTAAAATATATCCGACCATAGACATAACAGCTGTTGTTCTTATATAGGCCGACCTAGCTTGGTACCTGAAAATAATAATATAAATAATTCGACACGTATTATACAGAATTATATAGTCCTAAAATATCCTTGTTATTACCTTTACTAAGTAACGGATGGAAATATCTAAATATACATTTCATATCCAGATTAATATGAACAGTCACAAGCTGCTTATAGTAATGATTCGCTTGATGTGGTTATTTTATCTACCTTGTTTATATTTCACATAAAAAATCTTTAATACCTCCATATTTACCTACTCACTTCATAATTAGCATGGTCACTATGAACACAAGTTTGTTATAACAGTGCTAAAATTATGGGAAATATTAGATACGCGTAAAGTTATTTCAACTTATTATTTTTCTTAGAAGCGGTATTGGTTGTATATGATTTCGAAATAGCAGGAAGTTATTGATTATCTATAATTATATGATATAACGTTACTAATTTCGCTTTAGGTCAACAAATGAAGTATAAGATGAGGTTTAGGTAAAATAAGATAGGTATAAATATTTCTTACATAATTAAATAACACGAAATCTAATTATATTGACAAGTATATAAAAGGCTCTGAAAGAACAACACAAAATTTAATGATTTTTATGGTTTCTGGGTATCATCTGCTAGAAAATAATAATTTTACACAATCGGTCAGAGGTCACAAATGATATTAACAATAAGGTATATTATTATAAATGAAATTTTGTAATAAAAATGCCTAATATAAATTTTCTACATACAAAGAACACATGTTTACGGTCCATGAACATTATTTACACTACAATTGTAAGCAAGGTCGGATTCACCATTAGGTTAAGTAGACAACCGGCTAGGGACCCATAGGCAATAAAAAAAAAGCAAATAATTGGAAAAAAATATAGCCTTAATGATAATAAGACTTCCTCCAATAAAGAATGCGTATATATAATTTATCAATTGTAAATAGCAATATAATATTGCTCTTACGATTCCACTGATTATCCTTAACTGATAGCTTTAGAGTATTTGATAGTAGGTATACGACAATATGTGACGTGCATGTCTGTGGGACAATACGATTTCGGTTTATTGTATTTATAAACAACCTAGTGCGAATAAGAAAAGGAAATAATATTTCACTATGACAAGTAACGATCTATGATTACGTAGTTAACTTGTAAATTTTTATGTCACAATTTTGTAATATATTCTTCATAAAATAAAAAATGTATGAGCTTAATAATAATTTTATTTATTTATATAACTTCAATGCACAAAATACCAAGGTAAAAGTATACATCAACCTAGATGACTTACACAACTCCCATCTATTTCTAAACTAATATGCTGTATTATGGACGCTATACAACGAGTAAATATATAATAAATACAGTGGTTTTATGAATAGATACATAATATTAAAAGATATGGAAAGGCATGTGTTTTAAATTTTGCTGTTTTCGAAACGAAAATGTCTATTAGAGTTCTAGAAGAGAATAATTTAAAGAATAAGCCTAAGTCAAGTTAAACGAGAACCGTATGAGGAAAACGAATCCTAACCTCGAAGCGACCTCGTTTTAAGCGTAGATGACCTTTTAAAAATTTAAGAGAATCAATAAATGCATTAAACATCAAAACTCGAACTCTTTAACTCAAAAGTGGCAGATAAATAAAACCGAATATCATAGATTATTTTTGTCGTTATGAAATTAGAAATAAAGTAAATGACAAAGGTGATACTTCTGTTGTTGTAGATCAACATTGGCTATGACAACAGCGTGAGGTCAGAATGTTAGACAGTAAGCTTATTTGGGCATTCGTTTATATACTAGAGATAGACTTCGGGCAAAGTCATCTACGTACGTAACTCTGTCTCACCTACTATATTTCAACTGGGAAGTAGCCTGCTCTAAGTAAGTTGTGTTTGAATTTGATTTGGTGAAGTATGATAGTAAAATCACAGCATATGAATGTATAATAACTTAGTCTTCCAGAATACTGTTCACCTAGCCTCACCACTTACCTAAAATGTAAGATTTTTTACTATTACAATTATATAAAAAAGTAATTACCATCCATATGGATCGGCGAACACCCGCCTGAACCACTCTTGAAAGACAGGGGGATGTCTCGGAAGCAACTGTTCTTCGTATATGCGCCTTTTCTTCTCAACGGGATCTTTGTTTGAGCACATTAATTCTTTTAACTCTCGATTACTTGTATGAATTCCTACGAACATGAACCACATTAATTTTGTGTTTGCTATTTATTTTCATAGCAATTTTATCACAAAAAACTTTATTGTTAATTTCTTTAGAAATGTAGTTGTTTTAATGTATTCTACGATATCGATTGTCTTGTTTTTCTGTCAATAGGTGACGCTTGTCACTTTTTATCAAATATATAAATATTTAGGCTCTTTTGTGAAAATTTACCTTTTTGTTTATATATATGCATTAATATAGGCCTTAGTCCCACTAAATTCGGTACCCATTCAATTAAGCCACATTCTTCATTTAACGGTAACACACTGTACGTCCTTATATACAAACGACGACGGCGCGTCTCGGGCGCATCCTGTAGGAACCTGTTCACTACGCCATTGAACTCCATGAGCCTGTAGTCTTTACGAAGGTCGTCACGAGGTTTCAACATTATTATATATGATTTGCCATCTGAACCTGTTTAAGACAAAACGGGAAATGAGAAGAAATTCTCATGTCGTTACTATTTTTTAGAATTATACGAAAAAGGTGGATGTAGTGTTTTTATTCAGTTGCATTTTTTATGACTTGACCTGTCTTCAGATATTCTGAAAAGATTCCCATTATTATTTTACAAATTATATATTTTGTTGCCATGTTTAAGTTTAATACTAATTTTATCAGTTTCGTCAAAATTTTTTTAAAGAACAGAATTCTAAATTATTTCGTAAATGCAGACTATACCTAAACAATGTAACTGCAGTAGACGCAAAAAAAATAGACGGACATCAATTCACATTTAGTTATGTACCTATATTTTTTATGTGTAATGTTTTGAGCTCACATTTAACACTGTCTCAATGGACTTCTTGTAGAATGAAGACCATAAAAATTAACAATGAATTATCTTGTTTGACACATACTCGTACGTTAAGTTAAAAAGCTAACCACAAACAAAAGAAAATGCACGCATATTACGTATTGTATGCCACTTTTTACTCTGTGTACGTATTTGTGCCTTCAATCACAGCCAAGCAATTTTGTCTTGTAGAGAAGGCACAAATAATATATTGAATGCAGAGCAGTTTGTATAATAATATACTATACTATCTATATAACATCCTATGTAATATAGAATAACATCCTTACTGCAACTATTCATGGTATACATAGCTACATATATAACTGTCCGATAGAAAAAATTCATTCAATTTATTTAGTAAACAAGAGTTTTTCGGGAATTTAAATAATGACGTAATATCCATCATATTTTACTAGAGGTGGACTGCAAAATATTGTACGAAGACAATATTTTGCAGAGTACCTCAGTCTAATCCATTTCGGCCGACGAGCTTGATTTTAATGCTGTGTTTCAGTTCTATGGTGCAATTAAGCAACGAATTTATAGAATTAGAGGCTTGATATCTTATTCTGGAATGACAATGTTCCTCTTAGAAACCATCAAAGTTAATTCTTGGAAAAATCGCCTTAATGAACTAACTAAACTAACATATTATACTATCTGGCCTAATGTCATTTGATGATGTCCCGTCAGCATATACAGATAACACAGGTGACTGCACCTGTCCATTATCACATTTCCATTTTAGTTAAATATGTATCATAAATGACCTCCGTCATCTTCTTAATTTTATTTTCAGTAACATGGAGAAAGGACGGGAATTCAACATGTAATACTACACACTCTTTTTCGATGTTTTCTACTAATAAAATATTATTACAATCATGTCACTAACCTCTTAAAGTCACTTTCCTAGGTTTTTGTAGAGAAGGCAATATACTGATATGTTCCTCGATACCGGCTATGTACACTGGCGGTTCTACTGGTATATTGAAGTCGATGCGTTCTTGCCTCGCGTCTTTTGAAGGAAGCACTATTTTGCAGAACTCTTGAAAAGGCATCATTATGTGGCTGAAGCTGTCGCTGGCAAGCAATCGAGGCAGAGTACGGACCAGGGCAGATACTGTTGTGGACTGTTTAGTAAAATAAAAAATTAATTTCCTAACATATAAACGGTAAAATGAGTTTATCTTTAGCTCGTTACATGATATTAACTCAGGATACCGTCATCCTTCACATCAACATTCATCCAACACTCACAAACTTCCACGTTTATAATATTAGTTAAATAAGTAGTTACTGTAAACTATAAATGATATATAATTTATACTTCTAGAAACTATAAATTAATACTTACCGATCCACTACCAGCGATGGGCTTATTACACAACTCTATCAATTTCTCAGCGAGTTGCGTGAAATCGCTGACCAGTTTCAGCATATGGGGTTCCTTAAGGCGAGGCTCTGCGAATACATCAGCGCATCGCTTTATACGCTGCGGGTACGCCGACTTTATCACACACATCATCATCCATAGCGTGTGTTGAGGATACGCTAGTATTAATTTCACTATAATAGCCTTCAACTGAAGGTATACCTGTATAAAAGTATGAGTTGACTGAATTTATTTGAAATCCTCGCCAGTTTAGTAGAGTTCGACTTCTACATAGTATTCATGGGCATGACTGTTTGTCTTGTTTTTTATTATATTCATCTGTATTATAATTTAAAAAGATAAGGTCTGTATTGTTTTATTATAGTATTCATAATACCTGCAGTATTCTTGCTAGACAGGACTATGTAATATATCTAGATATATTACATAGTCCTGTCTAGGTTATTTACTCTATACCATAATTTCTTATTCAATTTTGTAATTATAACTATATTCGTAAAATGTCTCTAAATCATAATATCAAAGAATATATATACTTATTTTTTGTTCCTTAGGTATTATTGTGGTACTAAATTTATATCAAAACATATTTTTATTCTAAAAAAATACAAATAGGAAAAGTACTGTACTCTGTCCTTTGGATATCTTATACAATATTCTATAACTACAGCAAAAGTTGGTAAACTTAGTAACTACATTAAAACTTCACTAAAGTTATGAAACTTAGTTGCTACTAAATGGGCTGAATAAACTATGTGAAGGCGACGAAAAGCGGCGGTAATCTTTTACTACACATTATTTTTCATTACAGTGTTTTCGTACAAGATAAAACACTTTAATTTTTTTAGAAATAATAATCCTAACTTTGTAGAGAGTAAAATATTCGTAACACACTACTTTTACAGGATTATCGATAGATTTATGAAATATTAGTCATATCGTGCTTGTGAGTTGCGGTATGTTTAGTTCATAAAATATATAATTTTAGTAGTGTTTTATTTTTCCCTAAACTCTGGGATCAGAAAATATCTATGTATTTTTTTAATAACGCGTGTATCGGATTATACCATTTATCAAACTTATCGTTACAGTGTGTGTAACGAATATTTGGCAGGAACTCTGAAGAGATGATGAGGAAGTCGAAGTAATTGTCACGAAAAACAAAAACATATTCATTAAATTTTCATGTATATGTGTAGTTATAAAATATTATTAGTACATGAGTAATACTAAGTTCTACATGCGTATAAAAAGGAGATAAAATTATCTATACCTCTTTAACAGGATGACAAATTCTTGATACAATCTGTGAGAACGCAGTCAAATATAAGTAAATAGGCAATCTTTCCGAATAAGTTTTTATAATTTCTGTCATTTGTGCCAATACTGTATGGGCGCTGATATCTACCGATGTCACTTCCATGTCCAACCTAATAATAAAATAATAATTTTGATAACTATTCCTTCAGTCATAACCAGTAATATGTAAACTTTTTGTGAACCTTGTTTTGTTAACTTGTTTGTGAACCTTGTCATAATAATAATTAATTATAGTATGTAAAAACGTTTTAAACTTACAATAAACTCATTGTAACAAGGTAGTAAAAGTAGGTTGGTCTTTGCATACTTATAACTGAACAGTAATGTTATATTGTTTAAATCCTACCTTACACATAATTATAGAAAATAATTAATAATTAAGCGATTACGATATAGGTTAACACAGAATAGAACATACAAAAGAATTTATAATAGAACGGTATTCTAATTACATAAATACATAATCAAAAATTCACTGACCATATAGATAACATCCTCGGCATACTCTGGTACAGGTACTTGTGTCCATACTGCAATGCTTTTCCGTAGCTGTTGAGCGCGTACAATTTCCGCGTCCACATTATATTAGGATTCGATGTGTTTTCTCCGTTACTTACTTTCTCATAGTAAGAACCGAGGCACACCTGCATATTAATACATTAAATTATTTTTTTCTATTTAATATAGAGATACAATAAAGTTTTTATCATTTTAAGAATCCGTTCTCGTCCAATTACTGTAACCATTGTGACATAGCTTGTATACTGACCGAAAGACAAACACAATCAGACACATCATAAAATTAAAAATCAAACTACCACCTATAGACAAGTATTGGTAGGTTACATAAGTTCTTGTGCATTTTATCTCTATATGAGCAAGACGCCAGACATACTATTTCGTTCTCCATCACAATTCGTAAATGGTAGGAAAATAAAAAAAAAATTGAATAGCATACCATTTATGTAATAATCTAATGTTAAAGACATTACCAAGCTCTTTTCCCACTGCTTGAAAACTTCAACTGATTCCTTATAGTAGCCGATATTGACATCAACGTCCACATTGGTAGTCTCATCATTGTATTTGGCTATCAAAAGTTTCGCCTTGGCACATGTCTTTCTGTAATAGGTGATTAATATAAATCTAAAGCTAATATTGATTAGATCTACACGGGCAGAATCATCATCGGTTCTTCAGAGACCTTTCAATTTACTGTTACTATTGTGAAAAATGCAGTCATATCGCTGAATATACTATACTATATGTGTTTGGAACACATACGTCGACTATCTCAAGAATTTGTTTTTAGTTTTTGGACTATTATAATGCTGTTAGCTGCAGTTGGCCTTTACAATTTCACCGAACGATAGGAGACGAGTGTAGACAGTACGGGTGGACATTTTTAGTGAATTATGATGGAATAACAAATTCGCCTGTGGACGCTGGACATAGTGAAGGTTGAAAGATCAGAAAAGGAGAGAAAAGTTAAGCAATTGTGAATCGCCAGGAGAGCGCATCCTGGCGAATCACAACTACTTCAATTTTTTTGAGAGTAGGCGGTTGAGCGCCAATTATACTACGACAATTGTGATGTTTTCTGTCTACTTCAACTTACCTCTGTTCGTTATTAAGTTGTTCCAAAATAGGATAGGCATCATCAAGTCCTCTACGAAGAGTGGTGAAAGCGTGTTCGTGTTGTCCACGCGCCCAATACATCTTCGCCTTTTCTATGAACAATTCTTCCGGTTGATACTCCTCCGCGTTCAGTATATACATGTACGACTGAGAATAAATACGGTAGTAAATCACATGAATAGAAAATCTCTGCTTATATGTTCAATGTAAATGTGATTGGTTTTTATTCCTACAAATGTATAGCGTATATTATAACAGATTTGTATCAAAATACATCTCTTTAAAATATATAAATTATGATGATGATGTTATTCGTGCCGATTTTGGCCACTGCGACTGCCTATAACTCCGGTTTTGCCGTTGATGTGCTTATGTGGCTTATGCAGCCAATATATAAATAATTACCTGTTGAAATATGCTAGCTTTGCGAGCGTGTTTGGCACTCTCCAACCAAAGATTTCCTATACAAGCTTTCAGTCTGTTTGCAGTCATTGGATGAGTTGGTTCCAATAATTCCTAAAAATAAAACGTACTCTTTTATTTATATACAGAACATTAGCCATATTCGGTAAATCGCGTCAAAATAAGCACGGGTACATGTTTCATCCTATCGGGCAGATATGTTTATTTCGATATGGACCTCTCCATATAAATGCTAGGCATTGTATAGCATTTATTATGTAACAAATATATCAAAAATCTATTAATATATAAACACATATATTATGCCATTAAATTATAAAATGTAAGAGATATAAATAAAACGCAATTTATGTACTTGCCTGTGTTTGCTGCAACAATATTCTCCGCAGTCGTAATAATGGCTCAATTGTACGTACGTCAGATTGAACGACCGAGAGTCTTCGGCGCCATTCGTCTAACAACTGATTTATTATATCCGTTCCTAGTCTTTCACCGTCTTTTACGTTTTTAAGCCTACAAAATATTAAAAAGTATTGGTTTCCGATGCTAACTTCTGAATTTAAAATCGAGAGACTCAATTAGGATTGTATCTTCAGGAAGTTGCAATAATTACCACTATAAGCAAATTATTTACAGGTGTGTACGTATTTATTCATTGGATACAATTTAATTAAAACTCATCTATAGCGAGTTACTAAAAATAGACTACATTTTAATGCATTAGTTGCAAATAATAAACCTCTTCCAAACAGTGTGACCAATTCTTGTGAAATTTTGTTGAGATATTGAGGTCTAAAAATAGAGCAACTATTTCTCATACCCCTAAGTGATAAAGGGTACACTTAGAGGTTCCTCAAATATATTTTCTACTTAAAAATATGTTTACTTGTTTTTTTTAATATAAATAAATATAACACATACTTTCTCAATACTTCTTCCATATGACAGGCCTCCGTGACTATATGTAGCCCGAGTACAGCCTGGTACCCGCCCCGCAGTGCTCCCTCAATTTGCAACAACAGCCTGTTCCGAGTTTCCCTACATGATGTCATGAACAGGTCGTGCTCTTGAGCTCGAAACGATAGCAATATACGACCCATTAACAAACCCCAATTCTCTCTGGATGCGGGCTGCAATAATTGAAAAATGGACATTAACAATAACCTATCAATAACACTGAAGAACTAGAATTTTATTATAACTTATGTGAGCTGAATGGACTCAGCCAACACCTTCATTCTTTATTTCATCAAATGTCTCTAACATCATCCATTCCTTAAATTATATGTACAAATCAATCAGTTCAACAAACGAACAAACAATAGATGCTAAATCTAAATGTTATATAATAAACTATATCTATCTATAATAAACTGGATTATTTGTGGTTTACTGTAATGAAAGTAAAATAATTGAATTGTACAAAAACAGTAGTGATATTTTTGGGAATTATTAATCAAGAAGCTTTGCATTCCTTTTAATTGACTTTTCTTTACTTTTATTTTATTGCCTGATTTTATACTCGTTCATCTATAAAGAGTATACATATTCATATGGCATTTGATACCCCCCTCATATAATAATATAGAGTATTAATAAAACTTACTACAGGTTTCTTAGCTAATTCCTCGAGTTGTTCAAACCGCCCCAAACGCCAAAGAGGTTCAGCTGCGAGCTCCATACAATCTTCAGATTCATGTTCACTGAGCAGCCGGTATGCCGTGAATGGTTGATCCAAACCCAAGTAACAGTCTATCATACCCTGTATTAACAAAAAACATATTCATATGATACTATAATAAGTAGTTATTGATAGTGTGAGATATTTTTGATATCATGAATTTCTAGGGTCACAAAGTACTTTTAAGACTAGCCTATAATTTTATAAATATTTTTTTATAATAATAATAATTATAACCCTTGACAATTCACATAGCTGTAACTAAACCTAAGCTAAGCAGAGCTTGTGTTATGTATACTAGGCAACTGATATAAATACTGAGACACTTTTTTTATAAATACATACATAATTTTTACATATAGATAATATAAAGACAGATACAAACAGTCATACTCATGAATACAAATGTTTGCACTGAGCAAGGAATCGAACCCGTGACCATTGGAAGTGAAGCGGTGTGATAAACCGCTTGACCACCTACGCCGTAAAATAACCAAACAATATATTGTACCCAAATCATACCTGTAAACTATGTATATCCAATTGGCCTTCTTGTGCCAGTCGTTCATAACAAAGGGCAGCATCCTGCAGCCGCCCAGTGACTACTTGTGCAAGTATCAATTCCTTCAGTGACGGCTCCGATCGCTGTATTGATAAAATACCTAAAAAAATTGTTTAATTAAGGGGCCGTAAAAATTCGGATCAGCGTAAGGCAAATGGATTTCATTTTTATCACACATTAAAAAAGGTTATAATGTTTAACATTACGCTACTAACGTGACAAGCCAAGCAAAAAGGAAAATCTGGACATATATAATACCAGCAACAGAGTCAGGTTCATCTAGAAGTGCATATATCTCGGCCAATAGAGGTAACTGTTCCTGCATTTTATTAATTCTCTCGTCCATATATAATTCAAGATACTGCAATGCACGCTCGAGCTCGCCGCACATGAAGTTCCCACGAGCTATTGCCAACTTGTCAAATTTCTCCAAAAATGAAGCTATCGCTCTGAAACATTTATAATATTTACATGGCAGGTCAATACAAAATTTTTCAGTTTATATAATACTGCTACTATAATTTGTAGATTACCCGCGCAACTTTGTCTGCATCACACTTAATTGACATTTATCATTATACTTAGCCCAATTTATATAATATCCTTTTAAATTATAGCCTATGTGTTATTCTAATGTACAAGCTATATTACTGTAGTTTCGTTAAAATCCGTTCAGTGTTTTTGCGTGAAAGAGTAACAAAATCCATTCATCTATACTCACAAAGTTTCGTGTTTATAATATTAGTAAGATTATATAATAGTATTTGTTTTAAAGACTTAAAAAATAAAAGGAGATACAACAAATGTTAGATCATAATTGTAATTTTTCGCTATAAGACGTCACATAACAATTGCAAACTAGCTAATTGATTACTATTATTTGTTGATAATTATTATAATATTTTAGAAGAATGGATAACGTAAGACATTAATAACATATTTTTTGCTTATAGAAACATACTTGTAATTCTCGTTCTCAAGAGGTCTTTGCTTTGAGTAACACCATTCCAATAACCATCTGTTCAAAAAATCCAAGAGTGTGTAGATAGTTTTACTGCATTTACTCTGTAATATAATGGTAAAGTTATAATAAATATATCAGAATAAAATATATCAAAATATAGAATTTTGATATATTTTATTATATAAACAGCAAGACCCAAAACTCAACGATAAACCAGAAGCAGTTACATAACAAGAAATATTTTTTCGTGAAATTCCTAAAATCTAAACATTTTATTATATGCAATATTCAGTTATAAGGATTAAAATAATTAAAAAATTGCTACTAATTGCAATACTACAATAATACTGACATATGGTACTATTAATGTTTTAAAAAGCCAATAGAACTAACCTGGTTACCCTCTTCAGCTTGTACTGATATCACATTTGGCGTCATTCTTATATGACGTAGTACTTTATATTTACATCTCTCGGTTATCAATTGTACATTTTCGAAATTCTCCAAACCTATAAAAGGAGTATTATTCTCATAAAATCTTTAGTTTACAGATAAAAATATATAAATGAAAAAAGTGTTTCAATACTATTTTATATTTTTTATCTAGGAGTTACTTTCCATTGGTTTCATTCCACTATATATAATAATATATTCAAATGACATATATAATGTATTCACGTGATGTTTTATTATTTTAGCTTCGTTATACACTAAATTGAAACATTTCTCTTTATCACATAAAAAGCGTTACAATATTTTGAATTAATCATTAGAGATAAAAGATCTTATTGGCTTTAAGCATTACATACCAATTACAGCTAATATCTCTTCTTGTATGTACTTGTTGTTTGTCTTTGACATAATAGCGTGTAATAATGCGTACGGCAGAAACAGGAAGAGTGTTCGGACATCACGGCGCATACTCGGGTGGACTGTACGCAATAGTTCGCGTACATTCTCCGACTCTATCAGAGGGATCAATTGGCCAGTCCAACTGTAAAATATTACGAAAAAACAAAAATAATTAATTAAAATAATCTCAGACGGAAAGCTTATAATAAACTGCACTATGTGCATTTTTGAATAGATTTTTTTTTATAATATATTACAGAATGATAATGATTTATGTCGCCTCAGAAAAATCTTACAGTAATAAGAGTACCTATTTGCAGTCCAAAATACTAACAAATTTATCTTCTTAAATAGTCAATATTTTTATTTCTTTCAATATTACTGTAAAGCTTTCAATGGTACTGGGCCGTACTATAACTTTATTAAATGAATATGTTAAAACTTACTTATGAGCCCATTCCAGAAATGTAGTTGCATATATTGAACCAAAAAGTGGGTGAGCCTTCTTTGGCTGTGATGGATATGCTAATGTGTACCTGAAAAAGAATATAAATAAAATTTATATATGTATCTTAACTATGAATTGTAAGAAACCCAATTTTAATTTTTTTGTGCCAAGACATGTCTTTGTCATAATCAATTATTACCTGGAACTCAGTAAAGGAAACATAATTTGATGCATGTTTTCTGGAAAACTGTCCCATACTTCCCTTTTGCTGCCAGTAGGCGAAATATCATATATCTTTAATATCTCTTGAATAGTTAAAGCATAACAATCCATATTCTGAAAAACAAAGTTTCATATTACGCAATTACCGATTTAGTATAAAGCAAAAACCTTCAAAAAGTGATGTATAAGACTCACGAAATATATATAATTTTGCAAATATTCTTTGAAATAACAATATTGTGATTCTTAATTTAAATACCTATTATTACGTATTTTGCCTCAGAATAAGCTCAAAGTATATTCTAAAGTTTTTATAGACTAATAATCTTGTTGTATTACCATAGTATCCTTCTCATACTGGAATGCTCTCGTGAGTTCCATTAACGCTGTAGCAGCGAAGCAGTTGTCGCCTATAGAAAACGCAAATGGTGAACGATCGGGTTGCACATACTGGCGCGGCAGGTGGCCCGCTTCTATCGCACCAAGTTGCCCGAGACAGGCGCCGCTTACCGTACTAACATTTGCGTCGCTGTCTTTACAACCTATAATTTAAATAAAATTTTAACAAGATTAGTGTGACAGTGAAATCGTGTGTAATCCATAATTCGATGGAATTAAATAATTTAAAAAATGTTTCAAAGTTAAATTATGTTATATTTAATGATAATATATAACTCTTAAATTTTTACTATCAAAAATGTAATCCAATCCAATCCAATTTCATTTCAATTTTAATCATCTTATCAGATTTTTTTTTTAATTTTACCAAATTTCATAGCACAAATTTGAAATTTTTGAGACAAATATTTTAGTTAATTACAAATTTGCTATTTCACATCTGAGTTACATCTTGTATTAATCCTTAGAATGTGTAAAAATTATGAGTTCATAAATCCCTATTACTTAGTACTTTATAAATAATGTATTACCTAAAAGCAATGAGTCTATAAGTTCAACTATAACGGAATCAATAGTTTTGCCTCCAAATATAGCCTTGTGTATTTCAGTCCTATTGCTCTTTAACAGATTGTCCAAATTAGAGAAGGCATATGCTTTAATGCTTGGTATATCTTGATTCAAATGCTGTAAATACCATTTTATTTTATCTAAAAATCCTTCAGGCTGTGTCCTTCTCACATGCCTTTTGATAACTATTTTCACTTTCTCAGATATTTTGCTATCTTCTAAAAAGAACAGATCCGATATATGTGAACTCAACAAGTTCTCATTATTTAGAATGAGATATTGGAAAATTTTATTAATCTCTTGAGGGGCATAATCAAACTGTTGCATCAATGATACTGCAAAATTTGATAACAGAGGTCCAAGAGACATGCTATCAATATTGTGAATAAAGGCCCCCCATGCTTCTGCCAAAATTTTTGGAAATTCTTTAGCTAAGGGTAAAGCAGATCTAAGTGTAGCCAGAACTTTAAACCTCAATGGTGTTAAATACTTCACTCCCATTAGGTTTAGAATATCAGGAAAACTTTTTAATGCCTTCCTTTTGACTGATAACGCCACTTTAGCGTTCACTAACTTATGATCAAAGTATGCTAGAACACCAAGAAACTTTGGGTTCAAAAAGTCGGCTATTTGCGCTGTACTCATAGTTGTATTGATGTTGGGTGTCGACACATCAGGATCATGACATGCTAGGTATCTACAAGCATTCAGAACTTTCTCCGGGTCGCAACAATATTGCAACAGAAATTCCGTCAGGATTACTCTGAAATGTTTTTTGATCAAATTCAAAATAGAAGTCTTTGTCAATCTTTCGATGACGTCAAAACATCTCTTTGAAACTTCAGTGTTTTCATACAAATACACGTAGACATATATATGAGGAAATCTTTCAATTAGGAAATCTGAGACAGAGCATTGCACTAAAGACGCGATTTCTTCTATCATAGAGGGCACTTCCTTTATTGTCACTGAATAAGGTATGAGGTACGGTAGGAAATGATGTACGTCTTTTGATATGAAATCTCTATACCCGACAAAGCCAAATGCCCTAACAACTTTTAATAATGAAATTGCAAACTCTTTTCCATTATACAAGCTACATTCCACAAAGAGCCTGCAGTAATCCTTCTTATACCTATGATACACTTGGTTGGGGGTATATCCTTGAAATTCAGAAATTTCTCGTAAATATACAACAGCTTTAGCACCGAGAGAACACTGTGGATACATTATAAAATAGACCAAGAGTTTGGTCGCTGGTAACAGTACATTCTCATTATGATATTTCCCAAATGTTTTTATAAGATTTATAGTATGAGTCCGTTGATTATAATCATTATTTTCTAAACAGGTTTGTGTTAACTCCACAAGCAATTTAACACACACACCAAGTACTGTCTGTTTCTGTGCCTTCCACTCCTCATCTGTATCTATCTGCAAATATATATGAACACATCACTGACAACTATAAACGTTAGAACCCTATCAACTGACTGCCATTCAATCTTTAAACATACTATTTCGGCGAAAAGAGAACGAAGAAAAGTATATTCACTTCGATTTATTCAAGTTATATACATATTACGTACATATATATGTATATACTACACTAGCCAGGATCCTTGTCCTCGAATGTATTAATGTTGTTCAAAGCGGGCAAATTTCTAGTTTCTTTATATTATAACCATGAGTGTAGCCATATACGGGTTCAGGGTGGGGCAGCAGACTAAAATATTATGTAATTAGCAAACTATATCCACCGTCTTACGCCCAATTAATTTTCTCATACAGAATAGTTACACCCTACAGCATCCTGTACCTGTATATTATTTTTTGTGTCGCCTCTCCAGTATAAACTTTCTTACGATATTAATAATTTGTATAGTAGTTAGTACTTAGGTAATTTTTTCTCTTTAAGTTTGGTTAAGTACCTTATAGGTCAGAGCATGGATAGCGAAATCCGGATATCATAGTGAATTAAGATAATGCCTCTCACTACTATACTGGAAAGTAACAGATTTCTTTAATCTAAAATTCAAGATAAAGTAATCGTGAGATATTAATCTAGGTATAAAATTAATCTGTAATGAAGTTATAATAAGTACATACCATGATACCATCTATATATGGAGTAAATATCTTTAATATATTTTCACAATTGTCTGCCACCAGTATATCTTTTGAAACTCCATAATTGAATACATAGTAGTGGTTGCACAGTCTTCCTAAAAGATTCCAATATTCCTTATGGTCTGTACTAGTTATTTGTTTTAAATTTAAAAATTTGGAAAATAGATTCTTGAGACCATTTAATACAGTTACATTTCCAGTGTTGTTCTGAGTATTTTCTATGGGAACTTTAATATATTCAGTCATACTTTTCTTCTGCTCAATATGACATCTTGAGCATAGTATACAAATATCTATAGCATCATTTTTAAATAATGAATGTCCCTTGTCATTCTTTGAAGTGCTTATCGCAACGTCTATAGTTCCTAAAGACATACATCCAATAGCTGGTAAAACTTGCAATACTTTACTTTGCAGTATTGTGTCTTTACTTAAAAAGGCTGGCATTAAAACTTCACTAAGTAATTTGCTGACTGAAACTGCTTGATTTAATAACAGAAGTGGACATATGGGGATTATCTGTAAAATGTAAAATAGTAAGTAGTAGTAGTAATGTTTAATGTATATATACATATATAACAAGTACTGTATATATAAAATTATTAATTACTTATTCGCTAAAAACTATAAAAAGAAATATGTTTGCAAAGACGATAAATATAACTACCCTCTCCTCATTGAGGATATATACCTGTCTATTGATACAGGCTAATAAAGCATAAACTGTTTATTATATGATAATTGTTAATAAAAATAATTAATTTGATTATAAATTAATTAATTAAATTAAGTAATAGAATTTTTAGAAAACCCATTATTTTGAAGTTAATTTTAATCATAAGAGATATAGATGTAAGGGACATAAGATTCTTATGAGAATTTAAGATCATTAGAACTAAACATTAAGAAATTAAAAACTTACCACACTATATGCACTGGTCGTCTTATTTTTCAACAACTCATTTGCCAAAAATGTAATTATTATAGTCCAGTTTTCACTTGGCTTTGTTTTTAAAAAGATTCTGGTAATCATTGTGTATGTAAGTATTAATATCTTTAATTGCTGAGAATATGTAAGTACACTATGTTCAGTAAATTGAAGTGAATCTTTTAAGCACAAACATTGTAATAAGGTATTACTTTCTGTTAAATGTAGACTCCCAAAAACAATTACTACTGTGCTATGCAGAATATCCATAATAGTTTTTGTGCAACTAATGTTTGCAGTAAACTCTTGTTTATTCAGTTCTATGATTTTTAATATTGTTCCCCAAAGAGAAAGAACAGTTGTTTTGTCCAGTAGTAAGGGTCTTGATATAATACTAATCTGTGTAATGCATTCAGTCTGCAATATGACATTTTGCAAAATATTTAGAACACTGCTACATCTTTTTAAATGATATTCACATATTATAAAGTGTGTGCTGTTATCTTCACAGCTTTTCAAAGACTTTACTATTGATAAAACTTGATTGTACCACCAGTTTTCCATACTATTCAATTTATCAGGTTCCTTGTTTTGGATATATGCTAATATATGTTTACAGTAATAATCAGAGAACATGTCAATTTCTGAAGCATCCCTATTCTCAATATTCATTATATTTTTAGGCAAATCTAATTTCATACTTAAGTACATACACTGCAGTCTTACATCCTTGTTGAAAATTTTATTGTTATTCATTCTAAGAATCCCTGTGCATATATTTAATAAATTTTCGTCTTGACCCCTTTCCATATTTTTTATAGTAAATTTTATAAATTGTAATAGAAATGTATTAAATTTATTTAAATATACCAAATCAATTTCACTTTTTTCATAGTAAACATTTATAGACTTTATAAGAGACTCAACTGATTCCAGAATATCATTATAGATTTTGGGGAAAACGGATTGAAACTTATTAAGTGATACTTCATCATACATTTTAAATAAGTTGATAAAAAAATTAAGTGAAACCAATTTTATGTCAACATTATAATTTTCAAGCATATATAGTACTTCATTGAATACTATTTGATATTCCTTTTTCGTTACATCAATGTGCAAAGAGTTTGCAGGCATGCTTTCTGAAAGTAATTCCAATAATAATTCAATCAATGTTTGACATGTTGCCAGGTTATTCACTTTTACAAATATTGGCTCCAAATTCAACTGAGTGCTGGGTATATCAATCTGGGTAGGTTTAAAATTTTCAAGCACTAATTCTGTTTGTTCATTATGATTTGTATAATCCTTGTAATAATTTATTAATTTTGACAGTATATCAAAATACTCAGAGTGTATTTCATTAAAAAAGCTGGCACCATTTCCACATAATATATGGAGAATCTTCAACTGGGCATCTTTACTAGATATATATATCCTAAAATACAGATTTTGTATTAATACATTACATATAAGTTATAACAATAACTTTAAAACAAGAAAGACCAACTATTATAAATAATTTCAATATATTCATGACAGATTCCATTTTTCTTTCAATTCAAATCTTATAAAACAAATATCCTACCTGTCCAATTCATTCACAGACCAAATATAAAACAATCTCCCAAGTAACCATGTATTGAATGCATTATAGTAACAATCCGGATACTTTGAAGACCCAGGCCTCGGCACGAGAACTTCTGAAAAATCTCTGAAAAATATTATTATGATTTACTAGAAACTAAAACAACATTTATAAAGTATGTTTGCTATCAGAATATAAATATGGTTATAACACTTCAACTTTTTTCTGTTTTGAAAATTTATCTATTTATTTATTTTATTAATTATTAACTTGTATTAAATTAAGAAAATAAGCCTTGTAAACAAAAATAATCATAGCTTCCAAATAGCAGAAGATATAATAAATTAAAAAGTAAACCTAAATTGGTACAAAATCATTACTGTAAACAAAGAAAGTAATTTATCACATGAAATTGTAAATATTAGTTATTATAATTAGTTAATACACATTAGTTAACATAAGTTTTTCATAGTTTTAATAATATACAATGTTGCTGATCTTTTTTGTTTTTATTATACATTTTGAAGTTATATTTCATTTCTTTATAGTTATTATTAATGTAATGCCATTTTTGGTACTATGTTTCTTCTCTTGATGGAATACTGGTCTGGCTTACCAAGGAATGGGCTCACCAAACCGTTAAACCATTAGTCACATACATAATGTAATATATATAAAAATCTCATGTCGCAGTGTTATAAAGCATGGAACACCTTCACTAGTTTTGCTTTTATCACGCATTTAACTGAAATATATACTTACCCTGACAACTTTAAAATAGAGGTCAACAATCTTTCTAATCCATCAGCAGCTAGTTCTAAATTATTGAACAAAACCATCGTCGGTGCATTAAACATTTGCCACACAGTAACAGGCCCATCATGGTTTTGGTCGTCCATTATTAAGTTAGTTAACTCTGCAGGGATGTATAAAAATTTGTTTTTATCACATTAAATAAATATTTAAACATAAGAATTGTTATTCTTCTTCGTCTTATCAAATAATTAAAAACTATATAAGACCCGCGCAAAGTTACTAGGATAAAAACACAGATTAAAAACACGCATGTTTAAGCTGTACTGCTGTGACCACAGGACACCAATATCCTAACGGACTGTGACTGTCAAACAGAGTACGTTTTAATCACAGATTTGTACTAGAGTCTCCTATAATACTACTCCAAGATGGCGCCAATATGTTATGATGTATAAAATCAAAGTATCCCAATGTGTACGTACAATAGAATACATTAACTAAATATAGTTCAATTAACTGTATATTAATATGTTTAAATTTGTTTAGATAAAAATTGCTTATTTCACATTCATACTTCTTGAGACAGATGAACAGACATCGAATAGGGTAGACAGACTGACAGACTACAGCATTCATCAACAGCACATTTTCTTGAACAGTCGTATAAAAATGTGCACATTTCGCTGAGACTTAGAAAATCTTGAACTAGAACGTTTATAAATTAAAAGCGCTATAAAAAAATTAAAATCTAGCAGAATACAAAATTCAGTCTAGAATTACCTGTAGGTCTACCACGAAGTGCAATTCCGAAATTTCGGATCGATATTTCGTGTGATTCGTACCATGAAAAACGTTCATTCCGAAATCGTGCCCGAAAACGGAGAATATCGTTTCGATCGTCCCAAATCGTACCATGAAGTATCCGTTCGTACGTGATTATGACGTTTTGACAGCACGTTTATCGTGATTTAAAGTGCGAAGTAGACGAAACCTAAATAGTTAACTTTTTACTTTCGTAAGTATGGATTTTACGTATATAAGTGCTGTAATATATAAAAAAGTGATTAATTAATAATTCAGTTAATGTGTTACAGTGAATAATGTGATAAAAGTTAAACTAATTAGTGTTTTTAAATATTATTGTGTTCAATGTAACCTACAACTTAGCATTACTTTATTTTGATTTAGTTTCATTATGCCAAGATTGGCTGGAATTTTAGAAGCCCTCAATGAAGAAGAAATTGAAAGACGCAGGTTTAAAAGAAAAATGCGTACTAGGTACCTCCAAAGATCCATTCCCGACTTCGAGTTTGTATCTAAATACAGACTCAGTCGGGAAGTCTTCGAGAATCTTTGTCAGTATGTGGTACGATTATTACCCCTGCCTAAAAATAGTCGAGCAATCGATCCAATAACCAAAGTAAGAACTTATGTACATTTTGTAGATGAAAAAATTTAGTATTTACCTATTATTTAGTATTCCCATATCTATTTTTTTTCAGATTCTCACTGCATTAAATTTTTATGCCAGTGGTAGCTACCAGGGTGCAGTCGGACAAAATTTAGACACCACTATGGCTCAGCAGTCTGTCTCAAACTGCATCAGGGATGTAACAGATGCCCTAAATACTAAGGAAATTTATAAGATTTCCTCAGTCCAGGGAAGACAGGAACATATTGAAGAGAAAGTAAGTTTATGTATATTAAATATGATTAAGATTTAACTTTATAGAATTTTATGCTCTTTGTCGATTTATAATACATATACTATTAATTTAGTTCAGTCAACTATTTGTAGCTGTAAATTTATAAATGATATTGTTGTTAATTTCAGAAATCAGCATAAGTTAATTGATGATTAAATAATCAGTAGTTTATATTTCTTTTTCAGTTTTGCTACACAGTATGGTATCCCTGGTGTTATAGGATGTATCGACAGCACCCATGTAGCTATAATTCGGCCAACAGTCAATGAAGAGAGATTTTTCAATAGAAAACATTACCACTCTTTAAATGTTCAAGTTGTAAGTACAGTATTTTATGTAAAATTTGCATAGTGTATAAATAATTCTCAAGTTATTCATATTTGTCACTATCTGCAAATATCTTTATAATGTTTGTCCTATTTTTTAGATTGCTGACAGTAATTTGAATATTGACGCCTCTTATGGTGGTGCCACTCATGATGCATTCATTTGGGAGCATAACGAGATCAAAGATCATTTGGAGAGTCTTCAAGGAGAAACAACTTATTTGCTGGGTAAATAAATCGTAATTGTTAACTTTGTAGTTGTACTACATATAAAATTGGTGAACAAACAAGAATACAATGTTTTGTCATTCCTTTTCATTATTAGGATGTCATAAAAGATGATTATAGATTGTATTTCAGTATTTTTTATGTTAAATATTATTAGCTGATATTATATTGAATAGTCTATAAGCTATCAAGTGCATTTATCAAATTCCAAGTCTCACAGTTAAGTATGTTTTCTTTTCTTTCAGGTATATAAAGATTAGAAGAGAGCCATACGTTCTATTTATGGTATGGGTTCGAGATAGTCATTATATCAAGGCTTTAAAGAATCAAATATCCTCACCGTTGCCTCACAGTACATTTATGAAATATTATGTATACAAGGAAAAACTTAGATAGTTTCAAGAAACTTAAAGACTGTACAAGTAGAAACTTATGCAATAAAAATATACTAATTTTACCTAAATGCTGTTAAAATTGATATTAAACAAATGTTATGTAAAAAAGCCTATTATAGGATAGATGAATTCATAGATGACAGCAATATAATAAGTTTATTTGAATAAATGATTTTCTATTCTATTCTATTAGAAGTTAAGGCATTACTTATTTACAAAATTAAAAACTTTTTACAATAAAATATTTTTATTTTATAATCACATATATGTAGGTATATATATATATAGATAAAAGTAAAATCAAAATTGTATATTAAACATTTTTTAAAATAACACTAATTATAAATGATTAAACATTCATTCAGAAAAATGTTGTATAAGTATATGCAAACTAAGTAGTGTAGTTCAAGGCGCATTAAATTAATGACCAGTAAAAAACTGTAGTTTAGTACTTTGTGTCTTTGTTAATACTTATATAAAGCTAAGTAACATTTTTATACTCATTATTTAACAAATCAACAAACTAACATAATTCAACAAATCAACAATGATATATATAAAGCTAAGTAACTTTTTTATACTCATTATTTAACAAATCAACAAACTAACAGAATTCAACAAATCAACAATGATATACCTAAAGCTAACTAACTTTTTTATACTCATTATTTAACAAATCAACAAACTAACGTAATTCACAAATCAACAATGATATATCTAAAGCTAACTAACTTTTTTATACTCATTATTTAACAAATCAACAAACTAACAGAATTCAACAAATCAACAATGATATACCTAAAGTAATTCAACAAATCAACAATGATATATCTAAAGCTAACTAACTTTTTTATACTCATTATTTAACAAATCAACAAACTAACGTAATTCAACAAATCAACAATGATATATCTAAAGCTAAGTAACTTTTTTTATACTCATTATTTAACAAATCAACAAACTAACACAAATCAACATTAATCATGTCAAATTAAAAAAAAAAAACAAAATTATTCATTCATATTCAGTCGTCTTAATTCTATTTGTAGACCCTCCAATCCATCCCTTAATACATTTAATTCCTGGAGTGATTGGCGAATCAGCCCTGACTCTACCACCCGTCGATCCTCCGCTGCGATTCGCCGCTCCTCCATTTCGAACAAACGCCTGCGTACACTGCGAGGTCCAATGGCGTCTGCTCGACGGCGTCGTCGCTCTGGACGTGTAGTAGCCGTTGAAGTTCTAAAAAAGTTTTTTTTAAAATAATTATTATCATTATTGTTTTCGGTATGCATGATTGGTACTAATAACAGACTTGATGTCTAGGAATATACTAGTGATTAGGACTATAAGCCCCCATTACTAATAATCTTAATATTTACAGAAATATTTTCATATAACAATAATTTATTATGATATAAATTTTTTAATCAATAATAAGGTATAAGTAAGTGTTATTTATTAGTACTGTCTTATCTTTACTTCTTAGTTAACATTGAAAAACTGTGTATATATAAAAAGGTACCAACTCTGTCTCAACTCATATTTCTGCTATGAAGCAGCTGTTCTTGCATAGCTGTATTTCAGTTTGAAAGGTGGGAAAAGGCTATTTAGGTACCTTATATACAGAAATAAAAGGAATGGTAATGCATGAGGAATACTATGGAAGTCACCATGTATTTTGATGACATCCATTATGTTATATATGTCTAGAGATAACAGTTAGCACTATTTTAGTAATGGTTTTACAACATACCTCTGGAAATGCAGGAACATGTGCATCCGACTGAGGTTCTCCAAAGCCCTCTCCCATGGTATGGTATGGTATGGTATGTTAGACTCCATTCTCCGCAATTAGCCTCACATTCGGGCCGTTGTGCGTGTAGAGCCAGACTACTAACGTAGCCAGCCAAGCTCCTCCCAAAAGCGCAGAAGACTCCTGGTGTCTTCGCAGGCTTCACGGAGCGACCTCACCGTTCCGAGGATTTGTTTTCGTTGTTCGGCCACTGCCGTGCACTCCAGGATTACGTGAGCCGCCGTTTCTTCAGCTTCAAAGCAGCCCCGACAGAGGGGGCTGTCTGTAGCATCAATTTTGTATAAGTGTTTGTTTAAGGAACAGTGGCCCGTTATTGTCCCTATCATTATTTTGAGGTTTTGTCTATCTAGATTAAGTAGACGTGTTGTTAACCGATGGTTCGTTTTTGGAATTGCCACTTTAGATTGTTTGCAATCAGTGGTTAGGTTCCATCTGTGGTTTTGTATTTCGGTGGATCTCTGGCGAATCCAGGTGCGAAATTGCGAGAATGGTATTGGCATGAGCGGGAGGGGGCCTGCAACCACCATGCCGGATCCTACTCTCGCTAGTTCGTCCGCGGCGTCATTGCCATATGATCCGCTGTGCCCCTTTATCCACTGGATAATTACTCCGTTATGCGTTGCAATTTTTTCCAGGGCGATGTGGCACTCGATTATTAGTTTGTTGTTGGATTTTCTGTTCTGTAGTGCTTTAAGCACGGCTGCACTGTCCGATATGAATTTAATGTTGAAATTGTTGACCCCTAACCTGTATACAGCTTTTGCTGCCTCGGTCAGGGCAACACATTCGCACTGAAAGATCGAACTGTGTTTGCCGAGCGGTATAGATATGTTCATGTTGAGGTCAAGGGAATGTGCCCCAGCTCCTGAACCGTTCTGTGTCTTGGAGCCATCTGTGTAGATGCGTAGTTCATTTACTGCAGATTGGTCCCTTTCCTCCTCCTTCAATTGTATTTGGTATTTCCTGTTAAACGAGTGGTATGCTTGAGTTCTGTCACACGGAGCGGCAATCAAAGGTTCATATTCGATTGCTTGGTTCAGGATGGTTGTGTGAGAACTGTAATGGTTTTTGCCCCATAGACCAAGATGGTATAATCTTGTGGCAGCTATAGCTGCTTCTTGCTGTATGTATAGGTCAAGGGGTGTAATGTTAAGGGCTATTTCCATTGCCATTGTTGGGGTTGTTTTCATACATCCAGTAACTGAGGAGCATGCAAGTCTTTGGAAAGATCTTAGTTTGTTGACTGTGGTCGTAAGTTTCGACCTTGTCCACCAAACCAAGGCCCCATACACTAGCATTGGTCTTATTACTGATGTGTATAGCCAGAGAGTTATTTTCGGGGAGACACCCCATTTATTACCAAGCATTTTCCTGCATTGATAGAATGCAATTGTGCTTTTGTTAATTTTGTGATCAAGATGTTTATTCCAGAGAAGTTTTGTCTAGTATGACTCCCAAGTACTTGACCTCCTCCTTAAGTTTAAGCTCTGTATTAAAGAGTTTCGGTAAATTGAAAGTACCTGGAGCTCTTTTGTTGGTGAACATGATGAGTTCTGTTTTAGAAGGATTCACGGAGAGTTCATGGTTTTCGCACCATCTCTCTATTGTTCTGAAGGCTTCTCTCATGCGATCGCATAAGGTTCCCTCAAAATTTCCTGATATAAGTACGGCAATGTCGTCTGCGTAACCTACCGTGTAGAGGTCGTTGTCGTTGAGCTCCTCAATGAGTTCATTAACAACTAAGTTCCACAGGAGTGGCGACAGGACCCCTCCTTGTGGACATCCTCTACTTACGATCCCACGTGTGGTAGTGTTTACGGTGAACTGGATTGCACGGTTTTTCAGCATGTTGTTTATCCATTCTATGAGAGTTGTTGGTACTCCATGTATGGTAAGAGCGCGACTGATACTGGTAAAGTTCGTTTTATCAAAGGCCCCTTCGATGTCTATGAAGGCACCTAGGGTAGGCTGCTTTGAGTTTAGCGAGTTACCAATGCGACTTACGACGCTGTGGAGTGCTGATTCCGTTGATTTGCCTTCACTGTAGGCGTGTTGGTTGGTGTGCAGTGGTTTGTTTATACATATCAGGTCTCTGATCTCTTTGTCGCAAAGCCTCTCCATTGTTTTTAGTAAAAACGATGTGAGACTAATTGGTCGAAAGGACTTGGCCTGTGTGTAGTCACCTCTGCCAGGTTTCGGAATGAAAATTACTTTCACTTCACGCCATTTCAAAGGTATGTATCGGTGAGCTAGGCATGCCCGGAAAAGTTGAACCAAGTGTTCAGCTATTATGTCACCGCTCCATTTCAGGAGAGCCGGAAAAATACCGTCTAGTCCTGCAGCTTTGAAAGGTAGAAATGTGTTGATTGCCCATGTGAGTCTTTCTCTGTTTATTACTCTGCTTGCTATCTCCCAGTCCGAGCTGCTGGTTGTCCTACTTTCCTGGGAATTCCATGAGTGGTCATTGTCCGCAAGGAATCCTGGGAAGTGAGTTGACAGTAGTAGTTCGCAGGTTTCTGTGTCATTTGTTGTGTAGCTATTATCCGATTTTTTAAGACAGCCTATTGTGTGTTCTTTCTCTTTGGAAAGGCAGGCCTTCACTTTGACTGCTTGGTTGTTATTGTCTATGTTGGTACAGAATCGCCTCCAACACTCTTGTCGTCTGTGGCGAATTAGTTTTTTATATTGTTTCCTTTTAGTTGTGTATTTGTCCCAGTCACCTTGTGATCTACTGTTCATAGCTGCGTTGAACAGTTTCCTCAGCTTCCGTCGATGTTTCTCTAGTTCGAAACACCACCAGTGTTGCCTACCTTTGTTTTTGGGTGTGGTAAGAGGGCAAGACTGTTCGTAGCTAGAGGTAAGTATGGACGTAATATTGTTCGCATAGTTGTCTAGTTCCGTTCTGTCAAGGTTGTCAGGGAGGCAGAGTTGTTCCCCTACGTAAGCACTAACTAATCCTATGAATTTGGATTTGTCCGTGTTCCGGGGTATCCGTCTCGGCTGGGGTTTTGGTAGTGATATGTCAATAGTAAAACGGATCCATCTGTGATCGGAGCATGAAAGCTCGCTGGACACATGCCAATCACGAATGGACCCCGAGATGCCTGTTGATGTTAGTGTTAGGTCTATTATGGTTTGTGATCGGGCATTTATGAACGTTGGTTCCGAGCCCTTGTTTTGTAGAGTGAGATTATTACTAAGAATAAAAAGAGCTAATTCCTCACCTCTGTTGTTCGTCTTACTGTTGCCCCACAGCGTGTGGTGCGCGTTGGAGTCAGTGCCGACGACCAGCTCCAGCGTCTCCCTCTCACAGTACTCAGCCAGCTGGCCGAGCTCTGGTGGTGGTATCTCCCCGTCGCTCGGCATGTACGCTGAGGCGAGGACGATGTCGGGGAGGTGTGCTGCACTGGTAATTCTTACTGGTGTTAAATCCCTTGAACAGAATTCGTTGATTAGTGTTGTTTGTACATGGTTGGGTAAGAATACGCATGTTCTTGGTTTACTTACGGAGGTATCCAGTATCACTTTTCCTCCGCTATTTCCGAGACCACAAATTTTGTTCTTCCTGATCCACGGCTCTTGGATCAGGGCTATGGTCTCTGCGTTGTTCTCCAGCACTCTGCGAAGAGAAGCCGTCGCAGTTTGGCTGTGCTGGAGGTTGCACTGCAGGATCTTAGTCTTCCCGTAGGGGGAGGAGTAGAGGACGCTATCGCTAGCTTCGCTCTCTCCCCCCTCCGCCGGAAAGCACTCTTCATCCAGGATGAAATCCGGAGAAGGTGGATCCTGCACTTCCATCGCAGTCGGAGTTACTACTCGTTCTGCCGCAGTTACGGGAACCATTGTCGACGTTGTCGGTAGCCCTCTCCCATAATACCCAATATTCTGCACTGTATTGGGTTTAAAGGCTCAGCAGATGATGGCCCTACCCCAGTGGCTGTGGCAGACCTTCGAGCAGCAGTAGCAGCTTTTTTAGTTAGATATTTTTTGTCAGCCCATACCTAAAATTTATAAAGTATCAGTATTGGAAAATTTTATTTAATAACAAAATTATTTAACATTTTAAATGCATATCACGTACTAAAATATCAAGAAAAGTGCTTACCTTCTGCCACTGCTTTACAGTTTTAGTGCATCCACCCAATGCATCGAGTTCGTCTGTAAGACGAACCCATAATTGGGTGGATCTTGTTCGCCCTTCTGCATTTCTACAGTGGCCACGAGCTAACTCCTGGTGCTCTGCTAGGAATGTTAGGAGTGTATGCACTTGTTCCACAGTGGGATTACTCATCTAAATGCATAAATACATTTGTTAGCGCTTGTCATAAATAGAAACTAATAAATAAAATCAAAGTTATTAGATGTTCATTTTCATTGATGTTTAACGAACAAATTTAGCAATAAAAAATTATTTAAAAACACTTGTGATGATAATTCTTAAGTTTATATATAAAAAAATAAAAACAAAAATTCAAATGTAAATAGAGGTTTGACGTTTTCTTATGACATAAAATACTACTAATTTTAGAAGTTTATAATTTCAATACATTTAAATATAAACGACTGTACATTTTATTTTATCCGGAGTATACCACTTTATTTTTTTCCTAATTTAAGAGTGTATAATAAAAGACTTCTCATCTTTCATTCGTTCACGATCATAGTCTATGGTACCCGTCCGAAATATCTTATTCCGAAGAAACTTCATGGTTCCTTTAAACTAGTATTTCGGTCGTCTTTCGTTTCGTTACGCGATAATCGGCAGTAACTTTCGTGGTAGACCTCCTGATGCCCTAGGGCTTTTCAAATAGACTTTATGAGTGATAATTTCGATTTTCTGTTCACAAACTATTTCTATAGCGGTCTCTATATATAAACTTTAAATTTTATGCACGTAAGTACACGTGCGATGTATGTAGATATGTACGACTGCACAGCACACATTCTACATGCAACATTTGTTAAACAGTGAAAATGACTTACCGATTGCCGTACCTTAAAAAGCCCTAAATCTAATATACATATACGAGGATCCTCGTACATTTGGTATCCTTGCTTTAAGCTTTTATAGGAGTCCAATAGTAGGTAACCAGGACAAATGCAAATATTTTTTATAGCTAGGGACGAGATTGCGGCTCACCTGTTCGTGATTACCGAACAAGCAAGACTTTGAAGAAGTTATATTATTATGGTCTTTTTTTAAGGTTCAATATAGTATCGGTTCGAAAATATCATAGCTGAAAGGTGATTCCACAATGTGGCTGTGCGTGGCAAAAGGTTTCGGGAAAACCCACGGTGGAGGACCGCCATTCAGATGACGAGGATGATATTATAATGCAATTAAAGACCAATATCAAAGAATTTTCATATTTTATTGATATAATTAATTATAATACAACTTATAAGTATAAAAATAAAATACCAGTACCTATTCATTAATAAAAAAAACAGTACAATTTGTTCCATAAAGGCATTCCGACCACCAATCCGCATAAAGTTTAAGTTTAATCATTTGGGACCAATACGGGAATAATATACTGCGGGAAGTACCGCATAATAAACAAATATAAAAAAGGTGTGGAAATGAGAATCTCTCAGTTTGGTAGTCGGATTAAAAACCCACATATTTGAAATTGTTATTAACTTTTATAATATTAATAATGTAATTTATTTAACTACTAACGACTGAATTTTTACATTTTACATTTACATAGATTACAAGGCAATAATGATGATACCTAAATTGGCGCCTCACATAGTAGCATTGGGTTAAAATAATTAAATAATTTACTACATTTTGATTTAAATAATTGTATTTAATTGCAAAGATTAAATATTTGCTAAACCGTTTCCCTACATAATAAATAACAATTAACGAAGGACGAATAAACAAGAAGTATTAGCATTTCGTAAAAAAATATAGTCACTGAAGAATATGAAAAGGTAAGTACAATACATATACAATTATTTGTCTTATTGCATTTTAGAATTTTTTATACAATCATAGGTCAATGTGAGGTGCTTCCATTATACCTAAACTTATGTGAAATCAGTTATAAATACAATAAAACATCGTGATGAATAGTGATATCTAAATATTTATCTGTAACTACAGCAATGTTTGTATAAATAATGGTTAATGTTAGTGATTGTAAAAGCCTTATTATATCGTAAAATCTGGAATTTAAAATACTCTACATGTTACAAATATTTTGGTTGGAACTTCACAATTTACACAATTTCTAAGATGCACATATTTATTGCATGCTTTTCTTAATTAAGATAAAACAGGTTTAACAGTCATTGAAACAAATATAACTCTTGCCTGGTCTAAATATACATCATGTTTTCAATCAAAACTTATTAGTTCTGCCGTATTGTTGTTGTTTTCAGATTTTACAGATGTTTGGACTTGTTGAACCTGATGATTTTGTGGTGCATGTTGGCCTTGACCTTGTAATCCAAAGTTTTGTGGTACTTTCATGGGTTGCCCAGGAATATTTTGAGTAATGGGTTGACCTTGAGGCATAGATTGGTTTTGCACAGGTTGACCCTGAGTCATTGGACTGGTTTGAGGCAGCGGTTGCCCTTGAGACATTGGTTGACTCGAAGGAATAGATTGATGTTGTTGCTGTCCTTGTCCTATCTGTGGAGGAATTTGACCATGTGTCTGAGGTCCATGGGACATTTGACTTCCGGCCATTAGGTGTTGCATTTGTCCATGAGATAAGGGTTGTCCTTGTTGTCCAGGTAACATATGAACTGGAGGCATTTGGTTCATGTGACCTTGTTGAGGATTGCCCTGGTTATGAGGTAACATTTGACCAGGAGAGATTTGATTTATTTGACCATGTGGAGGGATATTCTGGTTTTGAGGCAGCATTTGACCTTGCTGTGGTATACTTTGGTTTTGAGATAAAACTTGTTGCCCTCCTTGCATCATCATTTGGTTTGGCGGTTGTAAAGGTTGTCCTGTGGTAGGTATTGGTTGGTTTTGTGATTGAGATTGTTGTGGTAACTGATGTCCATGGGAAGTAGGTATCTGTGAAGCCTGAGATGGTGCATTTTGGTTTGTAGGAATATGGTTAGTCATAGGTATACTTTGATGTTGACTAGACGCTGTCGGTCCTTGCATTATTTGTTGCCCAGGCAACATCATGGGTTGACCAGGTATAGGTATTTGCGATTGTTGTACTTGAGAACCAAGTTGATTATTTTGTTGATTTGGCATAACTGGATAACCCGAAACGGGAACCTGAGCATTAGATTGGTTTGCTGTCATCATTGGATTTCTCATATTTGGTATTTGCATGCCTACCATTTGATTGTTTGGAGTCACAAGAGATTGAATTTGACTTAGATTTTGTTGTGCAACAGACATTGGTGGCACCATTCCACTAGGCGGTTGCTGTTGTTGATTAGGTTGTTTTGGCAGCTGGTTAGTTTGGCCATTCTGTTGTGGGACATTCTGACCATTAGGTATATTTTGTGGAATCATCTGATGTACGCCAGGCTGAACAGGAATCCTCATTTGATGCATTAGCATTTGCTGTTGCATAGGTAACTGTTGGCCAGAGGTTGGCCGATTCATTGGTTGTTGAGCACTTGTCGGTACATGGCTAATGCCAGAGTTACCCATAGCATATGTATTCGTTAATTGCGGCACGGACTGAGATATTGTACCCATCTGCATATTGGCTTGTGAAAATTGAGGTTGGCCTGGCATAGCTAAAGAAGCATCTGTAGTAGCTTGTGGCATCATTTGCGGGTGGAATTGTGGGTTTGCGTATAAAGGTTGATTAGGATAGCCGGGTTGATATTGTGAAATATTTGCACCAGGCATGTAATAGCCACTGTTAGACATCATATACTGATGCTTCTGTTGTTCTTGTCTCATCTGCATTTCTCTTTCTTGTTCCTATAAACATATTTATATATACATGTCTAAATATTACAAGTCTATTTTTAGCTTATAAAATATAGCTCAAATTAGAAAGCTGTAATTCATTTGAAATGAAAAGGTTTAATTAACATAATGGTATATATATTTGGATTTCCTTATTACATTCTACTTCTATTATTATATTATTATTACCCAACACTTTTGTAAGCAATTAATTTGTTATCATATATATCAGTTAAGGTATTATACCAAACAAAATCTACTTCACATTTATGGTCATTTTAAGAATGTCATAATACTGAGAATTACTTACCTGCACCCTTTGCAGGGCTAGTTGTCTCTGGTACTGGAGGTATTCATGCTTTTTCTTCCTCATAGCCTGTAGTTTGGCGGCCATCTGCATTTGCCTCTGTCGCTCGGCAGCTTCCGCCTGCGCGGTCAATCTTGCGGCGTGCTCTGCTCTCAGTGTGTCCAAAGCCGCACGGCTGTCTCTCACTTGATTCACTTTATCCTACACAAATAATACATTAAATAAAATAATATTGTCATATATATCCGGTGCATGATACATGCATTGCGCAGCTCTACTGAAAAGTGTTAAAGAGAAGAATTTGCACGCGCTGAATAATGAACGCGGCCGCAAAGGCCTAATATCATCTAGACACGCGGTAGCGTGTCAAGCCAAGTTTCAATTAAGAGAACTGGCGAGCAGCACCGTGTGTATATTTATATATATAATCTATAGATCAAAATTATAACCCACTTCCAGATGACCTAGGAAGTTCAAATTTGGCATGCAGATAGGTAATTAGGTTAGGAAAAAATGAAACTGGTAAATTGTTATCATTTTATTATAATTTTTCACTTTAATTCATTCTATTTCAACTTATATTGGACGATTACTAAAATTCTATGAAAACGTCGATAGCTACCAATTAACTTTGATCCATCACTGGCTACCAGAGATCATCTTGCACTGGTCTAAAGTAATATTGTATGAAAACGTCAATCTTTACCAATTTACGTTAAGCCCTTCACATCAGTGTGGTGGATAACTAGCAAACTTTAAATATTGCATTGAGCGGTAAACACAAGTTGCTATAATTTAGATTCTGTCTAAAATATACTCGTACTTATAACTAAGAGTATAGTCGAAATATCATATACCCCGAAAACATACGAAAATACAGTAGTTTAACAAAAAATAATTTGGTATTAATTTAGTTATAAATAAGTACCTCGTATAATTTATGTACAAAAAGTAATGATATCCCATCAAAAACATAAATGTGAAATGATAGCCGAGTTTAATATTATGATATATGCCTTGATTGTTGACTTCTATAAGTTATATACTAGCCAAGTTAGACCTTAGGCTACACCTAAGGTCTAACTTGGCTAGTTTTCATATACGAAATATACTGTAGCCTTCGCAAGTTCTAAACATGTTACTTGTCGGTACCTATTTTATTATTAGTAGTAACTAGCAATCGAAAGTAATAATTGGTATATGAGAACTGGCCAAGTTAGACCTTAGGCTACAGTATATTATCCTAAGTTATAAAAAGAAATGATATTTTATGTTGTTATAAATACATTTCAGGACAGACCATTGAACTTGCCACCCATTTAGATCTCACCTCTTTTGTCGTAGAAGTCAACAATCAAGGCATATATCATAATATGAAACTCGGCTATCATTTCACATTTGTTTTTTAATGGGATATAGTAGTACTTGAAATATCGTTTATTTAATATTAAATCTGTAAAACGCTGACTGTGTTTTTGTTGTTAACTATAGTTGTGTTCCGAATTCAAAGACACATTGATTCAAACTCCGTACGGATAACAATTTTAGTAATTTTAGAAAGGACGATTGTCTAATTACTAAATGAAATTTTAGTTAGACATCATTTAGTTTTTTTATGCCCGCTGGATGCGACGACAGTAATCTTTATATATAAAAATTACGTGACACGGTGTTTGTCCACGATGGATTCCTAAACTACGATTGATAAATTGATTTAGACATTGTGTGCAGTTTAATCCAACTTGAGAGATAGGATAGCTTACACCTCAATTTACAATTGTAATATTACTTTATTCAAGAAAATTAGCTAAGGTTCTTGAACAAAGCAACAAGAAACGCGTGGCCGGGTCTGCTAGTTCATTTATATAATGTGTACAATTGTAAATAATTGTGTATTTTTTTAACAGAATCTTGTTCTTTGGTGCCCTATTTTTTCTCCTACAAAACGACTTTATTTATAGATAACAAAATCTATATACGATCAAAATGGCGATAAGCAGTACATAATTTCGATTTAAAAAAAAGTATTAACCAATGTTAATTCTAACAAAAATTACTTTAAATACTAAATTATTTTATAATTCGCAAAAACATTATTATTTTTACCTGTAAACTTTCCAAATAGACTCTTTTATCGTCTTGCTGCTGTATATAACGTAAAAGACGTGAGTGCATGGTGGTCATGTTCATAAAGAGAGTCTGCACAGATGTGTCGTTAGCGATAGAGCGCCCTCTGTGAACAAACATTCATAATTTTTATTTTTTATGCAATGCGAATGGCGTCCCTTTTATGTAAGCTAATCCAAGGGTAAAAGCCTTGTCATTTCTATTTCTATCCTAAGATAAAAATATAAATGACAAGGCTTGTTACGAGTGGCTTGATACAAAAATTCAATTTTAATTATATATAATATTATTTTTTAGTAATATTGAGGTCTTTACCTAGAGGAATTGCTCTTCATTCTGTTGACAAATATTTCTATTTGTGACTTCAATGTTTCGATAAATTCGTCTATTTCTTTGTCTTCAGCATCTTCATCTGATATTTTATTGGTCACGGATTTAGAGAAATCCAACTGTAACACCAAAAAAAATGGATTGCTATAACAAATGTAGTAAAATTGTATAATTTACGGAGAGTTTATTATCATTTATTGTTATTTATCCGTAACTAAATTAATTTTTGGTTAAAAAAATGAATATCTAATAGTATTCTAAATTATTTAATGTATATCCACAAAATGCTCAGTCCATCTTGCACAACTTATGGACAATTTCTTCATAATGCTACGAAACTGACCTCGGTAGCATCGGTTGTGGACTGCGCGGGTTGCGAGGCTTGCGAAGAGGGGGAGGGAGCAGTGGGGGCGGCGGGCGTGTCACGTGACAGCCGCTGCTCCCAGTAGTTGCGGTCCAAGTATCGGGACAGTTCCGATGACGCCTGCGCGCTATGGTCCGGTGATGCGCTCATAGACGACGGCGTCGGGGACACTGGACATAGGGACAACACATCCTCAGTTTCCATTAACATACATATATAATATATATTGACATTAAATTTAAATTGTCCTTTACCTAACATTAGAACTACATTTGCACAAGAGTATAATTTTTTTTGCTTCCAAGTTGTATATTTATCGCAAATTATAATTATGCTTTATTTATATTATGCTAAGCAACTTCCAAATTTGACAAAAAATTCAAATATGGCTAAAATATAAATTAAATTGCAGTCAGACAGAAACACTACTAGGCTGAGTAAAGTGACAATAAATCTATACATTTATGCAGGTGCATATATGTATGTATATATAGACACCAATTTACCATACAATTATTTTACCATTTTAAAATAACTATGTGAGTGATATTATTAAATCAAAACTTATATTGTGAATATATTAAAGTTAGTATATTTACAAAAATAGATTTTTATGGGTCATCCGCAACAACAGAGAATTTATATAAAGGACAAATGATGTATTCTAATAACACATTGATGCATACATAAACTGCAACAAGTGTATTTAATTTCTTTTTAAACATTACTATTAGGCGTCATTACAATTTAAGATGCCAGCATATTAAATAACTTAGTGATCACTATATTATAGTTACATAACTTTTTCAATTATCATTAGTATAATCTTGAGCATGTACTAGTAAACTGATACAATACATCCTAGACTATCAAAGGAACCAATAACAAAATATTCACATGTAGGATGGTGCGGAGTGGGGTCCGGCGCGATGTGAGAGCGAGTCTTGCGCTCTTTCTCTTTCTGCTCTGCTTCGGACTGACTAAGGGCAAGCGCGAGCTGAAGCTCTTCTTCCTCTTGAAGCTCCTCAGCTGTCTTACCGCCGCCGGAAGGACGCTTCTGTAAATAATAATGGTGAATGTTCTTATTTTATCATTGAATAACTCAAAAATAAATTATATCTCTATTAGCATTTACTAGGGTAATAATCTATCTAGATTTATAACCAGACACTCTTTAAATAAGTATTTAGATAAATAACGATACGCGTTCTTGAGATTAATTTGTATGTACCATTACACCTAAATATAAACTAAAGAAATATAATAGATTCGCAGTGCTTACTGTCACTATTGTGTATTACCGTGTATTACCAATTTACGTGTAAATTGGTATCACGTAAATTACGTTTTACGTATGTTAAATATGTATCATCGAATCATTATTTATTACTATGAATCCTTTAATGTTTCAATGAACAAACAACATAGTCACTGACTATCAATAAATCAATAATTCACATGTATGCTAGTTATGTTAAACAATGTTATACAATGAATATCAGTGTATTGTCTTGTGAGTTGGATAAGTAATATAATTCCTAGCAATATGTAAAGAGAGAATAATTATTTAACTCGGTTATTTTGCATAAGTGTAGACTAGGTTGATATTTATTTTGAAATGAAGAATTTATACTTTACATATATTTAATTGTTTCACCATGATTACATAGTGAATGAAAAATTAGCCTAAGATGAATTACTTACTACTTAATTAGTTGCTAGTAGTAAGTACTTATTTTTAGTGAAGAGTTTTTGTACAGTACAAAAATATTAAAAGAGTTTTTATAATTATATCTCATAGAATTGTCAGAGAATTTGTAATAAGTACTAATGAAGTCAATAGTAAGACCATTTATAAGAATCTTCTGAGTGTAGAATATACCTACAGTGTTCAGACCTCTGACCCCCTTATGTCCCATTTAAGAGATTATATTTCATGATTGTATACAAGTACAATAATAAAATATAGACAAATAATAAAAGTCTAATAATATTAAAATATATTTTATTATTATCAAAACACCACAATGAAATTTCATAAACATAAAATTACTGTTACCAATTGTGAGTCATGATTAGAAACTTAAGCATGTCCTAATATTTGTTCCACATAAACAAAATGTCATCCATATAAACTATAGTACAAAATGTTTACAACTACATTATTGTTGTATTAATAAAATACAAATCAATTGGATCAAATATTTAAAGGTTTCTTAATAATATCAAGTTTATCAGTCCTGAATTACATTACATTACATATAATGTCTAATTTAATTACTGATTATGCTTTAATCTTCTAACAAACTTAGGTGTCTCAGGCACTGTAAGTGGTGCCACTGACTTCACAGGAATAAATTGTGTAGGTTCAGGTGCTGGTTTAGCATGATGTATTAATTTTGCTCTCAATTCAGCTTTAGATCTTTCCTCAATCTCTTGCTGTTCCTTTTCTTTTTGAAGTCTAAGTCTCTCTTGTTCTTCTTCTTTTTCCTTTAATTGTTGTTCGAATTTTTCTCTTTCGGCTGCTCGTTTTTCAGTTGTTAATATAAATGGTACTGGTTTGAATAATTGCAAAGGTTGCAGTACTGGTTTGAATGGTTCCTTGTAAAGTACAGTTGGAGGTTTGGCTTCAAACTTACAATGATTCTCTTTGTTTTCTGATGATGTTGTAGACGAGGTTGTTTTTTGTGTAGCACTATGCATATGTCTCCTAACAGCTCCAGGTAAAGGTTGAGCTTTGAAAAGTGAAGCTTGCTTTTTTTCTTCTTCTATTTGACGCTTGATCTTCTCCTCTCTGCGTCTTTTTAATTCTTCATCCCTTTTTTCGAATGAGAATGGTTCAGGTTTAATGGGACCCTGACGCTGTATTTTTTGGACATGAGTATCAACAGATTTTAGTACAGTTGTTGGAGGATGTTCATTGAGTCCTTGTTTCAATTGATCTGTAGAATTCACACGCTTGTAATGAAACTTAGGACTAACTGGTTTAGTTGTTTGAACTGGTAACTTTACCGGAATCTGTGGTTTTTCAAGTATATGCTTTGGAGCGGGTCGTGCTTTGAATTTCTGTGCATAATCTGGAGTTTGTGTCAACTTTTTGTGCTGTTCTGTTAATTTGAATGGTTCAGGGACAGTTAAGGGTTTTTTCTGTACTTCAGGCAGATTTTTAGTGCCTTCAATGACTGATTTTGGTATTGGATGAGCTTTAATTTTGAATCTCCTTATTTCTTCCAGTTCCATTTCCTCCTTCTCTTTTTGTGACAAAATATGATGGGGACGGGAGCGAGCTCTGCATCGTAGCATTGGTGATTGAGGAACAGTTAAAGTTGACGGTCTGATAGACCCTTGAGATCTGAAGATTTGGGGCTTTGTAGAATGGAACCTGCCCGGTGTATCTCTTTGATAGTGATATATAGCTTCAGCCATAGAAACAAACTTCGTTCTGGATAATTCCAAAGGCGCTTCAGACTGGCGTTTGTACCTATCGTAAATACTTTGTTTATCTTCAAGTTCCAACTTCACAAGATTATCTTGAAGTGCGGCAATATCGTTCATAGAAAGGGACTTCCTCATAGATCCAATGTGTTCAAATGAATCCTCTAAATAATGGTGAGTTCCAAAATCATTTTCCGTCGGGGTTATTGGTTCTTCTTTTATGTATTTCCCATTTGGTGTTATAAAATGTTCACCACGAAAATTAGTCACGTAATTTTTTGCCATATTAAATATTTTATTTCACTTTAATTAAACAAAACAAAGATGTTGAATAGCATTCGAATGGAAAGCAAAGCAATTCGTTATTTTTTAAACGGACAACCAAATCATTGACAGACAGATTGATGGAAACACGAAAACAAAACAATTGTCAGTTGTCATCAGTATTGCCGTATTCGAATACATTACTCTTCTATTACGTTCTAACTATGTGGCGCCATCTTCCATGAATTTTGATTTAATGTATAATCACATGATTTAGGGAATTTAAACAAAAACTATTTTCCTAATATTATGAATATGGTAGAATATATGCAAAAAGAAATAGTGATAAAAATACTAGTTTTGGAATTCAAATATGTATTAGCGAGTACTCTAAACGTAAATTTATGAAAACAAAGGCATTGTCAAAATTGTTCTTAGTCAATCTGACTCAGTCTATCAGTTAAACGTCATTATTTATATTGAAAGAAAGCTGTTTACGACTAGTAAATTTACGGCAAATATAGTTAAAAATAATTACTGATAATATTGTCCCAATACATATAATCGAAATGACTCAGTCTGCTTTACCAAATCCTAATACATTATTACCACTAGAACTTGTGGATAAATGTATAGGTTCTCGAATACATATTATCATGAAGAATGATAAAGAAATGGTGGGAACTTTGCAAGGTTTCGACGATTTTGTGAACATGTTATTGGACGACGTGACAGAATATGAATCAACACCTGAAGGACGAAAGATCACGAAACTGGATCAAATCTTATTGAATGGAAACAATATTGCAATGTTAGTGCCAGGTGGAGAAATGCCAGGAGAATCTTATGATGGACAATAATTAATAATAAATGTATTATTTTTAAAGTGTTTCTTTTTATTATCGTGTTTATTTCTATTTTGTGTATTTAATTTTATATTTAAAGAGTTATCGAGTAGTGATCGAAATGGATAGACAATAGTTTACCTATCCATTGTTCTATTTTGTATGTTCTAACGGTATATGCTGATGGGGACACTTGTGCGGCAGTAAAAGTATGTAATAATCATGGCAAACTAACAAGGAATTTATCAAAATGGTTTACAGTGGAATCTTGTGGATGCCGATAGTACCTAACCTATACCTGACCCATCATTACTACGGCCATACACTGCTCACGACATGAGTTTCGGAGCATAAAATTAAAAGTAACTAATATATTTTCAATCTGACAGATGGTTCTTAATCTTTTAAGTGTAATGCTTCATTATTACTTCCATGATGATATTTGTTTTAAATACAAATGGTTAATGTAAAAACAATAATACTAAATTTTACACTTAAAACTAATTGTAGTTATTACATACCTGTGGCTGTGTTGGTCCATAGTCATTAGAACTGTCTACAATTTCCAGTTTGGCAGAAGAAGTTGGTGGGCGGCTCACTTTATCATAACATGCATCACAGACGCGAACCTAATAGATTAACAAAAAAGAATTACTGATACTTATACCTCACAGTTGCATAATTTAGGGATGTTTCTTATTACAATATTATGTAAAGTAACTATTCCAATCATGTACCTCTTTTTCAATACCGAACTTTGGTAGAGTTGATGTCTTGGAGCTGCATTGCTGACAAAAAACTTGGCCACATGCTCTACAATGATGCCGACGGACCATCAGTGAAAATGCGACACGGCATCTGTTACAAAAATTACCAGCAGTCATGCATATTGGACTTTATTCTCTGGCACTATAGGTGCAACATCATCCATAAAAAAACATGAGGGTGGTATACACATAGACAATGTACATAAGAATTCCGTTTATATCATGAAAGTAAAATTCTTTAAACAATAAACTAATATTCACTAACCTATGGCATACTTCTCCATCAGCCCACTCTGGTGCAGTGTCAGCAGAGAACATTGCGTCAGATTCTTTTAATGGCGGGAACTTATAGCTTTCTGCTTTTAGTATATTTACTGTGTCCTGTTGAATACATTACTATCATCAATTTGTCACATTAATAACATATGATTTTAAATAAATCATATGTGAGTCATACAGTAGACTGATAAAGACAGATGAAAGTGTGTAAAATTGATAACAAAAAGATATTGTGTTTGTTTACCCAAGTACCTACATCGATAACGTTGAAAATTACATATTTTATAGCCAATTAAAATCATTGACTGTATACTACTAACTAATTACTTTAAATAAGAAATTATATTAATGGTTTGGATTTGGAAGAAAATATATTAATGGTAGCCAGACTATATTACATTACATATTTTAAAATGAACTAATATCTTCTTTAAATATTTTATATGAGTATATTAATTAGGATAAAAAGTGGCCCTGTGTCTATATGGTAACCTAGAATCCAGTGTATTATGTATATCATGTGTCAAATTTTATTCAAATCTATAAAGCCATTCCATTCACAAACATGATCAAAGAAAAAATCCTCATATTTCTCTTTAAATATAGGTACTTACTATGATTTTTATACTATGACTAAAATAATATTCAATGTGCTGTAGATGACATACACCATTATTCAATATTATAAAATCAAACCCATAAATTACTCACAGTCCTTTCAAATCATACAAGTTTTAAATTTATCAAGAAGGACAATGACGTTTCTGAACAATGTAAACAAAACAATAAGTCGTTGATTAGATGTAATTATGTGACTGCTTACGTACATATGTGGGCTGCACTGAATAAATCAACAAACTCACTCATATAATGAATATTTCTCTTTATCTACACAAAATAACAACAAAAAGAAATATCTATCCGTGTCTAATTAGATTAGCAGTAGACGAAATCGATAGTTCGCACGAACGTACTAGCATCTACATGTACGTAAAGCAATTTTGATATTCACCTTGAGTGAGGCACAACAATAGTTCAGTGAACTGTGAAAACTTAGTCTGAAATCTGTCATTTAGAGGCTGACACATCTAGCATGACTACAACTTTGTGAGTAATAAACTTGTGTTGTATATCAACCAGCCGTATTTTAACCGACTTAAGAAAAGAGAAGTATCTTAATCAATTGTTAAGTTATATTTTCAATGAGCACCGAGTAGCGCGCGCGGTCAAACGTGACGTCACCACTAGCTACACGGTGCTCCACAAGTTTAAAATCATTATACTTTGTTTATTAATACAACTAAATTGGAAAGTATATTATGCAGATGAATACATGCTGTAATGTATGTGTTCTAGCATACATTACAGCAGCAAAGTTGTGACAAGGTACTGATTCTTAATTAGAAAAACACATGCATAATAGTTTCTAAATATTAAAATAATAGTAATAAGCACACAAAGAATTTTTTATAAGCCTACATAATTTACATGACATTTAATAACTCCCATATTATTATTTTTTCACTTCAAATTCGAAAAGAATGATTTCTGCACAAAAAAATAATATTCACATATATCAAATTATATGATCCTTAGCAACTATAAATTTACAGACAACTGAGGCATTACACATTTGAGGATGTCAATTAAAAATAGGATTATTAAAAACTCTTAATAATTGTATGTTGTGATTTTATGATTTTACCTGAACAGCTCTATACTTTGGTGAGTTTCGAAATGCGAATGCCCATGCCTGTATGAGCTCAAGAATTTTATTACGCAGATTTTCATGTTGAGTAGATTTTACCAAGTCACGTAGCATTTCACAGAATGCCTTTGATGTCACTTCATCGTGAACTCCAGAGCCTGTTGGAAAAAAATAATATGGTGATCGTTACTTACGAAATTTATCTAATAAAGTAATAACTGCTATGTAGAGTCTCACATTGGTGTGTAAGAACTAAGACTAAGCAGTAAGTCTAAGAACCATAGATTTCTAAATTTCTTCAGTCGCCAAAACAATTAGTTTATTATATAATTTTAATACTATTTGTAGAATTAGGTATTTATAAAATTTGGTTTCAAAGTAGTAAGAAAGTACAACACACTCCAAACAGATTAATTAAAAGAACAATAATTTGATTATTAATTAAAACAATCCATGAAATATTTTTTATGTTACCCAGCCATGCATTGTTGTGGCTAAGGTTCTTGAGCTCTCCTATCTTTCAAGTTGGATCAAATTGCACACAATGTGCAAATCAAATTTGCAATCGGTTCAGTAGTTTAGGAGTCCATCGTGGACAAACAACGTGACACATAGTTTTTATATATAAAGATGTACTAATAAAAAAACTATATCTAGTTAGAATAACACAATATATACTTATATTGTATTCTATAACTATGAAAAAAGTATACTACTCACCACAATTTTTGACTATACTTTCTAGAGTAAGTAAGGCAAACATAGCTTGATGTGGGTTCTGTGCATATAGCTTCTTTTTAACAGCGGCCACTGCATATTTTGGCCTAAAAATAAATACTTCATATAATATGAAATAATATATACTATGAAGATCACAGCTTATAAATTTATGCTGTAAAAAGGCAAAAACAAACATAAGGTAGGTAAAAGCAAACACTGATAGTAAACACTATAATTATTACTATTAAAGAAATAAGTAAGATGAATACATTGCAAGTTAGTAATACTGATAACAATTTCTCTGATGCCATCAAACATATGTCAATGTATCTTTGTTAATTTACTAGTACTTGCTTAGTCTGACCTGTAGGTACAGGAACCTATGTTTTTCTAAAACTGCAATTTAAAATAATAATTATGGAGACATATAATTCAATAGAAAACTTTCTAGACAGCTATGACATGTTATATTTTTTACATATTACCACTGAATTCATAAGGCTGTTGGATGACGATGACCTTCGCTAAAAGTGTATGCTGAATGCTGATACATTATTATGCAACAAAGTAATATAAGTAAAATTTCATTCTGCACTTATCACAAAAGACATTTAATTATTATTTATGATAACATAACAAGACAGAATAGTGACATAAAATACAGACATACTAAATAAGTGTTAAGGAAATTTAGATAACTCATAGTTAGCTAGCTTTGTTTGTCCTTATAACCAATATGAACTCCCCTGAGTTGATAGTGGTTATAAGGACAAAATAAGCTAAAAAGAACTAAACTAAAAGCTACAAAGGATAAGTGGAGTAATAATTGTATGTAGTTGGCCATGAGTGCTATTACAATGAGTCGGCCCAGCTTGGGGCCAGCTTCCTAACATTTAAGTGACTTTAATTATTCAAATACAATTTAGTGATATTAAGCCTAATATTACAAAGAGACTTCAGCTAGTTTGTTTGTGTGGAGGGTTATTTTTGGAAATACATGAGAGATAATAGAGCCTGGAGTCATTATATTACTAATTTATACTAAAAAATAATAATTGTCTCTTAGGTATTTACCCCCATTCACTATTATGTTTGATAAATCTAGTGGAAAAGAAAGCTTCTATGTCTATTAGATATTACATCTATTCATACAAACATTTGATTGTAAGTTTTTAAAGTTAAGGAGGTTCCTGAAATAGAGTTTTTAGTTCTAGTATAGATTATCCATTCTAAGTAAGTATGGTATTGTAATATTGTCCATATGTGATGTATTTTTTATACCACTATACTGGCAAAAAAGTGTAGGGTAGATATTATGGTAAACTATTAAGAGAGTCTATATATTTATGAAAAAAAGTATTCAATACATTAAGAAACATCTACAGTAGACACTGTGTAAACTTATCATACACAAATTGCTTTGTGATCTGACTACTGCATATCTGCTCAGAGAACTTGAGGTTGTAATATACTGTAATTGTCAAAATTAGATGATTCATAATTTCCACCAATTAACCTGAACAGTTGTAATTATTGGACTCTTACTAGATGTTGTTATAATGTAATTTAAATAGCAAATGACATTATCTATATAGGTATAGCACTACAACATGACATTATAATAGGAAGCCTGTGGTACCAAGTACATGATTATGCATTGCTATTCTCAAGGTCAAAGGTACTATACTTCTGATGCTGTAATTACACTACTTTATCTGAGCCCCATTAGCCAAAACAGAACATCTACTTGGCAGCTGAAATATGTTTTCCCACACATACATTCATTTTAAAGTCTACCTCATGAAAATACATTTATTTAGGAGAGATGTCCATAAAACTATGTGTTTAGGAGAGACCTACCTATCTACCACATGTAGATAAATCTAGAGTTAATAAGTATTATTGAACACTATCAAGTAGTAATATGTAAAATGTGAAGATTATTAATAATATTTTTATGTATATATTTACTGAAGTATGGTACATTCTTTAGAATTTTTGACACATAGTTACAATACTCTTTGCTGATGGCATTGCTTATTGGAATTGCCCTAGTTGTTTTTAAAAAATATTTACCAAATTTCTTGTTTATGCCTAACATTCTAATTTACTACCATATATAAACAAAATAAATTTAAATATTGCTTTGTATATTTTTTATGTATCATTTGAATGTTAGTTAATATGTCAGAAGCCTTTACTAATTCCTCCATCAATAAAGTGTATTTCCATCAGATAATCACCAATAATCCTCACAATGGGATTTTACAATACAATATACTTACGAACAATCATTTTGTCTAATCAGATCACAAATTTGAAGGATAGTTGGCCAATCGGGATCCAAGCGCAGATTACTTGTCGCTTTATCTAGAACATAATTTCATCATTATTGTAAAAAATTGGTATAGAAATAATACAATTAATCTTTGCCGTTTTACGTGAGATTATATTGATGACTAATAAAATTTATTTAGCTGATCTCAGATAGTTAAGTATACCATTAAATGTATATGTAGTCAATGCAAATGAAGGAAATAGAAATTATTGTCAGAATATAAATAGTAAAAAGAAATTGTAGAAAATGCCTTTATATTGCACTGCGTAAACCATTTATGACATTTGATAATTAATTATATACTCACCAAGTAATTTATCAAAATTGTTAGCTCGAAACATGTTTTCTTATTGTTTTATTTTATTTATTATAGAAAATAAACTGATTGATCGTAAAATAGAAAAATGACAGCTCACTTTTGTCAATTCAATGTTTTTCTGAATGTTGGTAATATATGCCATAGAGTATCTATTGTTAAAGCCGATTTACACGTGTCAAATACATTGGCTAGACAGTACACGCTGTCGAGTCAGTACCGAGAGTGAACATCGAGCTATAAAAATATTAACTCTAGGGAATGGCTATATTGAAAATTACATTAAGCTACATTAATTATAACTTAAGGCTCACAGTATAATATCTATGTATGCTATATAAATAATACCAATATTTACACCACTTCAATTTCATTGATATTCTGCCAACTGTGCGAAAGGGACAACTCCCTCACTATGAAATCTCATAAGAGAATTAGTATTCATTGGTTATGGACTGAAATGAAAAGTAATGTTTAGGCATACATATTTCATATGAATTATTACTATAATACACATTTCTTATTATTATATAAATAAAAAATCATTGTAAAGGTGATTTTAGGGTAAGGAAACAATTAACACACATTTTAAAAATCTGTAACTAATGATAAGAATCTGATTAACTATTATGTATTAATAATATTAGTATTCAATGTATGTGTTCTGCAATATATGTTTTAAATATAGCGTATTATTTATAATAAGTGTCATAAAGATGTTGCCCATGACGAATCGACATGAATTACTATTAATGCGTAATTAAACTTTACCCGTGCCTTAATAGCGCTAGTGGAAAGAGCATATGGATTTCTTGATGGACATTGATTAATTTGTACAATAATCTGATTTAATTAAAAACACCAAAGGTAAATATTTATAACAAACTAAAATAAGCTATGGTAGGTTGCTCCCTATACAGCATTATATTCTTCTCGTTTATTTAAGCCCCTTTATCCGTAACGACGTGGTTGCTCGTGACTTTAAGGTACGGTTTTGATTTTGTGATAAGCTTGGCGCGATAATGGTCCTCACCCCGACCTCAAGAACCTGCCTTCATGGCCGACATTCGGCCTTCATCCAGTTTTTCCAGGCGAACCACTTTCGCCTTGAGAGATCTGCACCTTTCTAGGAGCGAACCCTCTTTATTTCCGTAGTCATAGGTACTCCTTCTGTTCTTATTTATTGTTCTATAACAATGAACATTATAAGAATAAAGTATTTTTATTCTAACATTTCTGCGAGAATTATTTGAGAACTATTCATTTTTATCAAAACAATATGATTATGTTGCTCTTATGAATGTGCAATACATACGAGTACATACATATATGGAAACAGTTTCAATTTCTTCCTATTGTAAATTCGTATTTTTCTTCGCCACAACAGCAACAGTTTACACGTGTCTGCGACTTCCCTACTAGGATTGGTTTTGAATCGATACACTTAGTTTGAACTAGCTGTTTCTCGCAGTTTAATTCGCATGAACTTATTTATTGTGACGGAAGTGTTAGAAATCTTAGCTCATTTGCTTACTCAATTTATATTGAATTCATTTGTAAAATGTCTCAGAAAAGTCAGTTGTTTTATCAATCAAATTAACAATGTGTTATCAATGTATATGTATATATTAATAGTATATAGTATCTTCATAGAATTGAGGTGCAAAACTGTACATAGGTACTTAATGTTATGTTGAAATTCTTTTCATAATGGCATAACAATCAGAAAGACATAAGTGTATTAATTGTTGTACATATAATAGTTTGTGATAACTTTAGAACTACAGTTTTAGCCATAGATACATATAGTATTTAACGATGTTCATTATATATTTTATATATTATTATCGGGGCGTATCATGTTATCAGTAAGAGATTTCTTATCATGTCAGTTCGGGGCCGAACTATCTATAAAGAAATATAAGAAAGTGTACTGGGCCCCGCAAATGTATTTTAAAACAATGAAATTGAGCCGGCTCTGTACTGTAAATATAATTTTTTTATATACATATATGTATGTCTGTGAATTCGTTTGTCTACTCCTGTTACCGAGGTGCATAAAACGCATGCTAATATCTGAAAAATATTAGATGTTTGAGTGAAGTAAGCTTCCTGTCCTAATATTTGTATGTGTATTTTTAGTCAGCTCACAAACAAAAAAGGTTTTTAACTATTGTCGTAAAATGACTTTGCAGTCGTTAATTCAGTTATTTAAGTATATAATTCCACTGTGATTGAAATATTTTCAAGTAGTGTAGTTGAAACGTTTAGATAACGGGGCCCCGAATTACATTTCCTAGGGCCCCGCCATGCTTAATCTTGCCCTGCGTGTCACTGCATGCATGGTAGTTTATTTTTAACTATGAAACAGAAAGGTACCGACTATATTATTTTATACAATAAAAGTTGTTAAGGAGGCATTCGTAATTGTGTGGAGTAGATGATAAGCGCCAACCGATAAAACAATCGATTATAATTATTTATTGTTAGATTAAATAAATTCATTGAAGTGGTGTTTTGTGCCTGATCGAAAATTCTTTTAAATGAAATATGAAGTGTTGTTACTTTCATGGAATAAATAGTATTATCAGTAGACATAAAATTAATATGCAGGAGAAGATAACCGATATAAATATTAGTGTTATTGGAAGACAATATATTACGGAAGAAATGGAAAGACAGAGAAAAATGCTTACAGAATTGGATTTCAGTTTGAAGAAATGCAACCTACAATTGACCTCATTTAAATTAGCAATATCTACCCTTCAACTGCAAACTACTGCAATGCAGTGTATGTATCGTGATTTAATGGAACTAAGGATAATAATAAAATTAATTATTAAATATCCTCTCATATCAAATTGTCAAATTATATGACTACAATGGCTTCAAAAGGAATGCATAACTGTACACTCAACGCGAATTAGTATTGGTCTAAACAAGTAGTTCCATAGGCATTTATAGCATATAGGTACTATATATTATAGTAAAGATTACAATAATATAGAAAAACGAAATAAATATATATATATATATGAATTTTATGTATAATCATTACACAGTATAAAACAAAGTGGCTGTCGCTGTCGGTCCCTATCTTTATAACTACACATCAGTGTTTTTTTTAATAGATTTTAATAGTGACACAAGAGGAAGTTTTATATATATAATAATACATGTACATCCGTGCGAAGCCGGGGCGAGTTATAGTTAGATAAAACTGAAATTGGGAATATGAAAGAAATATCTTCAGTATCAGGCAACTCATATTTGCAATATGTGACTTTCTACGTGTCACTCCTATTTGTGACGCATGATGATGTAAGCTATGACAGTCGACTTGACTAATAATTAGGTATCTACTTAATGAGGTCGACGAAGAAGATGGCGCAGACGCAATATTACTGTTTAACAATGAGTTAGTGAGAATAGGATAGATATTTATATAAAATACTAATCGACCCGGCAAAAGTTGTGCTGCATGGAAAAATAGCGCTATCGGATTTTTTTTTATTATGAAACTATCCAAGTCTCCATTGAAATATAGACACGAAAATACATCCAAAGCTGTTTAGTACGAGTTATGCGACAATAATATGTGCAGAACTATTATGAATAGATAGATAGAATATACTTAATTGTAATAATACAATAAAGAAAAGACATAAATAATATATTAAAGAGCACATGAATACGATGAATGTTTTAGGTCTAGATTTATTATCATGGCCATACTAAAAACTATTGATTTATTTTACTGTACTTACTTTAATTATAATTAGTTTAATATATTAATTAATGTATTTTTGTTTCTAACAAATATACGCAAAATAAGTAAATGATCATTGTCATAAGTACCTACCGGTCTGTCAGACTCCGAAAGGATAGCCATTCTAATGACAAGGTGTAAATTAGGTGCATTAGATATAGTACCTAATAACAGGTTGGAATAGTATTTTCGTCTTCATTTAATTTCAGTAAAAGTATCATTATAACATTAATATTTAAAATATGTTTTTACTTTTTAAAAGAGTTTAGTTTTAGTATACCTTAGTTTTCTGAAATAAATATATTCTAAGTTACTCCTTATTACATCAGCTACCTGCCAAAAAAGTCCCGTCAAAATCGGTCCAGCCATTTCAGAGATTAGCCGGAACAAACAGACTGACAAAAATTTGAAAAAAATGTTATTTTGGTGTATGTACCGTATTTACAGTCATATGCATGTAGAAAAAAACTATTATTTCAATGTTTGAAATAAACAGACACTCCAATTTTATTTCTATGTATAGATTAAAGCTATGTATACTGTTATTATTGCATTTTATTTTAATCCAAAGACATATATAAATAAGAAACTAAAGGTTAAATTACATACTATTCTGTTCTTTCTTCAACTTCAAAAATAACACACAGGCGTGTTCCAGACACGTACCTAATAATCTATCTATTTTTAAATAATCATTTTTCTATGTAATTGGAACCGCCAACAAGCGGCCTAGATGGTGCTAACTATGTGAGTACCAGGTGGTAAGTGGTAGGTCGCCTTGGTATAAACCTAGGAACATAAAGACCTCCATGGTGGTCACAATGTCATCCCGTAATATCGCCCATGCGTTGCCATTCCCGAGAGCTGAGATATTTTTTTTAATGGACGACAATGGAATTGTTGGCCAGAAGTTTATGCTGACAGTGCAGGAAGGATGAACATGAGGTCAGGCCAGCTAGCCCACTGTGACAAATTTATCATGATGGTTTTAAAGCGATTCGCGCGGAGTTCAACTTGACATGGTACATTGATGGCAAACGTGACAACAGTCTACAATACTAACAATCCCCTTCCTACGGGCTAAGATATTATGCCTCCGTATCACATAATTTCATTGCGATATCTCACCCTCCAACTTATAAAATAACTGCTCTGCAACAGAGGTGTCCACGCAGACGACTTTCCAAACAGTATACCACTGATATTCCTGGTACAGACACTTGTATTTTGTATAGAGTTTATGAATGTGTGCCAAAGAATAATAGAAATAGTTGACATAAAAATCTTGTTTGGTACACGGGCGCCATCTAGTATGTAGATTTACTACTAACTTCTATAGCCAAAGAGTAAACTAAATATGTTTGAAAATTAAAGAGTAATCTAAATATAAACACTTTTGTTTTATCTGAGTTCTTTATACAACAGACCCTAGGTACTATGTGATAGATATTAATATAAATTTTCCTATATTGTACTGTGAAATTTTTAATACCTAATTTATATAAGAAAACAGTCGTAGTTGTATTAACATGTACTTAATAGTCTTTTATCTCTGAAGCAATGGCGGACTAGTTTCAGTGATGAAACTACAATCAACAATCAAAAGCTAAAATGAATCAATATGACGGTCAAATATTTCAAAAAAGGTACAAAAATGTAATTATTATTTTTATATTTCACATCATCATGTTTTTCTACCTATCACTAGATGGCGCATAGCTCCTATTAGGTTGCTTTGACAGTAATATTTTATTTAACGTCAGCCTAACGACAGCCTATAATATTATTATTAAGTATTACTTATAGGAAGGTGTTTTGAATACCTTAACGGTGAAAATCGTAATGCGTAAAATATTCGTCTTATAATCATGATCCTTTAAGTGTTGTACATCGCGTACTTATTTACGTACCTTTATTATGGTAATATTTATTTAATTGCAACGGAAAACAAGCCGACGGCCTACCCGATGGTAAAAGGTAACCGTCGTCTATGCCTATATCTACATGTGAAACATCACAAATATAATGCTTATGCCTGACGCTCTTGAAATCATGAGTTGGTCGCCATTAAAGAGGAATAAAATCTCTTGTCTTCGTAATCTTCGTATTCTATCATTTTATTTTTCACAAGCAACTTCAATAAGCATCTAATTAATGGAGCTGCTTGTCTAAGCTAAACATTTGACGACATTTGTTGTATTTTTGTAGATTGCAGTAGATTACATAAAATGTAAATTTTTACATTGTTTTTCTTTTAATTATTGTATATAGAGTACATACACATTATGTAATCTTGCTACGTGAGCATATTGGGAAATTGTAAAGCTCGCATAGTCTTGATGTCAACAAATAAATAAATAAAACAAAATTACGGTTTCGGTACACATTTCGGAAATCAGAGCCATATTAAATTCGAAGAGATATGAGACGAATCAATCTCTCATATCTCTTCGGATTTAAATGTATACTGTAGAAAATATACAGGCAATAAAATAACTATTTATTTAATATTGTTATTAAAATAATCTTACACACCTTAAATTAACGAATATATTCCTGCAGCAACAGGTGACGAACAGACTAAATGCTGCTTTTATAATTAAAATTAAATTAAATTCATTAGGTAGAACCAATGAGAAAATAATTTACTGACTAGAAATATTTTGTATTAAGAACAAAAAGAAATCATTTGAATAAAGAATTTGCTTAAATTATTTAAATAGAGTTATTAGAAATTATTATGCATATTCTAAATTTAAAATATATCCGCTCTTTACTATTATTATTAGTGACAAGCTTGCGACTAATGCATTGCGTGATTTACGCAAGGATATCAGGATATTCCTGGATGCACCTGAGGTCGCCGGAGATCGTCGGAAAGAGCATCGGCCATGACAATTGAAAGAGCAACATTACCTCTGTGCGGGGAGCGTAATTCGATAATCGTTGTGCTCTTGAACGTGTCGAGCCGCTGACAGACCATCTGTCACGTGGACCGACCTGTTAGAAGGATACACATATCAACTTTAAATGTAAAGCCGTTATGATTAGTTAGTTACCTACATACCATCTGGGATTTAATATATCTATGTATAATAAAATGCAGGAAAAACATTTACTTTTAAGTAGCTATTATCGTTAGCCCTTTAAACATTTTATAATTATCTATATGTTTACAGTATGTCTGTTCGAAAATGATAGGATTTCCTTAAAAATGCTAATAATAATAATTATCATCTTTATTTGTTTCAAATAACGAACTATTAATAATTAAATTAATTAAAATCAATAAAACGAATCAAAAAAGAAATCGTTTTCTTGATTTCTAGTACTTGTTCCAAATTAGAACCGTCTTTAGTTAAAATCTTTATAAAGAACTTATAGGTAAAAAACTTATACTAGTCCTTTGTTTATTTTTGAATATACGATTTTGTATCATAAATAAAAAAAATAAAGCTTTCTTTTTAAAGACATTAGTTTACCTATTATATTTCAGTAAGTATATATTATATAAAGATAACTTGCTGTCATATTTAGTCTTGTTCTTACATCCACGTGTCCATCGTGATGACCATACAAAAGGTTAATACGATTCTTGCCTCAACTACAACATCCTGTTCTCTTTGTTCGCCAATTCGCATTTTATATAAGTAGGTATGATAGTATTGTTTGGTACAACAGCAACGGGCATTCAGAAATTGTAATTGAAAACTTTCTGAAGATCTCAGTATTAGACTACTCACCATGATATTGTTACCTAGATTGGGAATAATCACTATTCCCATACTAGGTAACAATATCTTGGTACTAGTACATCAAATGAACGTGATGTATTAAATAAGATTTAATAAATATAAATAGATGTCGATCAAAGAAAGAAGGATGGTCTCTTACATTAAACATTTTCGCTTATTGTTTTTTTATGGGTGATAATGGATGGTGTAACCAACTGCGCTAACGCTTTAAGTTAACGGGGCACCAGTGGAGGATGATAAAATGAGCATAAAGTCAGGTCAGTTAGCCCATGTTATCAAATGGCAATTTATCACTATGGTTTCCAGGGGGAACCGCGTTGAGATCAATCTGACATGGTACATTACAAGTAATGGGGTTATTAGTCTACATTACCTACTAACAATCTCCTACCCTCCACTTATTATATTTACTTTATGACTGGTCCCGGGAGTACCCAATACCGACATATAAAAAGCATTATATGTCGGTATTGGGTACGTTTAAGTATATACTTAATTAGTATTTTTTATGGTGGAGGAACTTTTGTACACTTGCCTGCGATTATGATATAAGCTGGAGAGGCACCACTGGACGATAATAAGATAACGATAAAAGCAGGTTACTTAGCCGATTGTGACAAATTCAGAAATTGACCACTATGCTTTCTTGAGGCGACCTTATGTATGTAAACCTGTGGCTGCTACTAGTAACCCCTTTCCTCCACCTAATTAGTAATACAATTGGAATTTTCTAGAGACATCGACACCTATTTATGCCTTTGTGCATAGTATCTATTAAACATACCTGCATAAATAGGTTAAGTAATTACAACAATGGACTACTTACAGAAATAACGGCACAGTTAATGACTAGCTAAACTAATGTTTCTAATTTTTTAACTATATTAGATTTATGATAGTGTTTCTTAACCAACTTAACTTGGCCTTTGCTGTACAGCAATTTATTCTGATTTGAAAGTGTTAATATGTAGGAGAAGTAGATCAGCATTTTTGGTTGCTGTGAAAATGAGTGACAAACGACGGTTGACGACGACAAATGAGACATAAGATTGAAAGAACTGTCGCACAAAGACAAAAGTATGGTGTAATTCGGTGCAATGGTGGCTGGACGGTAGTTATTCGACCACGACGCAATGTGCCTATAATACGTAATTAAATTAGAGCCTATTTAAGGGGTTATACCTATATGACAAGTATCAAATTTTCTCTCTTTCTAATTGCAAACACTTGTAGTTTGCAGTAACTGTACTTCCTACTATGTTTTAATAATTTTCTAAACGTTTTTCGAAGTAACCCGTTTAATAATAATATTTTAAATACAATAAGTCAATATAGTAATGGCCCAAAGATGATGGTAATTGATAACAGTCGCCTATATAAATGAACAACGCAACGGACGTTATCGTGTGGCTCCTGCGGCACCACCTTGCGTTGGTATTTCGAAGGAATAAGACGTCATGTTTCCGTAATCCATATTTTCACTGCCTTATCTCAACAGAAACATATCTTACAAAGCAAGCGCTTGGCGATTGAAATAGATGAGATACAGGTACCCACGCAGACGACCCTGTACAAAGTTTACCTCGGCAAAGGTTATAATAAATGTAGAGAAAAAGTTTGGCAAAAACACAAAGTAGGCATAGTATCTGTATAAATAAAAACACACCAACCTATAATTAGATAATAAACTATCAGTTCATTGTATATTTAAGAGTTATTTGTGTGGTAACTATTCCTAAAGCAGATGATGATCTTAATTACAATTCATAGGTATATTTCGAATAGTGAAATGACTAAAATAATCCTATTTTCGTTTCATGTACGTATTTGTTCTGTATCAATACTAAATCTCGGAACAGGTTCTGACTATTCCAAGCAAAATATGTATTTTTAGAACATTTTGCTTTCAAATTAGTATTCAATACAAGATGAAAATTAAATTTAAGCACATATTAATTAGTCTTTACGTGGTGATAATAATACCTGTGATTATATTTTCTTATGCATTTTACAGGACGATTTCAAGCACTCAACCCCGTTTTCTTCTATTTCTATGAGAATTTCATACCTAATGACCTATATGTGCCTACATGACTCTGTATGCTTTACGAACCTTTATTTATACGTTTATGTTATAGATACAAAATTTTAGTTAATTATAATTAATTCTGAACTAGAGCTCTCTACAGTACACCAACCTCTTATAAATAATTACAAAATGCCATACTTGCACACTTTGACCGGTAAATACATAAACATGGGGCAGGATGCAAAAATCTTATCTGCAGCGGCTCAAAGCAAACAGACAATTGTTTCTAAACGCGTGGCTAGTTAACAAATAATCGCGGTTCACAATTGGAATAGGTAGCTAGCAGCGAGGCGCAAGAGTGCCTCGGCTGACGCTGTCGAAGTCACGACCAGTCCACGTTATCCTGGCAAACAAAGCGCACATGCCGAGGGTATCTACCTACCCTGATTCAACACGCGAGTCATCCAAAACACAATCCGTTGTAGATATTGTCATAATAACTATATTGTAAAATAAAACTATAATGTGATGTAGTAACTTCGTTGGTTTCATGTGAAATGAGTATCAGAAAAATCATTCAAAACAATGCACATGTTCGCTGCTGACCGTGGTAAGTTTTGTATTACAATGATAATCTTATTTCCTACAATATTTGTTTACAACGATGTTACATCGAATTCAAAATAAAAAAAGTATGCAATTTAAACGTTACACTAATTCATTTGCACATACTCACAACACTTAACTGCTAATAAAACTATTTGTAATAACTTAAATAATAAGTTAATATCTTTATATTACAATATTACCGATAGATAGAGAATATACTTAAATAACTTAAAAACACAAAAGCGCAATAATTTTTATAGCCGTATAAGTTCAACTCGTAAGCTAGTCAAACTCGTACTCACCGCGTGTTCATTTGAATTGTAAATACAGAATTCTATACACAATATGTCTATAACTTGTTATAGCCAGCTGATTATATTATACCTACTGACACATTAAATTGTAAAAACACCTTTAAACAAAACCCGCAATATGGTTTATTCGATTCGTTTAAACGTGACCTCTAGAGTTTATTTGCTTCTTTAAAACGAACGTCATTAACATTCTCGTTACAATAAAGATTTTGGCACATACCTAATTATATTTTCACGTATAGTGTCAACTTATTACGAGTACTTTGAAGACGTAGATCCCTTTAGAAATTCTTTAAACGCATATAAAACGAAACTCTATTACTATCATCTACGATGCAACCTAACACGCTATCCTAGCACGCTAACAGTTTACGCTGGGCACCAGTGGAGGATGATAAGATGAGCATGAAGTCAGGTCAGTTTAATCATTATGATAAATTTACCATGAATTTATAAGGATGGTTTCCAGGGGGAACCATGTGGAGGTTTTAAGGTTATAGCTTAATAGTGAGTATCTACTTTTTGGATTTTTTTTAAAATTAAATAATTAAGTCCACTGGATAATTCGTTAGATAAATTGCTGTTACCTAATACATAATTAAATCGTACAATTACTTAAGCGAATTAAATCATCGCAGATGATAAACACCGTATCTATGACAAAGATGAATGAATAGGGTTGACGGTTACAAAGTGATCTAAATTAGTAATTAAAAGAATATACTAAATACATACGGAAATTGCAAAACAAACATTACAATCGATATTAAAGTAAAAAAAAGATAAAGTTAGAAAAAACATTTTTATTTTACTATAATAAAACAAAAAGGTTCTATGTAAGTTATACAAATGATTCTCCTAATTGAAGAAGAAGAAATCTCACAGGATAAGAGATCTTTCATTCTCATTTTTACTGTATTTTGAACGGCATAGAACATTATATATACTATTTCATATTACGTATTACAAAAATCTCTGTGAATAACGTAGCGTTCGAATAATAAGAACAAAAAATCTTTTTTGATCTTTTAGCGTAGCATACTTAAAATATAAATCTATTAACGCTAAGTTGAAAAAGCCATTTGCAAAATTACAATACAAAAATAGTATTTGCTCTACATTAATATTCTGTCGTAGCTTTCTGTTATACAGACATTACAAGTCCAAGTATTTGTTTTTGTTTTAAGTACATACTTACTATATTTATTAGGAACTTAGTTTTAATAAGTGTGTAAGACAACCACATAAATTTCCTAATTTTTATTTATAATTAAGTTAAATACTGTGAACCTAACAAGAATTAAGGACCCCTCAAACGCTGACATTCTGGATATCACAGAATAACGTGAAGTTTATGGTGCTGTTCATGTATATAGGCAGACGACTTCTACCACTTATTTTCAGGTGGGTCAACAGGTCTTTTGCCATACCAATTAAATTAAAAAAAATACCTACTAAATACACGCATACAAGATTCAATATAGTAAAAACTTCTTTCCAAAATTAATTCCACCAACAACGACACCCATGAGCTTAACCTTGCGCTAGAAGGTAGTTGAAGTGCACATAAATAATTTCCACTGCATTTCGACCTTTTGAAGTCAGCCCTACATATAGGTGAAGTGTCAGGCAAGTAGCTAGCTGTACCGACATGACATCCAATTTCGAGTTGAGTCATTACTCTGTGGGCAGACCGGCTTGTGTGTATTTATTACAATCTTTACACTGAATAATAATTATGCTTATTACAAAGAAAAGGTTAAGTAAGCCTCAGTTATTGCCTGGGAGTCTCCAAATTTGAACATTTATTTTCGGTGGCTATTAAATATATGGTGTGATGGTAATGAAGCAACTGTTTCTTAATGTAGCAATAATTAACCATTTTCTCAAAATGTATCTTATGTGTTATAATATGTAGATTTATTATTATACATATACATATTACGTTGGCTGGAAGAGATCTCTTTCATAGATAAATCCACCCTCGGACACATTTTTTTATAACTCTGTTATATTTTATTAGTACATATAAGTGTTATAAAGAATATTCAAAATGTCACTTATTTTTATATTTATATAAGTATTCATATGTAGAGATACTACAAGTTGAAGTATATTCAACCACATCGGTATGAGACTTTAAATTAAAATAAAAATGATGTCTTTACGTTTTTTAGATAAAAAAAATAGACGTTTTGTGTATTATTATGTTATTGTACTTATGCTTTTATGCTTGACGCGAAAAGCATTAAAGTTTTTACACACATAAAAATACATAAAAAACCACGAGGATAATCTATTGTTAATAGTTTAATACTTAACCATTACACTACTTAAATCGAATTGTGTTATACTAAAAACCTTCCGTAAAACTGGTTAGTCAGATACTTAAAAATATTAATATGAAAGAAGGTGTAGTTTTTATTAATCAGTTTCATATTTTTATATCACATACAGCAAGTACAGCTTCTTTCTTGTCTATATATTTATTCTTAAACTTGTTTCATTGATTATACTTATAATTTACACTACCTGAATAAATAAATAGAAATCATAGATAAGATTAAATGAATTGGGTTTTAATCTTAAACATAGGTCTTTTAATTGAATCAATTATTAAATTACACCGCGGAATCATATACAAGAAATATCGAGCTAATAACATATATTATAATGTTGGAACTTTTATGCGATGCTATATAATACTAATAATTATTGAATTTATTTACTACTACATAGAGATTTACATGAAATATATCTAATAACTTCATAAATTGTTAACGTGGGTCTATCTGGGTTAAGTGACAAAAAAGTTACTCGTAGTTTCTGAACCAAAATAAAACTAAATATTACCTATATTTGCTTAGAACATAGTTGAAGAATAAGCGAAATATTTTTAGAATGACGTCCATATATGACGAATTTACTTAGATACATCCCGTAGTTCTACCATGCCACTAAACAGGTAATATACGCTTTTATGAATAAGTATATATAAGAATAAATAGATGTATTTTCAAATTCAAATTTAATATCATATTCATGTAGGTCTCAACAAACTCTTTTGATATGTCAAATCTACCGTGAGCTCGGAATGATTTCCAGATGAGAACTGACTGAACTGACAAGAAACTCAGCTCGTATTCTTCAAGCATTTCTTTCAAACTGTCAATAATGATTTAAGATTTTAAGATTTATTTAAGCTAAGCATTTAAGATAAGTAATTTTACAATTATCTTTTTTCACGATATACTTACATTTATTAACAAATAATGTATATAATTACTGTTTATTAGATATTAAATTATACTGTCAATATAATTATGAACGACGAAACTCAAATAAATCGTAGAATCGTAGAATTATGTATCCTCAACTAATATTGATATTGCAGTAAAATGTACCTATCATTACTTAATGACTCATAAAATGACATAACGCAGGTTGAACCTGGTTTAGTATGCAAATAAAATATAATAGACGTCTTTTCAACTTCTATTATCTCATGGAGAAGGTAGTAATCCGGAACAGTTAATAGATGTCGTTACATAGTAATACTCATATTTTTTTAAGGCAGAAAGAGTTCTATATTCTCGAAACTAGTACCTAATAAAAAAAAATCATAATAATTTTACAAAAGTATTTAAATATCGACATAAGTAAAAAATCCGTAGTATTTGAGAACCTTCTTTTTTTTGAAGGCATTTATAAAACCAAAGACAGCTGGTAAACGGATATGTATGGTTTCTTATGTATATATGTACTTTTGCTATAATACAGATAATATAAAACAAAATAAGTCTGATATTTAAGGAATATATTGTAATTATGGATCTAATTTTCACAGTAGATGATATTGATCTTATTCGGGATTATTTTTTAACGAAAAAGCAAAATATGCACATTTAATTGAATTCCATTGCTATTCATATTTTAAATCCTGTGTTTTACTTACTTGTAAGAGCCTTTGCTTGTCTATGTCAAAGTTAGAAGAAGCTAAATTCCTATTTTTATGATGATATTGTTCGATAAAGATTGATTTACATACAGAAATTATAATATATAATAATAACAATAATCTTGTTTTATCGGTACTAGGCAACTGGTATAAATACATAGATACTTTTTTTTAAGGTACATGCATAATATATATAGAAAACACCAAAACCGATACAAATAATCATATTTATAAATACAAAATGTTTGTGACGTGCGAGTTATCGAACCCGCCACCAGAGGAAGTAAGGCCGTGTGCTAAACCTCTAGACCACCGAGACAGTCATATAATAACAAAGTTGTAAAAAAAGTCAAAATAAGATCATTATCGCAATATAAATTCTCTGTACTATATGTACGAGAATGTTGAAACATTTATGATCATATCATAATAATGCTGTTCCAACTTTCACCTGTTAAATTGTCATAATTTCCTGTTAATAAATCAAAACAGTGTATACGTCAACTAGCCACAACTCGTGATCGTACTTTATTACTAATACACACAATTTGAGAATTATATAGTAATTTCTGTTATAAACTATTAAGTTATTTTACTTACATAAGTGAAACTGTTTAGGCTTGCTTTGAAACTCTTTCTTAGTGGATGCAGTCATCCAATAGTATCAGTATTAAATTTTTCACTCGGTAAAAAAACTCATGGTTGAAAAAACTCATTTGTTGAGTCATTATTAACTTCAAAACATAAAGGGATTTGATTAGTTTGAGGTTATTTTTATATTAAACTGGGTCTACTAGGCCATACGTAGCTGTGGCTAAGGTTAAATAATATTGCGACTATAAATTGAGATGTAAACTATCCTAATTTTTAAGTTGGATCAAATTGCATACAATGTGCAAATCAAATTTGCAATCGGTTCAGTAGTTTAGGAAAACATCGCGGACAAACAAAGTGACACGTAATTTTTATATGTATAGATGTAGTAATACTTTTTAATGCATATTCATTGACGGGACAAGTATTTGTATTTTACAAGAAGTAATGTCAAAATGATACTATTAACCCTCAGTACTAACCTTAGCTATTAAGTACTCTTTTCACATCGACACCTTGAAATAATACGCAGGCATGAATGTCAATATGATTATAAATATAAAATAAACTGCATAGAATAATATTATATACGATTACGATCGTGCATTAGGCACATAATACAATGATACGTTTCTATATAATATTTCAACTACTTTAAAATGAAAAGAATTCAATTTGAAAATAAATTACATACAAATTTTAATCTCAATATCGATTTCATCCCCGGAGGTCTAGCGCTCACCGCCTAACTTCCGATGGTCGCGGGTTCGATTCCTCGCACTGCACAAACATTTGTATTCATGAGTATGATTGTGTGTATCGGTCTGGATGTTATCTATGTGTAATATGTATGTGTTTACGAAAAAAATCTATGTATTTGTATCAGTTGTCTAGTACCTACCCATAACAAGCTTTAGCTAGCTTAACTTGGGTCTAGATATTTCATTCCAATCCTGTTCCGATATTCTTTTGCAATCAGGATTAAGATATCGGGTGTATTAGAATATCGGCAAAACATGCAATGAGCACAAAATATTTTAGAATACCTAACTAGCAACATTCTTACAGCTTAAATTCAAATTAAAGTCATTTTGTAACAAATATTCAAAACCTCATTCACTTATAATAATAATGGGAAGCTTTTTGTGAAGGTCACAATCAAGAATATAAACTATAGGTCACGATCGCATCTTTTTTTATTTCTATTAAAACAAAAGTTTAATTTAAAAGAGCATACATACAATTTAGTATCTTTGAATAGAAATTGTTGTATACAACTTATTCGTAACAAATATTTAGGTAGGTACTATGAATATACTGATAAGTAAAAAATGGACTTAAGATAATTCCACTACAAGAATATAAGTCTATCAAATGCGTATAATTCTTTATAAAGAATAGGCCAACACGGGGCAACTGTACAAACTGATTAATTACTGGACGGAGTAATTGAGATCAACCTTCGCAAATGCACAGGTATATGTAACGTAACACAATTATACCTAATTATTTATACAAATACAACCCAGATAGGAAATATCTATGCTACTACATGAAAAATAATTAAACATAAGTACAAATTTAATGACAGTGGCAACATTGCGTCATAAAAATAAAAAAAGAATTTTTAATTACAGAATCAAGTAATAGTTGCTAGGTGTATGGTAGTCTCTGGGGACGATGTCCGGGACAGAATAAAGTGGTGGAGAAGAATAAGGAAAACTGACCCCACCACCATGTGGAATAATATAGGAAAAGCGAGAGAGAGGTTATAACAAATATATGAGCTGCACAATTAGATTAGATTTTAAAATCTTTATGTATGGTAATAAGGCTGCATTTCAATAATATTATGTAGTTAGGAATATAATTAGTAAATAATAATAATTCTATGTTGAGGTACTGCACTACAAAGAAGTTAGGTAGGTAGACATCCAATAAAACGATATGATTGGAAATATTGTTGTTAAAATTCAAGATATGAAATCGGTAGTGGATAAGAATTCAGATAAAATAGTGAGTAGGTTTCCGGGTCCGGGTAGCAATACAATTAATACAGAAAAATAAAATTTTTAATTACTATGCGAAATAATTATTTATTGCTACACTAAAATATTTTGATGTTCTAACAATAAGAAAACCCTCACCCATCGGAGACGGATCGAGTTTCGTCTGTGCAGACTAATTTTCCTAAATATTTTCTAGGCACCTAACTACATTTTTTTATGGGGAATAATTTAATGGTGTTCCCAACTGCGCTTACGGTGCTTGCGGGGTATAAGTGGAAGATGTAGATAATGGACATTAGCCGTGGCTGGCAGTTAGGATATTTAATTCCCACAAAAGTCTTCAGGGTTCGCGTATAGGTCGACGATATGATATAATGATGGGGGCTGTCCGATCCAGTCCTCATTATTACAATCCACTCTCCTTCTATAAAATACGGTTATCATATATTTAGGATCATATCATTCATTTATTTAGTAGTAATTGCACAGAATAATTTTTAGTTTGGGATTAGATTACAGAGTGAGATTTTAAGAATTACAATTATCTTGACTATGTAATTTATTAATTTCGTCCACTTAAAAATGTAATATTTATATATTTTTTTGGATTTCTGGCTAAATCTTAATTGATAAGTAGGTAGGTACTTAATGTACATACGAGGAGTAATGAAGCTGTTTATTTGAAAGATTATTTGTTCATAGAATCATAGAGCAAACCCTGACATAAGAGACATAAAATTTTATTGGCAAAATGGTAATTGCCGTAAATTATCACTACCCTAGGGGCTATGTGTATGTCTACGTGTGTATGAGAGACTTGTAATAGGTGTAAACTGATATATTTATTAGTACTATATACTATTACAATTTATTATAATTTACATCGTACTTAAGTATTCTTATGTGTAAGTTTACAAAATTATATTTTAGTAAATAAATATATATTTTTGATAATATCCTCAGAATCTTGCCAAATATTAAATAGTACTGCTTTCCCTTTCAATGCTATTATACAGCATTGAAAGGGAAAGCAGTACTATATTTTTAACCCCTTAGATTATCAATTGTCCATTGGTCTTGTGATAAGGATATAGATCATAGATAGGCAACCTTTGCTCTTGTGAATAAAGGATAAAATATATGACAATTAATTTGTCGTTGAATAAATCTTACATCTCAGTCAACTTGCCAGTAGCAGCGTCCCTACCATGCCATCTTACGGATTAAATAATAAACATTTCATTTATTAACCTAAATTTATATTATGAGCTTGTCTATTCTAAACTAATTTATACTTTATAATTTTTATATATAACCTAATAATAAAATATAAATCATTATACATGTAGGATTTCTATTGACCGTAATATTAGTGAAGACTTCAGCCCACATTTTGTGCTATAACCACTAGGAATTATTACCACAGTCCAACGGGACTGCGGTAATAATGAAGGAAGGACTATTCTTAAAACGATATGATGGCGGAATCGCATTATTCTACAAGGATTTCCGCAATACAGATAATCCCGTGGGAGTTTATAAAGACATCCGACAGGCGCCGGGCGTTAACAGCATAAAGTATGGAGATCGACCACATCCTAATGAGAGCAAGGACGTGTTATAACTAACACGGGCTGAATGACCCAGTATGATAGAAATATGACCAGCAAAAAATAAATATTTGTACTAATTTATAATATTATACAAAAAAATTAATAATCAACACGAACAACAAGAAAATTAACGATTAAAAACTTATAGAGATTAAAACCGTTTTATAATTTAGTAAAATGTCATCTAATTTATAATAAAAAAAAACTGTAATGTCCCATTGAGTATTTTTTTGTAATCGATTAATTACAGGTACGAGATGCATGTATCTACTAGACGTTAGATGTCGTAACTATTGCGAATATTACAATTATAATAGATGATAATATCTCGTTATTACTAAAACACAGTTTAGATTATTAACAACATTAAATATTTCTATAATGGATCGTATAGTAATTATCTTTACTAAATGACTAATCGTGTAAAAAATCGTTATTAGTATGAAAAAACGCATTGCTTATATTTTAATTAATAGCCGTTTTAGTACAGCAACTTAATCACAGATGGCACTCTTTGTTACTATCTTTGCATCTTTTAACCGATTACAAAATGAAGGTTACCAATTATTAAATTTTTTTGTTAATATTAAGAGTAACTGCGTTAATTTTAAATGAAGTTGAATTTGGAATAGGGTGGCAGTCATATTAGTGTTTTCACATCACAATAATGGACTCAATTTGTTCATATTCTTCTGTTTCACGTTAAATACCTACGAGTTCCTTCTTGCAGCATGCTTCAATAATAAAATGTTTTAAAATAAAATATATAATAACTGAAAACATACAGCGTCATATAAATGTTATTTTATTACTTTTAAATGGTTAAATACCATATGGATGTTAAATAATATCATATAATTATTTTTATTTCAATTAACCAACATTGACTAAATGTGAATTTTATTATTAAAAATATTAGCAAGTAATGCAATTGATACAGTTTTTTGGGATAGGATTAAATTCTTTAAAGAAATTTATTGTATAGATATTGCAGCTATGATTATTTTCGATATCAGGTTAAAATTTGTTGGTTAAATAATTTATAATAATCTAATCTGAATGTCAATAACCGAATAAAGTCTATATTTTTTATGGATATACTTAAATAAATTGAATATTTTTTTACAATAAGTGTTTTTCTACCATTAGCATAACAATTTAAAAATATACTTTTAATTTCAGATACAGCCATCCTAAATGATGACCACATCACTACGAATATCCTTGACGGGTCTCTCTACTACTATAACATATAAAATGTTGTATATAATTAGAAAGTTATTGTGACAAATAGCATTAAAATGAGTGAACCACCTTATGAGATGCAAGTTAAAGAGGATGGGCCAAAAGAGGGAAAGAAGCCTGGCCTTGCCGCAGGAAAGATCTTCTACAAGCCAGGGGTTATTGAAGAAGAAACCGATGAGACCAGTGTATTTGATAGCTCCGCTGTTGAATCCCCAATGCTTAATTACAGTGGGAGCGGTTTTCTTAGGCCACAGATTCAGCCTTCAAGCAGTTTACACAGGATACCAACATACAGTAGTTCAATTGGACAAAGTACAGTATACCGTCAGGAAACTCTTTGCAGGTAAATGTTTCATAATATACACAAGTCTACTGAGAAGTGAATAAAATATTTGGAAAATTTTGATATCTATTCACAGATGCGATGTTCAGTTTAGGTATTTTGATATTAAGTGTATGAGTATCAGTAAAATAAAACCAAGAAATTCGCACCTGGACTTTCGCAAATATGTTTCATTCATTAGGTATGGTTAAGATTTTTAATGATATTTCCTTGCTATTTTTTTTTATTTACGTATTATGCCCTTGTCAACTGTAATAATTTTGGCGTTTTATTTTAAATCCTTTAAAAGAAGAGGAATTTACTAAAGGATGATGATACGTTTCCATAATTTTCATTATACATCGACAATTACAAAATGAAAAATGCTTGGCCCATATGCAGGATATATTATGTATATGTGTATATTATGAAATAGATTAATGAAGATGATGATTTTCATTGAAATGAAATTTAAATTCTATTCAAAATAAAATAATAAAGTAAACAAAATATTAACGGGTTAGACTGAAACGTACTAAGAAGTCTAATTGTCTAGAACTTACTTGGTTAATAGACAATTATCAGTCGAAAATTGATTTCTTTACATTAATCAGCACATAATAGTAATCATTTGATAACTATTAATTGGTGTCTTCGCATGAATTTGCAATATTTTACAATTAAGACACATACCGGATGCTTACCTATACATTGTTTTGTACTTCTTATTTAGTTGGTAGATATATAACAAATCACAATCCTTGAGGGAACCAATATCTAATCAGCTAAGATAAAGTTATCGATATAGTTTTCTGAAAACATTCGCACATACATGCCAAAGTCGGCTACTAATAGGACAGCTTAACTATTATACTCATAAATGCGATAAAAATTCATTTACATTAGTAATAAATAAATATATTTTTTACCATACAATTTTGAGAATAAAGTATTTACATTTTAATTATATTGTGGTGTGTGATTTGTGGTAAAACAATGAAAAATTGCTGAAAGTGTTTTGTGAAATGCGGCGCAGACGCAAATAGTGTGTTGATAAGAGAAACTTTATCGTTGTTGACCAAATTTGTCCCACTTTTGTGTAAATTAATCAGCAAAGTGACAAGGTATGTCTGGTCATTCAATATAAAACAATAGAATAGGTGTACACTTACGCACAGGCATTAGTTGTACCAATTTATTGCATTGCTCATTATCGCATGTAGATAATCATAAATTATGTGAAACAGTTGATTTTATTTGTCACATATACAATTTAAAGATAATTAATTCTTCTGATGTTTATATGTACCTATAGGCACGATTTTTTTACTTCCGATTGTCGAGGGTTCGATTTCTTGCACGAAGCACATATTTGTCTTCATGAAAATGTATGTTTGTATTGGTATGGGCGACTTTTATACACTAGTTATAGACTAGTTGGCGTTGAAAACTGTCCAGGGTTATTATTATTAATAGTAATATATCTTTATATCTGTTATATCACAGATGAGGTAGTAAATAGCAATGTCAACCATTGATATCGTTATAAAAATGTAAAAACAAAATCAAAGAAATATTATTATAATTGTACCTCGTAAGTTTAATTTACCTGAGGTAATAATTTGAATAGCTATACTCCAGCTTTAATCACGGGATTTTATATTATAAATGGTTTATATTTATACCTTTTAAATTTCGAATCTTTTTTTCGTACTAGGTCTAGGTAACATTTCAATAAAAAAATTAAAAACAGAAGGCGTAAATTTTTTATTCGAAGTATGTATGTTATGCTTCTAACTGCTTAAGTACGTACAATCAACTGAAAGATTTGAACACTCCATTTCATTATTTATCATCATAATCATTACACATAATCATATCATTAATGGTCAGAGTTCTCTTCCTACAAAAAAATAAGATGTTATTTCCAACGTCGCATGAACAAAAATTCGTCCCTTACTTCACCCCTTTTCAGTTTTTTTTTTAAATAAAAGATAACCTGTGTCTGTTCGCTTGTCTTCATACCAAGTTTCATTAAAGAGGTTTGGTTGACGAAGGGTTATGAAAGTGGCACCGGTGTCAGAGAGGTTGAAGAGTAATCGTCTATCATGGTATGGACATGTAATGCGTAGGAACGAGGATAATATTTTAAGAAAGGTGTTACATATGAATGTGGATGGTTATAAGTGCAGAGGAAGGCCGAAAAAGAGATGGATGGACTGTGTGAAAGATGATATGGTAAGAAAGGAAGTAAATAACGCGATGACTGCGAACAGGGATGAATGGAAGCGAAAAACATATTACGCCGACCCCAAATAAATGGGATAAGGAAGAAGCAGATGATGAGTTGACGAAAGGTTATAATCAAACAGACTGTGTATTTACACATTTATATTTATTAAATTTGAATTAATTACTGTTTTTAATAAGCATGCGCCTTCTATGTATATACAGCAGTGAGACGGAAGTAAAAATGTGAATAAAACAACATGTTTTATATATCCTAAGTAATTAATCATTAAAATATAACATTTTTTATTTCGGTAACACATTCCCAATTAATTTACAAATTTCCTTTAATTTGATGTTTCATGCTATCTTGTTATCATGGATGCAAGTCTTTAGATATCTTTTGTTTACAATGTTTTACTACGTATGTTCATAGTATGACGTAAAGTATACAACATGTAATAGGATTAAAGGTATTCGAAAGTAGATTGTTCAAACTCAGTAATTGAATCGATATGTGCAACATAAACCGTAGATTTGAAAGTGAAAAATATTTAATCTGGACCAAATCTTGAGATATTTATTTAATATACCCATTCCATAACGTGAAAATAATTGTATAATAATGAATTAGGATTATTGCCGTTTTTTCTAATTAATGTATTATTGATATTAAAAAAGAAAACATAAAATATTAAAAAATATATATCATACAATGAAATTTTCGTGGCCTTCATACTAATAATATAACCACACAATATAGTAGTACATTATACATAAAATGATGTGTGTCAAAAGTGAAGGAATCAATCTCTAATATTATGCTACAATAGTTTGTATAATTTCGAATGAAGTAAACGTTATACAATCAAGGCAATGTATTCATACGCTGCATCAATTTAATTACAAATTATACTGAATTTTGAAAAATATAGTTATCTCCACTCTCGCTCACGTCAGTACTTACCAAACAGTCGTCGTGTAAACACTATGAAGCCATGGGATCAACTTAATCTACCAAAATCCAGCTAGATCGGCAAACACGGATACCTGTCCACATAATCTTGATTAATCACTCCTCAACCTTTCCATCGGCTAAATTTTGTTATGACCATGCAAGTACGTTTATCAATTAGTGACTTAGTTGTACATTCTTACGTATTTAACTTCTAACTTCTTCTTCTATAGGATTTTTGAAAAGCTCTACTTCACCTTGCGGCAATGGTATTTCCGAATCGGTACAATACTGAAACCCTAATGATAGAAAAGAGATAAGTGAAATACTTTAACAGGCCGGCAACTCACTAACACAAGGGGAATTAATCCCCTTGTGTTATATTCCACTTACCATCAGGTGTAGTGCAAGCTCTTACTATAAAAAACATTAGTTATAAATCTCTATTAGTTGTTTTCGAGAAAATTTATATCCTATGTGACATTTAATTTAAATTCAACTACTATTTATCTATCTATCATATAAATATTATATTATACAACAAACAATAGCTGATTCTATTTTGTAAACAAATATTCAAATTAATTATAATATTTAAAATTATGAATATTAACTTAAGTTGAAATTTTCATGATAATAATATCTGATTCATTTTATCTAATGTGACGATAAATGATATTTTAAAAAATAAATATTAGCACTTCCAATTACTTTCATGATGAAAGTAATTAGGTTGTATATTTTGTCTGTTAATATAATATGCTCCATACTACATAGCTTGTTGAAAGAATAGGTAACTGCGTAAAAGTAGATATTAGACGTAATGAGCTTAAACTCAGATTTAGATGTAATAAAAGAACCCTGATGAACGCCCTGCGCAGGCCGCGAATCAGCAAACGTAGAGATGTAACCTGTAGCTATGTGGAACGACATACGTAGGACTGCAGGATACAACTGGAAGTGATGGGCTGAAAATTGTGCCCAATACTCTTGGGAGTTGAAAGTTGAAAATTTACCAAAAATTGCTAATAAAAACAATAACTAGTTTAGAGAACATACAGGATTAGTACAGAAGGTCAAGCCATAATTCAGAGATATATAGAGAGGAGCCCCAAGAAATAAAGAGCCTTTATACAAACCGCGCTGTCATAAAGGATATAAATTTAGAATATAGAGTTTATAAAATATTTTCAGACTTCCACTTTAAAATAAATAAGTAACCTATTTATTTTATTCCTTATTATATTAGAACACTTAATTTTATGGAAGAAATGTACTTTCATAAGTATTTCAATTGGTTTTCTGGGTATACCAACCCTTTACCACTAATTCTGTTGTAACCGAAATTCGGAAAATTGTTAACTTGAAACATTTTATAGACTTTTATCAACTTCTTCTTTCTCTCTACTTCTACTTTTCTGCTTTCATTCTTTTCATTCCAACTAATAAACTTTTTGTGATTGTTATGTAAGTTTTTAAAAACGTGAAGGCTTTATTTATTATATAACGTGCTTCATTTTTACAAACCACTTGTACAGTTTTATCATTGACAGATATAATGTTTTTATTGTTCTGAATACTTCAAATAAAGATTACAACAATAATTCTGCGATAAGTCATATGACATGTAATCATTTGACAATTTATATTCTTCTCTTACTTTGTCATTATGATGGATATATATACCACCGGCGGCGTACGATAGCATTCAAATATGATACATTTGTTTTGTTCTAGTGTTCAATTTTATTTATGTACATCTAATATGATGATTACTATATGCTTTGAATAGGAACAGCTGCCAGCTCTTCGGTCTTCTGCGATGTCGACTAACCTTTTCGTTATTTCTTTGAAAAGTCTTATAGCGCTTGTACATCTAATTGATAACTATATGCAGGAACAGCGCCAAAGACATTACTACACTATGTCATTATGCGTTCTCATTGCGGGGACTAAGATGTTATTTCTATATAGTTTATCTCACCGTTAAAAAACATACATCTTACAAAGCAAGCTGCTTGAATACTCATATAACAAAGTTGCCGAGCTACCGATATTAGAAACGGCACGGACTTCGGCCAAGCACGAGGACTCAAATAGTTGACAGTAATATCCACTCGACACGCGCTGTGCAAGATGATTGTCTGATTGCTTCCACCTCTACTTACGTCACTAACTGTAGCAATTTGGACTCATATTTTTATTAGTGGTATGAATGTAGATATAGGACGATAACCCGAATGCCGAACGATGAATATCTTGAAATCAAGATATTTAGTACCTACGTGGTGTAGATACTTAAATAGATTAAAAGTCTAATAATTATTTTGTCACCTGCATTCATTGATTTCTTACGGAAATTGTCCGGTAACTTATTTATTTTAAGAGAATTAGGTACATGACAAGTTATAGAAATATTATTAAAATTGACAAAGTTTAGATAGGAAGAAGGAAAAGGAAGAAGTTTCTATATGAAACACACAGGTACACAAAATCATACTAAATTAAAAAAGTTTGATACCTATTAGAAATTGTATGTTATATTACAATAAATTGACATATTGGAAAATAAATAACTATAGTAAATTTGAATATATAAATTGGACGTTAATTTTTATGCATTTAATACGGTACCTACGTATAGACCTAAATTTTAATTAACAATAACAAATTAAATTGTTCGTTTGGTTTAGTTACAATGAATATAGAAGTCAGATTGCGTCTTCACATAGCTATACACCCTGAAATCTACGGAATGTCATGTAATGTCGCATTAGAAGTGCTTATTTTAATATCACGACTTATTTATGTCACTTTATTTACAATATGACAACAATCGTGCTTATACATGTTTAGCTAAACGATGGCGTTAATTGATTTTATGTAAACACCTTATACATTATTAATAATAACTTAATTTCTTAATAAATCAGTAACCGTACAAGGCAAAATATGGAAAACAAAATATGTTGGTGATGTATTTGTTAAAATGAATTAGAAAACCTTTGAAAAAATTAATTCAGTTTAATATTATACAATTTTATCACCTTTCGTAACAATATCACAAAATTTGAGATATTTTTTTGCTTCCCATTGTCATCATTTATGCCGATAAAGTCTGGTGAAAATAATACAGTTTTTTAGGATGAATGTGAAACATTAATATCAACAACAAGCATAGTAACCAATATTTATTTGAATAAACAGATATTGTTAAAAATAACTATTACAAGGAAATAATTTACTTAATTCATAAAAATATATTGATAAAAAACCTCACCCCACCCACTGTTAACAATATATATACGTAAGCCCATACACACCTCTGCAACCTGATGATTGACCTTCGTTCAGTAATATTCGAGAGCAACAAATTAGAACAGGAAAATGAGGCACATTAGCGGTCCAATTTGCACTGTCAAATTAGCTATTTTAATGAAAATACTGGGGTGGCTCCCATCTTATATGTCCAATAGGGTGTTCACAACTATCAATGTCAGAGTGACATACGAAAGTAATTATTAATTAAACATTTTGCATAATTAATCATAAGTCGGACAAACTTGGTAAACAACCGAGGTATAATTACATATATTTTTTAACTGTACTCATACTTTTTTATGTTCATACAATATTAAATTTAGTAATATTTATGTATAGGTAAACCATCACAACATATATAGGTATAACAATAATAATTACAACGCTTAGATTTATGAATTTATTTATAAGTAAGGACATACTCGTACTGTAACCTATATTCGATAAATCCACAGTTGACGAAAAAAAGGAATGCAAACATTAATTTTTGTTCTACAATACAAGTGATATATCTGTGATAAATTGAACTATTATTCAGTATGTAGTGTAACGTACAGAGTTATAATAAAATCAATATATTTAAATGATAGGCACTTGTATTATTATCCGTCGCGTATAGAATAGAAAGAGGCTGACAGTGACTTTGCTACATTTTCAATTTCTGACAAAAAGACAGAAATAAGACAAAAATATTATTATTATTGTGATAGGTAAATAGAAATTTATTACATTTAATTAAAAAACATAAGGTGTAGTAGTAGTACTAGTAGGTATAGTAATAATATTTAATATTTTTGATATGACAATGTCTTCCAATATAATAAAATTACTTTATGTATCATAAAATGGTAGAATTAAATTTGAATCAAAATTCTATTATACTTACTGAGCAAGGAATATAGACCATATGTAATATATGATTTTATATTTATGTATACAAAGATGCATCTATCTAATTAGTTCAAATAGGTAATTAAGTACGATGTCAACATTCAATGAACAAAGCACTATAAATAATAGTTAATTCGCGGTTCGACAAAACGCCAATACGTTATTTCATATTTTACGATAATTAGTGTGTATTAATAAAATATTAAATATGCACTCAATTTTATATATCTCACATTGTTTGAAATGAACATAATACGTATTAGTTAAAAAAAGTCAACACTAAATACTTGTGTAGAAAGACATGGACGCTAAATATCTACAATTATTTTGCTTGTTCACGGCTATGCAAACATTTAGTGTAGATGTCTTTTGTTTATTCTCTGTAGAAAATATAACCTCTGCCTATACAGGGTTAGTTGTATTTTTTTTTATATAAAATAAGAAGAATAACTGTAAATTGAGTTATTAACACGAGCGAAGTAAAGGGCAAAAGGTAGTCGCTGAATATCATTAAGACTATATATTATAAAATCACAGTGCTTATAACAGGACTTCTCCGAAACATACTTACTTTACTGCTTAACTTCTTAGGAAATTTTATGCGTTTTCAGCAGGTCTGAGAATATTAGGATAGGACGTAAACTATTTTTCGGACCAGTCCAGTATCATTATTTATTTAAATTTAATTTCTTAATGGTTAATATTTCCATCAACCCCTATTTTTTAATAACCAAATTAATTTATATGACAAAACAACGTTTGCGGGGTCAGCTAGTAATAACTAAAATCTTTTCATTATTATCATGAGTATCATTCTTCACTAAATCACCCATTTGTTGCCTACCACGTAACATAATCTTTCAGGATCATTGATTGTTAAAAAGAACGGCGCTGAGTCAATGAATATTATCTAATTACCTTTGAAGCATTTGATGTTGTTACTCTATTTAGTAGTACTTCGAAAGTAGTTTTACTATAGCTTTGCCCCCCTATGGAGATACCTATATACCTTTTTTTTCATTCCCACCATTTAGAATTCACACATTAATATAAAAGATCTATAGAGAATAAAAGTTGTAGATATGTAAAGATCAAGCAGTATTTCAAGAGATACTATTAATAATTACACCTTAATTGTGTCATAATGTTAAAACTATATTGCAATGCAAAAAAAATTTGCTCGAGGTAATATTTTCATGTTTCGAACGGATTTCACAAATATATAATTTGCAATGGCGTATGTGTATGTTATGTTAGTGACATACAAAATTTATCACTATTGATGTTCATTTGTGTTCTCTGAACAGAACACCCTATAGTTATATTCGTGGACGTCATATACTAACTGAAATTTGTTTTCCGTAGTGAGCTGATAATTTTCGTTATAGATTCTAGCGATACAATTATACAATGTTTAGCATGTCGTTGGAGCGATGGGCGCGAGAGTGCCAGTCGTGATCTTGTCATTATCTCGCGCGGTGCTTCAGGAGTGTCGCGGCCGTCGGAGGATGCTGTCGCAGACGGTCGGACGCGAGTGAGCCGCGCGCACGACACCATCACGCACCATGCACGTTGATCCAGAATCCCCCGCCAGCCGCGAGGAGGCCCAACTTCTACCAGATGAGTGGCTCAAAGTCAAGGCAGTGGCCACCAACGGAAACCTTTCCCCTGGCGTTTACTACCCCACAGTTACCAAGAGGTTCGTGGACGGCAAGCACCCTGTGTCGTCTACGATCGAACTCCTACCGTAATGTTTCGCTTTTGTCCGTCCATTCGCATCCTATGTTATATGTTATAATAAGAATTATTTTCATATTAAAGAATAAACATAGTTATATTTCTTTAAGTATTATACACTATCGACATTAACATTAACGAAGGTCAGTGGCGTCGCCCGCAGTGTGAACTACATATTCTCATTTACAGGATTGTACTATAGAACTGACATGTAGGTTATTTTTTTATGTATTTTTTTGTTTGTTAACAGGAATCGATCACACAGACATGGAGTCACAAGAAGAACCAGACGGCGAGCTATTCTTAAAAATGGAGAATGTAATATACTTAAATCAAGAATATCTCAGCGGCGGTTGAGATTTCTCCAGGATATGTTTACTACCCTTGTCGATGCTCAGTGGCGATGGACCCTGCTCGTATTTACACTTTCCTTCATCTTATCCTGGCTAGGATTCGCACTTATTTGGTGGTTAATAGCATTCACACATGGAGATCTGGAAACTGATCATTTACCGCCTATGCAAGAGTCTTCAAATTGGCATCCTTGTGTATCAAACATTTTCGACTTTACCTCATGCTTCCTCTTCAGTATCGAAACTCAGCATACTATTGGTTATGGCGCAAGAACAACTACGGAAGAGTGTCCTGAGGCAATTTTTATTATGTGTTTACAAAGTATAGTAGGAGTAATGATTCAAGCGTTCATGGTGGGCATTGTATTCGCAAAGATGACAAGACCCAAACACAGAACACAAACCTTATTATTTTCAAAACACGCAGTGATATGCCAGAGGGATGGCGAGCTTTGCTTGATGTTCCGGGTGGGTGATTTAAGGAAGTCACATATTATAGGAGCCAGTGTGCGAGCTCAGCTAATCCGGTCAAGAACAACAAAAGAAGGAGAAACGTTGTCTCATTACCAAACTGAACTGCAGCTAAATGCAGATGGGTGCGATGGCAACTTGTTCTTTATTTGGCCTATTACAATGGTGCATAGAATAAACGCCGAAAGTCCTTTCTATGGAGTATCCGCCGCTGACGTGCTACAGGAGAAGTTTGAGATTGTCGTTATACTAGAAGGTACTATAGAATCTACAGGGCAAACTACACAAGCAAGATCTAGTTATACATCAAGTGAAATTATGTGGGGACATAGGTTTGTGCCGCTAGTGACATATAATCGTGAACGTCAAGGATACGAAGTAGATTATTCTAAATTCGAAGAAACTACGCAGGTGGATACTCCCTTGTGTTCAGCCAAGGAACTGGATGATTTTTATGGCAGCCAGGCTGATCGTAGATCTATTGGTGAGTTTATTACTAAAGTCAAGTCACGTGGTGTTGGGTGGTTGTGTGTCCAAAATGTAAATTAACAACGCTTACAAACAGTGCGCTTCGTAATTGTATGTACTTCCACGTTATCATGACATCAAAATGAAATGAAGATAAAGTAATCTCTATGGCATTGATATATAGTAGTTTAACATCAAATCTCCAAATTTTTATATGTTATTTATTATGTTTACTTGGTGTTAACGTTGAGAAAGTTCTTTATATCCTCATAGTGCCTTAGCTGTTTATTTAAATTATCTGCAGCTTATTTTATCTAGGGTCATTATTTTACTGTCTGTTTGTTACAATATATTATGATAATTCCTAATTTATTGCTATTGAATTTATTGCAACAAGTAACCTATATAATGATTTAATTAATAACTTAGAATTACTAATAAGTGGATGGTTCTTATATGTACCTACCTACTTGATTGATAAGATTAATATTGTTGTTAATGTAAATGTGTAGGCAGTATCTGGAACGTAGACATAAAATTATTATTCACACTTGTTTGTACTGATTCACATGATCTCTCATGAAGCGTGTCAAATATACTAGTAGGTAGCTGCAGGCTATAGGAGAAATAAGTATTTCTAATATATATTAAATATGACGTTCGTTTTATTATAATAATCGATTATTATTCCATGACATGGTCGAAATAAATGCAATTACATTCTTAATATAAATTATATTTTAGATATGTATTAATTTCCTTGAATTCACCAGTTGCACCACAGCCGAGAATCAAACGCACATTTAACATAATAATGCACGCTTAACACACCACACTTATGGCCAATTACTAAATGTATTATAACAATACCATGTAACATATTACAAAAAGTTTCTCTATTGTATGATCTGGGATTGATATTCTATTTGTATAAATTATTTAATATTATATACCAGAACTATATCTCAAGTGCAAAGAGTAGCGATATCTTATTATAATTTATATCACCTCCAATCATACTTGTAGTGATTATTAAAAAAAAATCATAAATAGATACAGACCTACTTATTTTTAAAGATTCTGTACTCTCTATTATTATTTATAAAGATACATTATTGATATCACAACATAAAAGTGACGTTTTTAATTTTTTTTTATACACCGCCTTACTACCGTTGGTCGCGGGTTCGATTCCTCGCACGGCACAAACATTTGTAATCATGAGTATGATTGTTTGTATCGGTTTGGGTGTTTTCTATGTATAATATGTATGTATTTACGAAAAAAAAATCTATGTATTTGTATCAGTTGTCTAGTACCCATAACACAAGCTTTAGCTAGCTTAACTTGGGTCTAGATGGCGCTGTGTGAATTGTCCTGAGGTTATTATTATTATTTATATATATTTTGCTTTATGTAAATCACTAATAATTTGAAATTGGATAGAACTGTTAATTTCAGAACGGTATGTATAAATTCGAATTTGTGCACTTGACGATTCGGTGAGCTGTATTAGTCTCAAATTGATAAAAACACTTAGATTTTAAAATACAAAATTTAAAAACAAATTATAAAATATATACATTTTATAATTTGTTATACCAATAGCAAAGAAGACAATAAAATGTATATAAAAAGATATTACATAATATATTCTATAAAAAGAATTCATAGAGCTCGATTACCATAGGTAATGATGTGAACAGCTGTAGATTTCACAGAATATTCTATAAGTCTATTACTGTATGGTATACCTCTGTAAAGATGCTTTTACACTACAAAGTACAAAAAACAACTATTTTTGAAAAAGAAAATAATAAGTTATCCGTTTAAAATAATAGATACTACTATTCTCTTCGTAGATTTAAAACTTGTTTTTCGATAATCCGATATATCAATTCATTATAAATTTAATGTGCTCTTGATAAGGTAAAATATCGTCTCTGAAAATTTCATCTAGAAACAAACGTTGACTTGACTTGACACTTGGCTATTACCAAATCTCGGCAGGATGTACCATTTTGCCAAATTGATTCCCAGTGCTATCCCTCTTTTTGATACAGGATACATTTGTTTCGGCGACCGTACAAGAACTGACGTCAATAAATGGTCAATTTGTGGTAAATAATAGCCTCCTTACGTATTTAAATGCAACATAAAGATGGCTGCGAACATTTGTTTAAACTCGGTTCTTTTTAGCTATAACCAAACACAATGAAATACTATTACAAGAAAGATTATATTTTAAAAAAGAACATTTACACATTCCATGAATAATTTTGTGCTTCATGTATTAGCAAATATTGTACAAACAATTTCAAATAAGTATAATGACTATGTTTTAAATACTTTGTACAATATTTGTTTTACAAATATTAAAATATAATGGAATAGGTGTTATTACATACCAAATAGTCATGTCATGTTTAGGATACAGATTTATTAGCACTTTTAATATAAAACCAGGATACTCATTCTTACATACTGAAACTTAAGTAGTCACGGATTGTGCAGTGTTAGAGGAGATACCACCAACACACAATCAGATTATGGAGTGAACTACCTGCCGAACTTTTCTCCAGAAACTACAGCATGTGATTTTTCAAAAAGAGTATTATACAATTTTAAAAGAGTATTTAAAATTTCTTAAGTGTCGGCAACTTGCAAGTGACACAAATGGTATTTTAGACATCCACAGGCTACAGTAACCGTTTATTATCAGATAAGCCATATATGATTGCTACCACTTTGGTACTCTTATAAAGAAATTTAAATTTCTTCAGTCATAAGAGGTAATATTATTGCTTGATATCTTTGCAGGTATGATGTTTAATTCTTAGAAACAGTAATACCTACATAAAAAGGACAACGCAATATCATAATTTTGAAACGTCCTAATGTTGTTTGTAGGCGACGCGACGGTTATCAAGAAGGAGGAAATATCTTTCTTTACCACAAAACTATTCGTGATAAACCTATTCCAGTATATTAATAATGTGTATAAAACGCAAAAAAATTAAAATAAGTAACAATAATGTTCCTATACATAACAAAACTAGTATTAGTGAACTTTTTAAGTTATTTTTAGGTAACTATATATTTTTTTCTCAGATATACACTATAAAAACTACAACTTTGTACAAAATTTTAAGTAATATAATTATTTATCTACAATAATGTTTATCATCACAGCCAATAAACTAAGATTATCCTAAGTAAATGTTGATAGTGGAATGACAAAAACTAGTTTTCAGCAGTCGATTTGCGAATAGAATATAATCCTTTTGTTTTATCTAATATTGAAAAACTGAATTATTCACATTATCAAATCAATCACTGATTTTTCAGATTCACAAGTTATAAGTTTAATTTTATAATTACATTGTATTAAAATTGAACTTAATAAATTCTTAATAACTTAAATTGTTATTACACATGTTTAGTCAAGTCAAGTCAATTTTCATACAATGTTTCTTGACTTCCTAAGGGTGTTTTAGTAAGGTTTATATATGAACGGCAATGGACTTTATTTCTATTGAATAAAATATACTTATTAATTTATTAGAAGTGTTAGTATATAAACAATTTATGTAAGATGTTAATTACAATATAAATAAATATCAACAGTCTCAACGAGACTAAACTTATCTGTATAATCATATAAAACGATCGAGTATTTTGGAAATGGTTTTTCAAAATTAATATTTACCAATGGTAATAATTTTCTTTTAAGTCTATATGCAATGGTGTCATTCCAGAAAAAAATGGAAATATTTTAGACGAAACTGTGACACATAGGTAATTAATTACATTTGTATGATAGCACTCTTATCATTGTCATAGGTACATTGCAAACAAACGAATTACCTAAAGCCATGACTATATTAGATTAGGTATATTAATTCCACTGTGATCCGATTGGTTATCAATTATATTCTACAAAAATATTAATAATATTTTTGAAACACATTTATTTTATTTTTAAATATTAAAGAGATGCAGTTACTTATATATATTTAACAATAAATAATTATTAAAAAGTACTATGGATCGAACTTAATAGGGACCACTTAATTGCACTTTTTATTCCGCACCTAGCTTAACCAACCGAACTATATAATAGATATTCTATACTAATAACGTTATAATCTATTTACCTAATAAAATTTTATGAAAACCTTCTACACAGTATGTGAATTATAAGATATGCATGAAATTCGCTAATATATTTAACTTTCTAAAATATTAAACAAATAATTCATATATAATAATTTTTGCTCTCTAATAGCACATATTGTATAGAGGTTTATAATTTTTTATGTTTGTGATGTCTTATAGAGAGCACTGAACACGGCCAACAGGGGGTGTTCCTCAAAATGCCGGAAAAGAAGAAACCAGAAGTCACAGCAGAGCAAAAAGACGGCGACTTCACTGTTACTTTGTAAAACATTGTTCTTTGGAATCTAAAAACGCTTTACACTATTTTAGATTTTGTAGGTTTACTAATGTATAAGCTCAAATTTTTGTTATTTTTGAGACTATTTTCTTACTATTTATTTACATGGGATTATAGTTAAAATATACTGTTTAACTTTTATGTTATATCGACTAAAATAGAATCTCAACAAGTACCGTTATTATTTATTGTAAAAAATATATAAAAATAAAAAAAATAACTATTATAATGGTCACAAACCAGTTTTAGAACTAGTCAGATACTAGCTTAGCTTTTTGTAGTCTCAAATTATTATGTAGTCTTCTTAAGGTTGTGCGAAGAAAACAAGTATTAAAATAAAATATTTATTAATTTTAAAACATTCCAGCCTGTTGAATTAGTCACATACCTAGATATATAATTATGTAATATACAATTACTTTATTTACCTCCTGAATTTTTATGATAAGAAAATTTATTAAACCATATTACAAATAATTAAATAATAAAATTTACATGCCTACCGTAAATTTTTTATTAGTTAGTCTATCTAATATATGATCTGAGATCAAATGATTATATTTATTTTGTTTCTTTAAGATGTAGGTACACAAACACTTTTGATAATAATATTCTGGAGTTGTCCTCATTACGTAAACGACTAATATATCTTAGTTGAAAAAAATAATCGTTTCGTTTTTAATTTCATAGTAGTTAATACTAAATAATAATTAATAAATATTGGCTTCTTAAGTAGTATAAGGTTAAATACGATCATTAGAAAGTGTCTTAGTATACAAACGTGTAATTAGTTATTTTTAGTAGTTCAAATGAAAAATTATTCCATAAAAGCATGGAAAATACATATATATGTAAAACCATGAATTTACAATAAATGTATATTTTTTCTACTATATTCATTTGAATGATTATGTACAATATCTATTATTATTATGCTTTCCTTTTTTTATTTAACTAAAATGATAAACATGCTATCGGACCACCTGATGGTAAGTGGTAACCGTGACCTATATACATGAACAGCATCACTGATATCACACCTTATCATGTAATGCTTGTGGGAATTAAGGTTTTAAAAATTTGTCAATAAACCGTAGCTTCAATCTCTTGAAACCGCAATTCATATTACAATGTAAGTTGCTTGTTGCCTAAAATAACCAAAAATACCAGATGAACGGATGAAGATTTCTTTCGGAGTAGAACAAAGTCTACTCCAGAAGAAATCTTCATGACGCTTTTGTTAATTGGTATATGCAAATTGTCTATTATAAACATCCTGAAAGAAATTTTTGTTGATCATGTATATGTATGTGTATAAAATGACTCTATATTTATGCAATAATAATTATTCGGTCCCCTGTTAAAGGCACTGGAACACTGTTCGTAAAAATATTGTTGAATATAAATACTGAATGAATAAGTATTAATAGTGTCGTTGTCTTTAATTTAATCCTTCATAATACCTTATTATCTTTGATGAAGTTGTGACCTCCAGCACAGCCAACAGTATTAGGGTACTAAAAATCTTATTACTTACACACATGGAAAAGTTTATGACGATTAGGTAATTGAAAGTATAATCTTACTGATAAAAACTATAGAAATTGTGATTTTAATTTAAACGACAAGTACTATTTCGTCTTAGTTTAAATATTATGTAAGTTATTATATCAGGCTCATAAATTTATTTACCCAGATAATATAAGCATCTATCAGGTAATGAGAGTAATAATTATCTTAAATAATTTAAATGCTTTTTAAAATAAAGGAAAGTACCTAATATCAACACAAAAATACTAATTCTGTTGTTCTTCTTATAACAATAATGCAGAATAAAGCTTACAGAATACGATAGCCTGACGAAAATAAAGTCGTGTGATACCTATATCTATTTAGTTAGTATATTAAACAATGTTTGTTCTATATCGTTCGTTAAAAATGTTGCTTGTTATTTTGTCATTGGCGTAGCTTTGTGTGTTTATCCTTGTGAGTGAAATGATTCATTACCGTCAAAAGGTGTAGGTAAATAATTGATAAAATTTAACAGAAAGAGCACGTGAGTTTCAAGGTAATTTGTAAGTATCGATGAACAATTACATTCTACTTAATAACGAAATTATGTCAAGTGACAAGAGTGTGAATTTTCATTTTTATTTTGTACTTTATGTTATATTAATCTAAAATCAGAAACTTCTGAGAGACGTCCCAATAAACCAAGGTAGCTAATATGAGTGTCTATAAGGAGACTGATTACATATTATCAAGTTATCAATCAACAACTTGTTTCTGCAAACAAGCTCACGGATAAAAATGTTTATAATTGTGTGTTGATATATAAACCAATGTGATCAATAATAATAAAAGATCAATAATATTTATATGGTTGATAATAATTCAAATTATTGTTCACATGAATGTATCTATTTACGACAAATTCAGAACTGAAATTCTTTTCAGGTTATATGGCAGTTGGTTCGACAATAACAGATGACATTATTCTACGAACATCACTTGGCCCAAAGGCACCAAATTCACCGCTTGCTCACATAGCTGATAGGCTGGTCGTTGATGCTATTAGAAGGGCCAGTTTGACTAACAGACCATCTACAATCAAATATCCCCCCGACTATTTCAATGGCGCCGAAGAAATTTCTTCTTCAAGTGAAGATGAAGATAAGAAGGATAAGAAAAAACAAAAATCCTGAATGTATAAAACGATAACTCTTATTAATCAGTTCCTTTATATAAAATTAATTGATCCTACTTTTAATATAAACGTGATATATAGTATAATACTAATAGTTATTTATAAATATTAAGATTTAACCTATAATAACATTTTACTTAACTAACGCCATCTGTTATCAAGTACTTATTTATAACTTTTAGAATAAAATTAATATTTATTATTTTAAATAAAACTTCCACTGTTTTATTTTGTGATATTATTTATAAAATATATTTATTTCTAGACATGGTTGATATCTACGTAAAAATATATTTATAAACAAATTCAAAACTCCTTACTGGTCAGTAATTTGAACTACCATAATATGTAGAGTCATAAACAAGAAGTCTTCGGATCTGGTAGTTTAAAATAGCAGCATCCATAATTTTTATTAAAATTGTCATTACTATTCGTATTATCTTACTACGAATCCTGATAATGGACTACAAGCCCTTAGTACTAGAGAACATGTCTTATTCACCAATAATATTAGGGAATTATAAATACTAATAATAATATCAGGACAATTCACACGGCGCCATCTAGACCCAAGTTAAGCTAGCTACAACTTTTTTTATGGGTACGAGGTAACTGATACAAATACAAAGATATGTATTTTTTCGTAAATATGTATGTATTTATGAAAAAACACCCAGACCGATACAAGCAATCATAATGAATACAAATGTTTGTACCGTTTGTACCGGACATTCGAACCCGCGACCATCGGAAGTAAGGCGGTGTGCTAAACCGCTAGACCACCGAGGCCGTCACTGTCCTACATATCATTGCCACACTTCTCAAAATATCTGTGAAATTACTCTTCACTAATAAAATATTACTTGGTGAACACACTGGTTAAGTAAGCAAATAATAATAAAAAGGTAAGGTTTCAATAAAACACGTAAAATTATAGATAAAGTATAATGTATTTTTTCTGATTATATCAGTATAATACAAATATTTATAATTGGACTAATGTCAACAGCAGCGCCCGCGCCACTTGAGGCCCACGCCCGTGGACTTTTACTGACGTTAATATATCTTCAGTTTTAATTTGTTATGAAAATGAAATCTAATTGGTTATGAAAGTAATTTACCTACATGTAAAAGGCATAGAATGCTTTAAATCAAGACTTTAAAATATCTTATTTTTGTTATAAGATGATGAACTGAATTAGCAACTGGTTAGCTTTGCTTTTACAATTAAATGACCCAGTAATACGGATTACTCTAAACCTTTACCTACGCGTAAGTTTTGTTTCATTATATTTTGTATACATTTGCAGAATACAGAATATATATCCAAACAGAAATACGAAAGCTAGTAAAGTCCACAGATTAAATCTTTCAATTTTTTAATACTAATAGTTATCAGTAATAAATTCGAAGTCAAATTGTTTAGAATAAATCCAGAGATATCTATCTCTTTACAAAGCAACACTTATTAGGATCAAAAAGCATCGCTCTACATAATTTTAATACCGTAATTAACAATAATATAAGCGTTTTACCAATTTATATACAATAATTAGTATCACTAGAAGGAATCACCAATTGAATATCTATGCATCATTTTAGGTTAATATATCTAGTACTTAATACATTGTATTTAGTAGTTAGGTACACGATATTAAATATACATTCAACTTTAGATAAATCTAATTATTTAGTATAAACCAATATAGCTTTTACATTCACTTTAGCGTCTATAACCAGGCCGTTAAGATGTAACTATTACACATATATTTTCTCTGTTAATTACAGTGTCTAAATTTTTACTAAAAGTATAAGAATACATAAAATAATGCTTTTTGTTCCCTTTATGATAAATCGATATTGTCACTAATATATAGAACGGTTGAAACGTGATTGTTTACATATCTAACTATATAATGAAATATATAAAAATACATGTAGGGTTGCAAATGTAGCAAACAGTTATATTAATATAGTTTAAATCTAAGCCTATTTAATTATTAATAAAATACACAATAATTTGACTATATTCGAATATATAATAATCGAATTTAAGTAAACAATATTTAGTACAAAATAATGTTATTTGTATTTTTTATAACAGTTTGGAGATATTTTTAATAAAATACATAATATTGGGCATATTGATGTTGTACATCAACATACCAGCACACCAAAGTATAATTCTTGTTAAAATTTATATATACACTCACTACAATTGGTCTATGGTCAGGAAACGAATTTGCTGAAATTACTATGTATACAATAACTTTTTTATTTAAGAATTACAAAATAATCATTACATTTAAAAACAGTTTTATTGCAGCTAACATTTTTAATGTACACTCTATTTCAGTAATATTCACAACTCAATTACGTAGATGCTTTTATAATAGACTATTTACCATTTTATTTGGATTTTATCCAATGTGTATAAACAATTAATTTTATATGTAGGATTCGATCCATAAAGCTTCTTTTAAGTAACTGGATAGCATTTGAGTCATTACAGTATCAAAATATTGTAGTTTTAATAATCATTTAAGAGTCGGTAACAAACTAGATAGTTACTGATATAATATTTTTAAAGTATTAATAGGATAGTTACTTATATAGCCTATTTTACTAATAGGACTTGTACTATTATTTTTTTTCAATATATAAATATTGCATTTATAAAATAATTTCTGTCTTGACATTTTAAATGATTTCACATTGTATATTGTATTTAGATAACATTTTTAATATTAAATGACATTTTTATATTATAACCACACACAATAAATTTATAAGTAAAAACTTTCAATTTCATTAATTAAATTATAAAATTTGCAATTTCAATGTAATTTATTGAATTACATAATAATCAATAAAGAATACTGGGAGATAAATTTAGAAAATTATAGATATTTTCTACATTTTCATAATTTTTTATATATACTTTAATTAATGTAATACAATAGTGTCAATGAAGCATATTCTCAATTTTCTACAGCTAATAAAATTAACTAAATAAATACTTGATCTAAATACAACCCTATCTGGTACATCGATGTTTGCCGTTGTAGTACTACATATACATGAAGTAGAATTTATGAATTATATTTATCTGTACTGACGATTCTTCCATTCGAATTCTAATTTGAATTCAATATTTATTTATTTTTATTTAAAATGGGAATATGTTATTTATTTGTAAAAGGAAGACCGAAATTTCTGGTACACACATGAGTTTTATTAAAAGTTAGCCACATTTATTAGGTAAAATGGATATTTACCTAACAAAAGTATGTGCTATTAAATATCTATATATTATAAATATACTACATAAAAGGAAACAACTAAAATAAAAGGAATCTATAATAATAATTAGGTACCTATTTCATTAGTTTTCATTATAAGGTAATAACGTGGACAGTGGATTTTGAATCACGACATAATTTCATGCTTAATTGAAAGAAATAATCCGAGATTGTAGCCCTTTACTAAACTATTTTTTAATGAATGTAAACCAAATTTAATTTTAATGAATTTATACCAAAGAAAGAAACGCGAGTCATTTTTCTATAAAAGCACCAATAAATTACTTACCAGCTACTTTATTATCATCATTAAAATAGATAATAATACATTTTGGCATAAGTATACTACTTTAGAAGCATTATACTTCCTCCATTTTATACATTATAGCAGTCTATTCTTATTATTGTTTTACAGTTCGTCTCGAAATAATTAACTAAGTCAGACATTACAGTAATTCAAAAGGCTCAATTAAAAAAAATTTTGATGCATATAAGCGATTAAAAAATATTTATACAAGTGGCAAAGTGGCTGTCAAAAAAATAAAAATACATAAGAACATCACAGGATATATACTGTGCCGCCCGTTGTACCCTTTAAGCGATCTTGTACTTATAGCTCCGATATGAAAAAAAAATATGTAAAAATGTTACATATCATTGGACTAATATCAAAACGCATAACCCCACAAAATATATTCGAAATAAGATTTTTAATGCTATTTAATGTAGTATTTTGAAGTCTGTGTATTGATTACTTCATAAAAGCCACATACTTTAATATAAACAGTTTTACTTGTTCGTCTATGATTCATCAATTGGGAGTTACGTATTTTGGTAATTTAGCTGACGATATGTATTCAAATTAACAATTAGAAATTAAGCAATTTTTTTCAGTCTAAACTACTCTAACCCCTTCTAAATAATGGGACTCAAGTTTCTACGATGTCTATCTAATAAATACTAGTTAAAATATCTTTTTGCAAACACCTTAAAGATGTTCTTAATTCTAAATAAATCGTAATCTTATGTTTTATCCTCATTGATAATAAGTAGGTACAGTCATCGTCATAAATATTATGTCACATAGTGTCATAAATACGAAGTTCTTATTTATAATCGGAATATATATCAAGAAAATTTTGTCAATTTAGACCATATTCAATATATATGTTCAGTAAAATATATTAACCAGTATTGATCGTATATATATGAAGTTAACTATACCTCTCAACTACTATCAATTAAGCTCAGTTAACTGACAAGATGCTACTGCATGGCCCTGTGTGCTAAGTTCCTTAATTTCTACTATTCATCTATTTCTACTCGGAAGTTCTCGATATTCTCGTTGCTGATGGAGAAACGGACGTTGAGATTGCGTTTGTGTTTGTGCGTGAAGTCCGAAGTAGTGTTGTGTTCTCGTAGTGGGCGTCAGGCCTCCGGGTCAGGACTCGTCACCAAAATGGGGATGGGTGGTGGAATCTTCTCTTCTATGGAATTTGTAGTTGGAGATCTATAAGGAATATTAAAGATCAATTAGTTATGAATATTAAAATAAAATTAATTTGGAATTAATTTGACTATGTTGTACCAAGTTATACTCAACTTACATACACATAGAATATTGGACCAAAGTAGTTAATTCTTTGACTGTTAGTGATTTATAAAAAAGAGTAGCAGTTCCTACGGTGCTACCCGTATGAATATGAATAAAAACTTTTCTCCGTGTCAATTTAGGATATGCGCTATCAATACTTACAGCAAAAACACATTTAAATCTAACCCAACACTTTATTAAGAATTAATGCAATTAAAAAACACAGAAAAAGAAACTCACTTTTTGATTTTATGTTTTTCATCTATTTTATGGTCGTGACCATTAATAGCATGGGCAATACCGTTTGGGATATGCCCGTGTACTTTCTTCATGCTAGCGTGACTATGACTCCTATGTATATGACCTTCCTTTGGCTCTGTATGTTTTATATCTCCAACCATAGCCATATGGTTTTTGGGCAACGACTCTGGCCCGTTCTCTACTGCTAAGTGCGTGTGACTGGGATTTCTAGATTTCTCATTTATGTTTTGAACAAAATTATTTTGCGCCATCAGTCTATTTTCTTGTACACGGGATTCGGGGATCTTGATTTCAATATGTTCGTCAAGGGACATCGAGTCGACGGAGCTGAGGTCTAAGGTGTCGTTGGAGAACGTCTTCGGTATGGTTCCCAGCATGCGATCTGATAGGGAAAATGTTTCGTAAGTATATTATTATATATTATTTCATATAGATGCAGGGTACGTGACACTTTAGTAGCGATGTACGTGTTTCTGTGCCAATATATATATTTACATATATATATATATATATAGGTGATGGTAGCCACTTACCATCAGTTGGACCGTCAGATGGTTTGCTATTCCAGTTTCATAGAAAGAATAAAAACCGAAGATAGTAATTACTATACACAAATAATTGCATTATACGTGTATACTAATTACTATTCATATTGTATAAGAATAATATTGAATTAATGCGAGGGTTATTAATAATAAATTTTCATTGTCATAACAATTTGAATATAGGCGACAGTTACCGCTTAACATCAGGTAGTACGTAAGTTTGCTTGTTTACCATTCAAATTACAATAAATAAAAATATTAACTTCCTATTGATGAACACGGATCTAATATAAGTGGAGAATTAAAAGCCAATTATTAATATTTCACATTCTCAATACGACAAGACTTCGACATTCTGAAGATAAAAATACACTATACTGTCAGTAGATAAGTATGTAATTACCCAGTTTTTGTGAAGTGGAAACAGTCGCCCTGAGCTCGTCGAGTTGTTTTGCTGAACACAATGGAGTATCGACCTCGTAAGTATTGTTAAATCTTGTATAATCAACCTGGAAAATAATTTATTTTACTATTATTCAATTTATAAAGAAACCAGATATATTTCTTACTAAAATAATATGGGAATGATAAAATATCGTTCACTTCTATTCTTTCATAATTCGTAACATAAAATGGGATGACTACCCTCAGAAGACTGTACGGCTGCTACCATTATATTATTGCAATTTGATATAAATAATAATAACCCTTGACAATTCACGCAGTGCCATATAGTCCCAAGCTAATCAGAGTTAGTGTTATGCGTTATGACGCTAGGTACTAGACAGCTGATTGAAATACTTAGATACCTACATTTCTTTTTGTGAACGCATACATAATATATACAAAAAACACGCTCACCAATACAACCAATAATTAATACTCTTGAAATTAAAATTTTTCAATCGTGCAAGTAATAGAACCGGGTCCATTGGAAATAAAATGGTCTGCTAAACCGCTTGACCACCTAGGATGTCTGGAGGTTTCATTTGTTTATTTACGTGAGATAATATTGGCAAAAGATATGTATGTAATATTTACAATTAGGAGGTAATAAATTGAGTGAATGACCCAATCCTACATTAATATGGTAATTAAAATTAATTGATCGGCATTCAGTGAATAAACTAATAAAGATAGTGTAAATTAATAACTCCTGCAAATATCGTTAACATAAATTTGTTTATAGTAAATTTCATACATTCTGCTTCTTATATAAAAATATGTGATAGATATTCTTGATTAAATTACCCCCACCAAAGATAAAAGGTAAATAAAAGTATAACTTTATATCTTATTGATAATGGCTAGTTAATACTACGCAATTATTATTAAATTACTACATCTGTTACTGTTCTATGGAAGTTATTATTTTTACTTTAGTTAAATCGTCATGAATATATATCTAATAAGTCTGTTAATTTTGCGAGTATCTAGTTCGATACATAATTATAAAGAACAAAAGGAAATCTAAGCAATGAGGAAATCTATTCCTCATTGCTCGGTCCTCAATATTGTACTCAAACACAATCAACAATTGCAAATATATTGATCTGTAATGTTTAAATATCTTTTCCATATAAGTATTAAAGTAAGCAACAATAAAAATTAAAACTAGTACTATTACAGTAGTAGTCAATAGTAAGGAAGGTAAATATATGCGACATATGTTTCCTTGATACCTCAGGATTTAATTTAGAACTTAAAACAAATTAGGAACTCAATTCACAATACCGATGATTATACAAATGAATCATTATAAAAATAAATCAAGAGGATAAATATGATGTATATAGTAAACCATATAGATTTTTATTTGCACCCACGTTCATGCAAATAATCAGAATACATAACGAAGCGTCGTGTTTTTTTTTTCATCCTTAGTCAGCCATGGAGCTATGAAATCATTAATAAATTTAGAAATGTTTACCTCATATTCTCCTGTGTCTTTTCTAAATGTCACCATGGTTTCGAAACGGTGTCCCCATAGTACTTCGGATGGTAAGAAACTACTACGTGCTTGTGTGGTCATTCCGGTAGACTCAATCACGCCCTCTGGAAAATATAGAAGCACCCATTTAGACTATTTGATAATAAATAAATAATAAATTATTGACAACAATGAGAATCTCACAGATGCCGTGCTTTACATGGGATCTGAATTATATTGAGATAATTTACACATGATATATATAATTTATTATTATAATACTATAGTATAATAATATTATAATACTATAATACCACAATTTAACTATATTTACTGCACTAGATTATACCTACAATAAAATGTGAGTAAAAGTCGTAGTATTGCAAATGTTGAAAATACTAAATTATACCTTGCAAGGTATAACATAGTTTTTAATATTTACAAAATTTACAGTACTTCCCCTTACAATCTTTTGATTTATTCATAAGTTTTATATCAATATAGAACCGGTATAAGCTATTTGAGGATGTTTTTATATACTAAGTTTGTACTGAGGGATTCCCTGTTAATTTTATTGTTGCTGGCGAAAATTGTAAAGTGAATTATATTCTCTATCTGCTGAGAGAATAATGCATGTTAAATTACCGAAATTTAAACTGAAGATTGCATATTTTATCGTAATCACAGTCAAATATTATTATTACAATATTATTGGAAAATTGATCCCGTTAGTCCCTATTTCTAATTCGATGTGTTTAACGTTTAATAATTTAATTTCTTCGATCCGAATATTCGGATATGTAATCTTGCAATAGGCGCATAATGCATTGTGTAAACTATATTTTGTAATGCATACTAGATACCTAAATTATATTATGACCAGTACACAAATTGAAATTATTCGTGCGCAGAGATCCAGGGCAAATTACCAAACAGCCGTCACGCAGGGAAGTGCCAATGACATATGCTGTTTTCATATATAGTTATAATTCTTCTGCGACAAGTTTTATTTTTAAAAAGAGTTTCTTGAAGCGAATGATATATAGTGTAACATATGGTATATATAAATAAACGTGCCATTATATCAATATATACGTTACATGATATATTTACCAATTATAATCTTAATTGACTTTGATTCCGTACGCTTAATCATTAACAAAATATACTTTCGACTGAAGTCCATTAAAATAGTTCTAATAATTCTTAATTTAACTACGTAACTCTTTTAATAAGGCCTATTACCTTATAAGTAATGTTCTGTATGAACACCAATTATAAAATAATAGTAATTCGGAATTCTAATTTCGGAAGTAGGTCACAATCGATAGGGTCAATGCTTTTCTGGCCTTACGTATATACGACTGGTACAACTAAATTATATGTAATTGATATACATACCTAACATAACAACAATTTCAAATCTCTCCCTTAACATATCTGAAGCAGATAGGTTGTACAACGGTGATTTCTCGTTGATCTTGTGAACTATAGTCATTGGCCAAATAAACATAAGTCTGTCTTCTTCACCGTCAGCCCCCACCTTCAACTCTTGCTGGTAGAATGGCAGTACTTCTCCCTCTCTGGTTGTCTGTTGAATTATAAGAACATGATAAAGAAAAGTAGCAATACTGTTACTTTACTATTTTAAATGTTAATTAAAGATTTAAAACTAAGCGATCATGTATGGACAGATATTATAAATTGCTTTTGGAATTAAATACTGAATTTATATGTGCGTATATCGTTATTAAGTTGCTACTAATTTACCAGTAAGTACATTGATATAATAATGTAATTGGAATTATTAATATCTGTCTAATAATAATACTAACGTGCATTTAGAAGAGATAAAATTAAATAACTTTCACCCACATAGTTATTTTAAATAGCAGAATGTACGTAGAAATAATTTCACTAGTGTTACATCTACGCTCATTGCCGTAGTGACACCAATTTTACATTGTCAGTGCTAAAGCAATCTAAACTCTCTCTCTACAATATTAAGAGCATTATTGCTGTGTCAAAGCTGATGCTAGATCACCGCTAACCTCGACGCAAGGATAGAATTCTGCATGTAGCGACTATTTGCATGCTAACAAAACTAATTAAATGTTTTTTTTTTTGTTATTGTTAACACATACTGTTATTAATAGCATTAGAATATCTGTATGAAATAAAACCTAAAGAAATTTAAGTATCCAGTATAATACATAGTTTTTTTAAATAAATGAAATATTAACAAAATATACATTTGCTATTATTGGTATATTATACAAACTAATGTAATTTTCATATTACACAAACATTATTAAACTGGATTGTTAGTTGGTTAATATGAATAGAGAGACACAAAATTAAACAACAGAAACAGGCAGTCACTTAAAACACAAATTCTAAAAACAATAAAGATATCTAATAATACTCATCATATTAAAAAAGAAACGACTATATGTTTTTTTATTATTTCTTTTGTGTTAATACTATAGTACAATATCTGTCATGTTTTCATAATATATCGTTCATAACCTCTTCACAAAGCATGTAGGTAGGTACTGTTCATTGCCAATAATCTATGTAATAAACAGAATTGAGGAGTAAAAATTATATTGTTATGAAGACATTAGTCATCCAACTTATAAACAATTTGGTCAGCTTCAATTGAAATCATACGCGGACGTCAAGACATCGTAAAACATTTTAAACGTGCACCTAATTATAAGGCCAGTAGACACAATTTGTTTGTTTATTATATAGGCAAATATATATATTAATTTAATTGTTAAAACATATATTTTTTTATTCCATATATTTAATTCTAAATTCAGTCATTTAGACTGTCATTTATGTATTAAGTGACCACTTATAAAACTATTAATAAAGCAAGGGTTAAAGCAAGAAAACAAATAGGCGCTGTGCAAATTATGCATGTCCATAGATGGGTCAAAAAATGGGTTACGAACAAGTTTCTAGATACAGCACATAAAATCAATGCAATCTATGTATAAATTACAAAAGTACAAATACTTATCACGTATTATAATATACCTTTTTGCGTATAATCTGAGCACGCACGTGAGCTTCGAGTATATGCGACTTGCGTATATCACCGACGCGGAATAGTAGGCAGAATTCTCCGTCCCTTAGACAAATCACCGCATTCCTTGAGAATAGGAGAGTGGTGTTACGCTTTTTGGCTCGAGCCAGCTTCGCGAATATTAGACCCACCTATGGACAAGAAAGAAGAATAGTTTTGAAATATTTGTATCTACTATTTCAAAACTATGAAAGTTGATATCTGAACCTGTTCAGCTAAATATCCCGTTCAGCATTCAACTCTCATGGTGTTAAAGAACAGAGTGTGGAGTCAGTGCAAACATAGACGTTTGATAAGCGTGCTGACTGAAATCCCCAATCACTAACCAGTCTCCGTTTTGTCGTAATAAAATACCTTGCGGCGAATTATCTGTGCCCTAATATGGGCTTCGACAATATGCGATTTTCTCATATCACCAACACGGAACATCAGGCATAGTTGGCCATCTCGCAAACATATGACAGCATTTCGGGAGTACAAGAGAGTCTGAGCTCGTTTCTTTGGTCTAGAGAGCTTTGCGAACACGATGCCCACCTAAAATTAGAATAACCTTGTTGCAAACTGCCATGCTACTGGATAACTGAGACCATCATCCCGAGGTTACTAGTGTTTAAAATTACCAATAATTTAAGATCACCTAGTGTGTATAAATACTATGCAGGTACTAATAGTGTATTAAAGTGTTAGTTTACTGTTTTTTAACGGTGGGCACCATATTAAAAGATGGTAATTATTTGAAGAGAACATCTGGCTTATAGAGTTTGGTACTTTTATGTCTGGCATGTTGCCAAGCTTATTTTATTATTATCATAATCGTCTCAAAGTTCGAAGATTATTTTTAATTATAATACATAATATCAATAAATATAGAACAGGGATAGACTACTTCATATTGACTATGTTACATTATAACTGATTTTAAAGAATCCCATATTCAAATAACTGATTACATTGTTATAAACATACATAATACAGTGTTTACGACAAGGAAAGATATTACGTTGATTTATAGTGCTTTAAAATATTTGCATCTCGAGTTGAAGTGTATTTTAATTAACATCGCAATAGTATGATTTTCTTGAGTAATATAATAGAATAAAGTGAACATTATTCAGATGTAGGAGCGACTATTTTGCATTTCTTTCATTGTCTAGATAATGATGATCATAATAATGAAATTACTTACCATAAAAGCTTGAATAAAGACACCGACAATGCTCTGGATGCACATAACAAATATAGCTTCTGGGCATTCTTCGTTTGTTGTTCTGGAACCGTAGCCGATAGTGTGCTGAGTCTCGACGGAAAACAAAAAGCATCCAGTGAAGGTATTGACATTATTAAGGCAAGGGATAAGGGTAACATTTGAATCAGGTTGGGGACTGAGGTCGCCGTGGGTGAAAATGATAAGCCACCAAATCAAGGCAAATAAGAGCCAGGAGAGGATGAACGAGAGAGCGAACACAAGCAGCGTCCAGCGCCACTGAGCGTCCACTAGTGTCGTGAAGATGTCCTGAAGGTATCGGCGTCTGCGCTTGGCCACGTTCCATTGGACGACGTTGCAGTCTCCGTGCTTGAAGATGACGCGCTTTCTTACACGACGAGCTGCATAACGGGCTTGACGGTATCTGAAATGAGATAGAATTTGTATTTACCAAAGATAGGTAAGAAGTCTTCTGCGTTCAATTGTATTTCTATTGCAGGGTCGAATTCGGCAGTGAAAGTATAGAATAATAGGCGTGATAAGTAAAGCATTTTGAAAACGCTGTCACCATGCTATATGCAGATAGGGTCATAGTGGATGTTTATATTAACCCATTGCCCAACCGAGTTCCATGGCTGTCTAGCGATACGCGTCGTGTGCAAAACGCGTAAATTGATTACTAAAATAAAACTAAAATGCTATGTCTCTTATGTTGAGGTTACTGGCTCTGAAGTAACTATCTACCATGATTAACTAGTTAATTATCTTTCAACCAACTGAAAAATCCAGAAGCTCGTTAATTCACCCATAGTTTTTACCTATAGATTGATGATTTTTTTGTAGTAGAATTTGTTTTTTTCTAGCTTAATAGTAAATACTCTAAGATTAATTATTTGTGGTACAAAATCCTACATTCTAAATAAATAAAGAGAAATAGGATATCTATCCAAGATAATATAATAAAAAATAAAAGTATAATGAATAAATAGTAGGTAATTAAACACTGCCTAATGTATGTCAAAGGTTCAATAGCTTACGATTGATTTCTGTTGATATAAAATCATATTACGGTCATTGTTCTACCCGAATCACCCAAAAGTGTATGTAAACAATATTCATCATTTTCAAGTGTCAATTGCAATTGGGTACCTACGTTTCTATGTGTTTTATATCTCTGATATTTTAAATTAAAATTTTGCATTTTATACACGTGGTCTTAATCATCAAAATCAATCAAATCTATTTAATTATTAACTTAGTAACAGACATTATTTTATCGATTAGAGGAAATATTTTTATGATTTATACAGCTAAGATATAGTGAGAGCAAGAAATTATATTTACTAAATATAATTTAAAAAAGGAAAAACAAGAGGCAAATACTCTAGTTTATGGCACTCTAGTCTAGTTTATATATTGATACATAATTTGATGTTCTAAATCTACATTTTCTAATTATTTTACGACATATTATTTCTAAAGTCTTTGTCAAAGTATAAATGTCTGTATCCTTTTGGGTTCAGTAGATATCGTGAGTGAATAAGTGGTGTTTCGCTTATATAGATAATATGTGAGTGCATATTAAGGATTTTACGTCGCACTCTAGATAGTGTTATCCAGTATTAGGGCACCACATAAACCAAGTGTACCACTTAAATTTATCAGCACAAATACTTTTATTGAATTTTTTTATCTAACCAAAAAAGGTTAGAAATTATTTTTCATGTGCAAATGATAAATAATAATGTATTTTTTTGGTATTCAGCGACTGTTGGTTTCTTTTATTTATTTCCCATTTGGTATAAACATGATTTGATATATCATACCATACACCATTAAGCCTTACCACCATACGAACAACATTTTTTACTTGTTATTGAGGATATCTAAATGATTGCGATTTGATTTTACTTTGTTTATTTTAGATAGATAGATATATAGTGTTGTAGAATAGTTATAGCTATAATGTAGAGGAATTAGTTATAAGTACAACCTAGCATACATAATAATATAATGGTTAGTGATGTCACTTTATTCGACAAGAAGCTTAATTAATACTAATTAAAAACACCCAATTAATGTGCGCGTAGCTTAGATAGATAGGTAGTAGCTATTATAATTAGGTAGTACAAATGATGATGGACTCATGTAATAGATTGATCAATTTCAGTCCATTGAGGTCAAATTTAAACTAAATCACTAACTCAATACCTATACGATTGACTTCTTTGTATTATGACTTTTGGAAGTCGGATCGGAAAGAGTTGTTCTACTACGGACCACTACACAGTTATATTAGTATATGTATTATAGTAGATAGTAACTATCAAGCGATTAGTTGAGTTGATATACGTATTTCCAGAAAGAGCTCGCTATAATCAAGACCAACCCTAATAAAATTCCAATGATTGCAAAAGAATTATAAAACTGTTTAGTTAGTTGAATCTATAACTTTATTTTGAAAATCAGTTGAATAAGTATGAAAATTACTGTTCCACCCACATCCAATGAATAAATGCGACAGATTTTACGACCGCATAATCATTGTGAATATTTTATGCACTTCTAAGTACAATTAAATCCGCGACGATTAAGCTAACCAAGTTATGAAAACTTGTAAACGATACCTACACATTAAATATTAAGAAAATCATAAACTGTGTAATTATTTTAATGTGGCGGTTATCAGGAAACCACAGGACATAAAAAGTGCGTGGCAGTATTTTATAATCACCATATTTCTATATAAAGAACGTCTATTGCTGCAAGTACTTGTTATATTTATTGCTAAAAATTAATTTACAGAAAATGGTTGATAAATTTAATAAGAAACCATGTTTATAAATTTCACAATATTTTACTATTAATACCTTGTCAAAGCTTAGTTATTCTGAGAAATATCTTAGTAGAAACTATTTGACTTGCCAAATATTTGGAGTTGCACAAAGATCTGTACTTTCTTTTGGCTTTACAATCTGTTGTGCGTCAGGCATAATATTTGTATTCGTATTGGAAAAACAAAGATCAAAACATACAGTAGAAGAAACAAACTTGAATCGATTGTACTTTATAATGTTACCTTAGCGATTCCTCTCTCCAAGCAGACTCTGATGAGTTGATTGGCTTTCCTGTCATCAACATCGATACCTGACTTATACATCGTTTTAGTCCAGACATACTGTTAGACAATATCTTTCACTTATTTAAGCAACGTGCCTATCTCCAATACCTAAATATATTTTCGTACAAACAAAGACATAAAAACTACAATTAGGGCGATACCAGCGCCACTATAATAATATTAACCTTATAAGAAAATATCACACAATTGAATACTTCTTGAAGAAAAATCAAAAACTAATTCTTTATGAAAGTATAGAGAGTATTAAATTAGAAACAAAATTTTACAGAATCGTCTCCAATCTATCTTTTAGAAGTACGTTAATAAGAGATTCACTGAACACTTCCTTAATATCGAATAGGAGCACTACGAATTTTCGTAACATCGTCCCGGTTAAAAACACTGTAGAGGAAAATGGCGTCGCAGAAAATTGAGTATTCCCGCGATAAGTTCTACTCTCATACCGATTACGAGACGATTTGGTCCAATACTGAATCAGGCGGATGTTAACAAAATAGATGGGAAGACGTTCAGAAACATTCTCGTGCCAACGCCGCCAGTGGCGCCGCGGCGCGTCGCGTCTTGCCCAGGCTATTTTTTTCATAAAAACTATAGTTTGTCTTCATATAGGTATAGGTGTGGACCATGAACACTAATAAAGATTACTGACGGTCTATACATAAATGTTTAGATTGCGTGATTCCAGAAGAGCAAATTAATACCACTTTATTCCCAAAGAAAATATTATGAAGCTTACTATTGCGCAGCACTAAATATTTGGTTTGTTGATTGGATGATACACATATATGCGATTCATGATATGTAAAAAACATTAAGTATACTCGCACAACAAGTAATAATATTTCTTAGAGTTATTTATTTTCTTAAGTTCCATTACTAATTGTTTATCTGATAAAACTGCAATTGTTCTCAGAATAAGAATATATGTAATTATGTATAATTATATGCATAGATATCTTATCATACTCAGATGTAAAGAAACTAACTAGGCATGTCAATAACTTAATGATAAATTAAGTCGTAAATAATGCTTGGTGCGGTCGTTGAATTTTCTATTATTATGCTCATAATGTTTTAGTTATTTATATGAATCAATCTTAAATTATAGTCTAAGTGTCTAATTCTAACTGAGAGTAATTTATATTGGAAAACTATTGATCTTGATTGATAATGTAGCATCATTATCACAACATTAAATGACACCAGGCATCAATGAAAATAAACCATTTTCATAAGATCAGGAGATAATATGCATATTATCAAGCTAATCAGGTTGACTGGTTGGTACAAAGTTTTTTTAGAATTCTTATTTTTACACTAATGTATGTACATATGTTCATATACATTAACATCATATAAGAATGATACAGACTAAAAACATTATTTAGAAGCACGTGGTGTATTATTTATAACACCATGTGTATATTAAAATGCATCTCATGCAAATCAAGGAATAATAAATCTTGGCATATTACGAACAAAACATTCTTATATGATAAGTGTCCTTTCATATCTTCTATGTAAATATCTATTTTACTCGTATACATATTACTATGAGTTTTAGAATTACTTGCAATATACTTCTTAAACCATGTAAATAATAATCGGTGACTTTTATATATATTTGTATGGAGTAATCTAGACACTAAATTATTTGATTTACATCAACATTGAATTATTACTATGTAATGTGAATAAATCATTGGCATCAAAGTAAATTTATTTCTGTATCTACTTGTTTTATATGAGTGCCTATTTTGATGTTGCCAATAGTCATTGTATCTTTATAATATATAGGTAAGTTTTAATACCGTGAAATGATGTAATCTATTACATTTAACAGATTTAGTCTAATGAAAAATGCAACTAATACCAATTTAGATTGTAATATACAATATATAAAGTAAATTGTAATTGAATAACACATAAAATGGTGTCGAATGGAGAACGTGTTTCAATATCTAAGAATTTTTGATTGTAAGGTAAACTTCAGTAAAGTTTATGTAGCAGTTTCCAGTATTCTTACTTTGGTATCCGTCCAAATATTTAGTACACCTATTATATAAAATATTATATATATAAGAATTTATAAGTTCTCACTGGAGTAGGTATTGAGTTTTTACTTGTAGAAATAAATCATTACATAGATACTCTTTATATCATTTACTTTCAAAGTGAGATACAGGCTTGCGTGTGAGAAGATAAAAGCAATCAAGGTAAAACTGCTTTTAAGGCAGTAAAACGTGGCATAAAAAGGCCAGCATAGTCCAGGATTTTGGTCT